TAACTTTTGTGGCGTTGTACCTTCCCCATTGTTGAAATTATATCATATGATTTGTCAATTATCTGTAGAGATCCTGTTTGGATGATATGCCTCAATTGTATTTTCAAGGTTCTCTGTATTGTGTTCAACTGTTTCTTTTAAACTTTTTATAACTTTTGTCCTTCTGGATTTAGTACAGAAACTGCATACTGTTTTCTTTGTGATAGACCCCACTGTCTGAACCATTGACTTACCCCCCTATCACACCAAACTTGTTCTTACCCGTTCTTGCCAGTCCTACGAAAACGTCGTAAAACGGGCTCAAACTGGCTGTGGTCGGGAAATATGTCTGAAATGATTAGCTTCTTCGTTCTTAAACAGTCTTCAATACGTCCATCTCGTTCGCAGTTCGTTCAGGTCGCACCACGTCGGTGTGCAACGCCGTAGAACGCGTCCCTTAGTCTAGAAGGTCATCATGACCTGATAACAGAACGGTATGGTCGCAATCGAATTTTGAATCGATTCAAAATTCTAAAATCACATTCCCGTCTGAAAACGTTCATAAAGTTCGTAAATAGACCTTAGAAAGTTGCAGCTACGTTCATTCCGTTCGCACACAGTTTAGAACCAGTTTTGAAGAACGCAGTGGCAACTTGTTTGGTGTGATAGCTATATTTTTGCTAACTCGTTCATAAGCAGTGTTAAATACGTTCTTAATCAGTTTAAACCCGTTTGCAATGCGTTCTACCTCGTTCTCAACACGTCCTCAGACAGTTCCACTCGTTGTTAAAACGTCCCTAGTAGGATTGAAGTACGACGGTTCCGTTCGTAGTACGTCCAGCTCGTCGTTAGTACGTTGTCACTCGTTCTAATTGTAGAATGTGATGACCACGAAAACATTTTGAGCATTGTCTAAGTTCTAGAGGACCTACCCGTTCGAGTACGTTCGATGACGTTTGTAAATAGATCCCAAACAGTTCTTAGTACGTCTAGTCCGTTCGTACACAGTTGAAGCCTGTTTTCGAGAACGTAGTGAGAACTAGTTTGGTGTGATAGAGGGTAACAAGTCTATTTTGATAGGGAGATGATTGTGAGTGGTGATTATTGGTTCCAGACCGTACTAGTTCAATAAAGTCAATCAAACCAGAAAAAGTACAATTATCATAACACTAGATTGGCTGGCAGAGCTCCAACCTGGCACAATGACAAGTTGACCACAACTATTTATTTGGTAATCAACACTGATTGTATTGTTTGAACTAGTTAAGGGATGAAGAATATTATTTTAATTAATTGTCTAATTAGTGCCTTTTGACACCTCATTCACAATGATAATTCTCATTAATTTTTTGTTATATATAAGGGAGTATTTTGATATAGGTCTCTTGCCTGCTCGTTAAAATATAAGTACACGCACTTTCTAGAGGCTTTTATCATCATATGATTCTAGTCTAAGTTAGCGATACAGAGCTTCAAAGTAATTTTGACCACTTCACTGACCATCTGTGTTATTTCAATAAGAGGATCATTAAAAGAATTGTTGAATTTGAAACCATTAACTTTTGTAAAACCTGGAAAATTAAATCATATTTTTGTCCAGTGGACAATTAAGCAAATTTAATTGTCTCTTTAAATTCTAATTTTGAAAGTAATTGGATGGATTGATCGGTCCTCATATGACTAATGGTAACCCAACCATTTCCTATTGGTTTACATGGGGTCTGCCATTTTTTCTAAAGGACCACGTGCAGCAGGCCTCAGACGTGCAGTATGGCAAGTGATTTTAGACAGTCATATCTTTCACCATGAGTACTTTCTGGGCATAAATACAGTGTTTTTTTATTAGACTCCAGATGTAAATCTGGAGTCTATTTTTTTCGTCAGTATTCTTATTCTTATTCTTTGTTTATTATTCTTTCCCAGTTTTCTCGTTAACTAGAAAATATTGAGTCAAATCCTATATATGGTCCATTTAGGTCCTAGATTTAGTTTCTCAGAAATTTGGTCAAATTTTTATCTAGGTCAAAGGTCAAGAACTAGGTCAAATCTTACATTTTCAACATTCTGTCATTTATCTTTGTCGTTGTTTATCGTAACTCCTAAATCTTGTTTTATCATGTAGCTTAGAAAAAGCCGAAGCAAAGGTATGACATTAGATTTTTGATTACTCTTACCGATTTTTAAATATGGCGTCCAGAAAGTAGGTCAAAATAAAAAAATTTCCAAATTTAACGTATGAGTTGTGAATTAGGTGTAGAATTTTGTCAGGAATCCGAATCTGCAAACCAAATTTCGATCCGACTTCCGGTTCAAAAGTTATGACCTTTTGAATTTTCAAAAAAAATCAATATGATAGGGATATGACTGGATGACTTGGCTTATTCTGGATGACTCGGCTATATCCATCCCACGTATCCTATCCTATCCTTCTTTCCTATCCTTCCTATCCTATCCTTCCTTCTTATCCTATCCTATCCTTCCTATTCTGTCCTATCTTATTCTTTCTTCCTATTCTATCGTATCCTATCCTTCCTATCCTATCCTTTCTTCCTATTCTATCCTATCCTATCCTTCCTTCCTATTCTATCCTATCCTTCCTTCCTATTCTGTCCTATCCTTCCTATCAATCCATCCATTCATCCATCCATCCGTCCGCTTATTATGGATGACTCGGCTTATTCTGGATGACTAAGCTTATTCTGGATGACTTGGCTTATTCTGGATGACTTGGCTTATTCTGGATGACTCGGCTATATCCATCCCACCTAGCCTATCCTATCCAATCCGATCCTTCTTTACTATCCTTCCTATCCTATCCTTCCTTCCTATCCTATACTATCCCATCCTTTCTTCCTATTCTATCCTATCCTTCCTTCCTGTTCTGGAAGGAAGGATAGGAAGGATAGGATAGGATAGGAAGGATAGGATAGGATAAGAAGGATAGGAAAGAGGGATATGACTGGATGACTTGGCTTATTCTGGATGACTCGGCTATATCCATCCCACGTATCCTATCCAATCCTATCCTTCTCTCCCATCCTTCCTATCCTTTCCTATCCTTTCTTCCTATTCTATCCTATCCTTCCTTCTTATTCTGTCCTATCCTTCCTATCCTATCAAACCATCCATTCATCCATCCATCGGCTTATTCTGGATGACTCGGCTTATTCTGGATGACTCAGCTTATTCTGGATGACTTGCTTATTCTGGATGACTCGGCTTATTCTGGATGACTCGGCTTATTCTAGATGACTCAGCGTAAACGAATCTGTCATCTGGAGTCTGAAATTGAACTTGTTCAATTTCCAAAGTCTAGTTATTATTAAAACAATATGTTTTCTTTCAAGTGAATTACCTATGATAGTAAAATATCAATCCAACTCTCTGAAAAATAGAAGTACAAGTTCATGCTTTGTTGAATACACTTCTGTAAACTGCACCAATATGATAATCTCATGTAAAAACCTGTAAACTTCACGCTGGCCCACAGGAGATAAACAAATCTAACATCATTTATCTGCGTGCACATTGAAGTTCACATTCAAGTTGTGTTAAATATGTGTAGCTTAGCCTCTCTAGTGTTTGTTTTGAGGTGTCTGGTGGTGAGCGTCCATGATTAAATGCAAAATCACTGGAGCAGATACCATCAAAAACATCTGACAGTCATCATGTCATATAAGACTACATCTATCTGGTAATAGTTTTCAGAGTTAAAAGTATGGGTTAAGCATACAGTTGTAGTTTTATGAATCCACTTCCTACAAATACATTAATTGTACAGCACTGTCTAGTATACCAGGTCTGTCAACTGCCCCGCAATTTGCGTATTTGTCACGCATTTGCTGAAGAATTTGAAGTCACGCCAGTTTTTTTTGCGTGACAGAAAATGTCACGCAAATACGCATTTTACTTAATAATTGTCAAGCAAAAATATTTCTATAAAAAAATTCTAAAAAAGTTTGCGATACAGCAAAAATATGAATGCCGAAAAAAATGTACGCATTCCATTCGGACTTTTCACGAGAATCACCTATATGTCACGCATTCTGTTCGAAATTTCTCTTACCTACCCCCCCTTGACAGGCCTGAGTATACCCACAGTTTTATAAACACAACTTATGAATAGAAATATAGATTATAATATTATTTACATCCAACATGAATATGTTTTGTTCAATTCACAACAAACAGTTCTAGGGAGTATCACAAAGTTATTTTGCAGTTTTAGGCAAGCATCTCCATATATTCAGGATTTTTGAAACATTCTAATGACGCCCCTTGTATGCATTCGTGCATCAATGTACTCCAATGAAACATATCATTCCTTCTATTATTCATTATATTCATTTTAATGATTGGTGCATGAACGTTGTTATTGTACTCGTCTGAAAATAAAGATTAGATCAATTAATTTTAGTGGTTCAAAAATATACTATCACACTATAATACAAAACATGATTCAAGTGTATTATTGACTATCTAAGAATTGGTTTTTGTATAAAACCAGCGAAACTGATATACTCAAAAGCAACCTGGTTGAAAGCCAAAAATCTTGCGCAAGCGCGATTGAGGTAGGGTAGTGTGTATTAGGGAGATAACCAGTTTCACATGTGCAAGTTTTTAGAAGAGGTAAGAGGGTCAGGGAGATATCAGATGCTGAAGTATGACCCATTTTTTATGCCCCCTCGAATGGTTATGTAATGTATGAAGAGAAATGGCTATGTATATGAGCTCAGCTATTCTATATCACAGCTAAGCTGGTCAGATAAAGTCAACTTTAGTCATTTTGGCTCATCTTTACCACTACAATTTGAAATTGGTGATGTAATCTGACATAACATTTTTGTTTTTACAGCTTACATGCTATTCCCATCATGCATGCATATTACCAGGTAAAATAATGCTTGAAGTGGAAAAAGAAAATTATTGCACATATACTCGTTTTATATATATATATTATATATATAATGAATATCAAAGACATCCAAATTGACAATAATTGTGGTAAAATTTATTTTCAGTTGGCTTTTGTCTTCTGCCTGGTGAAGGGATCAGAGAACCACACAAACTACCTATTAGCCTGTAATCTAATCAGTAAGTGTTTATTCATGGCTTTTGTTTTTATATATAGTGCTCATGGTTATAATGAAAATGTGCACCAATTTTGAACGAGCTTGCACATTAACACAATGTTCAGAATGGTCGATCCTTAACCCTTTGGTATAGTGGCCAGAGGCAATTACTTGACTATTATGACTGCATATTTAGCACATATAACCTCTTCATTTCAAGTCTTTAATGTTTTACTGTACTCCCGGTATTTTTGCGTGAAATTTAGTTTCATGGTTTTTGTGATTGCGCGCAGTATAATCGTGAAAGATAATCGTAGCGAAATTTGCAAATTAAATCCCTGTAATAGATAACGGGGTACAGCATGCCATTGTCCAAGATTTAGTAATTATGAATTTTATCAAAATATTACACTGGATTGGATGTAACTACGGTATAAAAGGTAACTTAGTTTACAAAATTTGATGATTCAGAGAATAATGAAATTTGAACTTGTGAAAACCGCGAAATTAAATAGCCACGAAATTGCGATTTCTAAAAATTCGCAAAATTAAAACTCGCGAAATTAACTGGGAGTACAGTATATACAGTAAAACCTGTGAACAGGGAATGCTCTTGGGACTGAAGGAAAGTTTCCTTGTTCAGAGGTTTTCCCTATAAAGAGGGGCCGCACTTTCAGCAAACTCAAAGTTGCCGAATAAGCACTATATTTGTATATATTTGGGCATTGATTGACTGTTCCAAAGCCGACTCCATACTTGGTTGCTAGACTTTGTTGTAACATCTTGAAAGATGTATTAAGGTCTCCAACCTGCCTGCGTTGGCTGAGGGTAAGGGGCGTTCTTCCTATGTTGATTTTAGCTGCTGCTGGCGTCTGATGATGTCTAGTTGATGTGATGTGTAGAGATATGTTGCTAAGAACTGAATTTCAAGTTTCATCAACCCCATTTTAGATCATTGATAATTTAGAGTTTGGGATCAGTAAAAGATTGAAAGAGATTTGGCTCAACATGACACATGGACTTCTGTCATCCCCATAAGTTTTTTGGCATTCTGGGTAAATGTCAAGGCAGCCATTTTGAATTTTCCATCCTAAAATCTTGTCTGTAAAGTCTTACAATGTATCTACGCGTTTTCAGGACTAGTTCTTAGTATGAAAATCTTGAACTGACTAATTTTTTGGCACTCAGGGTAAATTTTAAGGTGGCCATTTTGGATTTTCCGTCCTCAAATTGTGTCGGTAAAGTCTTGTCTACTCATTTTCAGAATAACCATTTGACTGGATCACCCATTGGTGTGGACATTTTGTACACATTTGTGTTCTTGTTGGAATTATGTCAGTCCCGGGGACTTTTTACTTGGTATATTTGACTCAATTATTTTATACATGTTCCAGGGCCTATGGTATGCACTATGCAGCACCAGGCCCCAATTTATGTTCGAATTTTCTCTCTACAGTCCTTGTTGCCCCTTCAACCTAACTTTTTGTATGGTTGCAATGTTATATAGCTTGATTTAACCACCTGGTGATAAATCTGGTAACTAACTACTGGCATTTATTTATTATTTATTATTTATTTATTAAAAATGAACATTTTCATGAGTAAAAACGTTGTTTTTGTGCTAATTATTGATGCATATGTTGTATAAAACTAATGATTTAGGAATTTAAGCAGTTGAAGATGAAATGAATTTTAATAACTTTTCAATTTAATTGTTGTAACATCTACTCATCTGAGAAAAGATTTACCTATCTTTCATTATTATGTATTATAAGTATATGCAGCACTGACCTGCATAATTCAAACATTTTCCTTCACTCGATCAGCTCCCATCGGTCAATTCTACAAAGTGAAGACTGAGCCTGTGAGAATACAGTCAATACGCAAGCAAATAAAACTACTTAAAAGCGAAAGTTTCCTATTTTTAGGCACAGATTCTAATTAAACATTACTCATACTTGTATTGAATGTTCATCGTTATGAATCATGTAATTATGATCATAATGTGTTTAATTGATTTCTATTCTGCTCTTGCTATTAAACGCATTATATTTTATTTTTCAGTCAGCACATTTGTTGGAGTAGTCATTGTAAGTTTTATTTCTCATATTTTCCTAGTAAATATATTAAGTAACAATTAAAAAAGTTCCTTACCCTATACCTTGAGTTTAAAAAGGAATCTTACCAGTCGGCCATTATCAGTACTATGATACAAAGCTTATATAGTGATATTGATTATGGTAATAATAGATTATTGATGATGAGAAATAAATTTTACAAGTGTCTACAGGGTAGGCAATAAAAGATTGGACACTTCATTCTTAGAAGTACATGTATTTAAGATCACACAGACAAACCATGTGTTACACATGTATACCAAAAGAGCAGGCATGTTTTATAAAAAAGCAAGAGCGACTTATGATTTAGTTTTATTTGATACTAGCAAAGAAGGAATGCAACTAAAATTAAACACTCTCCAGTCTTTTTGTAATGACTGGAAACTTGAAATGAACATTGATAAAACGCTTTCTGGTCAACTCAACCCAAGTCAACTCAACCCTTAGGAAACTCAACCCCAAGTCAAGTCAACCCCTAGTCAACTCAACCCCAAGTCATCTCAACCCTTAGTCAAATCGACCCCACCATATTTAAATATCTATAAAAAATTAGATGTGCCTTTCATTATGATGTTAAAGAATTATGAAAAAATGAAAAAGATATATGAATGAATTGTTAAGTAATTTTCCGAATTTATAGGTTGTATAAAAGTTGGGTGGATTAATTCGAAAATTTTAAATTATATTCGTATATTTATATGATATTTATTCATCAAAATAACAGAATCTATACGCCAAAGAAATGTTTATATTTTTAAGTAAGATTTGAAATCAAGACTGCACAAACAACGGGATTCATGATTTTTGTATAAAACGACTAGTCTCGATTTGGAGAACGAAGTTCATCAGACTACTGCATGTTACCCTTGATTGGAGATTTTTATATCTTTACATATTGTAGATTTAAATGTCCTCTTTTGAATATCCAAAATTTAATTTGGATGTTATTTCTATATTTTTCATAAAAAAATTATTAGCGCAGTAGACTGATGATACTATGAGGTTATATAATGGTTCTTTCTGTATATCGTGTTTATACTCGAGTGAGTATATGATATATATGCGAACGAGTGAATATATTATATTATCACGAGAATATAAAATGCACGATATCCACAAAAATATCCCATAGCCAACTCAACAATGCCGATGTTGATCTCGAACCATTTATGACGTGGCTTGATTCTAGCAAATCATGCCGGAACCATTTATGACGTCACTAGATTCTAGGAAATCATGACAATTTTGAAGTGTCGGAACTCCTCATTCGCTCCGCTCATTCGGGGAACACAACAGTCTGTATAACAAAACACACACCTTGTTCTTCGGTCTATATTCATTAGTTCCCAGAATGCACTTCTACAGTGGTATACGCTGGAGTGTATACAGAGGAGTTGTATACGATGACGATATACCACTCTCCACTGTATATCGTTGTTATACATGTAGACCCATGTTATACAACTGTAATTGGACTTGGAGTGGTATAATTAATGATACAATTTTGTTTGAATAATGTATTCTTACCTACTAGAAAACAAGTAAAATCATTGGGGTCGAGTTGACTAAGGGTTGAGTTGACCAAGAGTTGAGATGACTTGGGGCTGACTTGACTAAGAGTTGACTTGACTTGGGGTCGACTTGACTAAGGGTTGAGTTGACTTGGGTTGAGTTGACTTGGGGTTGAGTTGACCAGGAAGCGGAATTATAGCGTCCATACATGGAAGTTCTTGTTTTGGGCACAACCTTGCTGCAGAGTTGAAGAAGTTTCGAAGTTGTTATTTCTCCCTCTTCGTAGCATCTCCATGCAGCATCCAGGGCTCCTTGGACTCTAGCATACTTCCTTCACTGATATCTATGCAGTTTCCTATCTTTGATCTCATATTTATAAAAATTATAAATGTCTTTAGCATAAATTATACATTATACATAAAATTATAAATGTCTTTAACTTCACTAGTTGATAATTTTATTTCGGAAAATTAGCATTTTAGTCCCTCATTCTTTAAAAATACATCAATATCATACCATGAAAGGTACATCTATTTGTTTTTATGGTGGTGTCGAGTTGACTAAGGGTTGAGATGACCAAGGATTGAGATGTAACCATTTTGCTCAATAAACACATTTATACATCTCATCTGACATAAAGTTTGGAGAGAAAGATTAAAGGTTATAATGATCTTATAATTTCAAATTTATTGTAATTTATGTTACCCCTACCCCTAATTTCGAACTGAGAAGAGACTCTGGATCTGAAGCATATTACCTGGAATTCTATTACAAAATGGTTGTAATTAGTCAAATTTCATTCTTTAACTGATATTTTTCACGAGTTTTTTTTGGATTGAAGACTTTTTAAAATGGAATATTCCTCTAAACTTCATGTCCCAGAAGATCTCCTTCTTGAGCACATTGCTGAGTATAGGATTTCTCAAATTTATGACGTCAATTTATGGTAAAAAGTTTTAGTGCAATCTTAAAGATTCTTAAGACTCAGTTTTAGATATATTATGTTTTATTGTAAAGACGCACCTGTGAAAGCGTGCTGCTGATACAAAAGCGTAGTTCTGAATAAATAAATAAATCTGAAAATATTTTTGGGTTTATTGATTTGATATCTAGAGAAAATGCAATCAGACATTACAGGCTGTCTTAAATAATGTCTATAAACAATTAACTTCAAAAAGGAAAACTCTGATTATCCCATCGAACGAAGTTCGGAGGGATATAGGGAACGTCCCTCCGTCCGTCTGTCTGTCCATCCATCTGTACGTACATCCGTCTGTCTGTCCATCCGTCTGTCCGTCCGGGCAAGAACTCAAATACTGTAAGCCCGATTTTGTTCATATTTTGTGCACATATACCCAATGGGGGTAGAAGTTCTGCTCGAAAGCCGATTTTCAAAATGGCCACTTATTTAAAAATGGCGGCCATTTTAGTGCCGATTTTACTGTAATTTAGGTACTGCATATAAAACTGTAATAGCAATATGTTTTAAATGTAAAAAAGTTATATAGGACATTGATTAAGCTAGGAATTTAAATACAGAAGAAATACCTGGCAGCCATCTTGAAAAATGGCTGCCTTCGCACGGCTTTTTACGATTTTTGCTGTAACTTGAAAAGTAGTAGAGCGATTTTGTTCATATTTGGTATGTGAATACTTTAAGCATGGCACAATGTCTGATGACATTTTTGGTATTAGGCAGCCATTTTGAAAAATGGCCGCCATTTTTATGTGTGTTATTTTACATTTTTTACTTTAACTCAAAAAGTAGTAGAGCAATTTTGTTCATATCTTATATGTGAATACTATAAGCATGGCACACTGTCTAATGACACTTTGGGTAGTAGGTGGCCATTTTGAAAAATGGCCACCATTTTTTACGTTTTTTACTATAACTTGAAAAGTAGTAGAGCGATTTTGTTCATATTTGATATGTGAATACTTTTGAGCCTTGCACACTGTCTCATGACACTTCGCGTAGTAGGTGGCCATTTTAAAAAATGGCTGTCATTTTTACATGTTTTACTATAACTCAAAAAGTATTGGAGCGATTTTGTTCATATTTGATATTGGAATACTTAAGCATGGCACATTGTCAAATTAAACTATATTGCTATATATTTTGTTTGTAAAATGCAAGCCATTTCTGTTCGATGGGATTCGCTACGCTTTGGCGTTGCCATTGTTCTGGTTACAGTAAGACTCAGTCTCTCTGTTTGATTTAGAGTCTGCTTTAAAGGATGTGTACGTCTGAATAAACTTTATTAATACAATAACAAAACAAAAACAATTTGACAAGGTTAAACAAACCCGATTACAGACCAGGAAGACTCTAAGTTTGATTAAAGTCTGCTATAAAGGAACTATAAATTAAATGTATATTTAACTTAAGCCATGTAATGAGAAGTAGCCACATACCAATCAAATGACTGGAATTTTACATATTGTGTGATACGGGAAATCTTCCACTCAAGTAAAAATTTTGAAGAATTCCTTTGGCAGTTAATATTATAAAATACACCTTGGGCATTTAGAGTTTAGTACAGATGGGAGTTTACTAAACGATTCATTAATTATGAGTAAAACATTTGACATAACAAACAACACATTTACATGGCACAAACAACTCAGAAATATACTGTGCCATATTAAGATAAAAATGTCTGGTGAACTTACCCTTGAAGATAAGGCTAACATAGAGAAGAATGCTAATGAGCTTGCTATTACAGTCAAAAAGAAATTAATAAAGAGGTATCACACGGGGGAAAGTCTACCCGCCTATATACAACCTACTGCCGAGCAAAGACCCGAAGATGTCTGAAAATGTAGGGGGAAGTTAATAAACTCCTGTTTATATATTGAGAAATAGATAAAACACAGAATTGTTTGTAACCGATGTAGTTGTTGTTCCAGGTACTCATGTTTGCAGAATAATGAGTACTAAATGCAATATTATATTATCAAATTGCTAATTCAACTTCTTAATACTAGAATGATGTTTTACATCTTAAATAAGAAAGAACCATGGCTGTATTTACTCCTTTTGATTCAAAGATATAATAGGTGCAAATATATATCACATTTGTTTCACTGCCATACGTTGCATATCATTGATATCACCGGTGAACGTTGAAAATGAAAGACCCGATTATACCAAGAGTATGATTCTATAGGACCCGATGCTACCGCCTGAGTATTCTGATTATATCGTGAGTAAAACCCGATGAGGTAGTGAGTAAGCTTTCGGATGATCATATAGTAACATGAAGTATATCACAAAAATTCCTGTTAATATCATATGATATAATTCCCGCTACACTATACGGTCGTCTGTGTCCCGCAAAGTTCTTTAAAACATTGAATTCATGCTTTCACTCAAACCACCATAGTTTTCAATGTTGATGATATCATCACTTCTATCTGACTATGCTCATCATCCAATGATTTTGGTACGTGTTATTTTGTATCTACCAAGACGGTAAACATATGAAAAATAGTTATCCCACCGAACGAAGTTCGAGAGGGATATAGGAAAGCCGTCCGTCCATCCGTCCGTTCGTCTGTCCGTCCGTCCATCCGTCTGTTTGTCCGGGTGATAACTCAAATATCGTTTCACGGATTTGATTCAAATTTTATAGGCTTATGCCTTATGGGTGTAGGACCTCTGCTCGAGAAGGAATTTTCAATATGGCCACTGAATTCAAATGGTCGCCATTTTTCGTAAAAAAATGTAATCTTTAATAACTCAAATACTAGTTTGCGGATTTGGTTCAAATTTTATATGCTGATGCCTAGGGACAAAGGAGTTTCGCACAAAAAGAGATTTTCAAGATGGCCACTTAATTTCAAAATGGCAGCCATTTTTTGTAAAAATATGTAATCTTTGATAACTCAAATACCAGCAAACATATTTCGTTCAAATTTTATATGATGATGCTTAGGGACACAGTAGCTATGTTCGACAAAAAATTTCAAGATGGCCGCTTAATTTCAAAATGGTGGCAATTTTTAGTAAAAAACGTAATCTTTGATAACTCAAATACCAGTGAACAGATTTGGTTGAAATTGTATATGATTATGCCTAGGGACACAGTAGCTCTGTTCAAGAAATAATTTTCAAGATGGCGGCTGAATTTCAAGATGGCGGCCAATTTTCGTAAAAAAACGTAATCTTTGATAACTCATATACCAGTGAACGGATTTGGTTCAAATTTTATATGATGATGCCTAGGGACACAGTTGCTATGTTCGACAAAGAATTTTCAAGATGGCCGCTTTATTTCAAAATGACGGCAATTTTTCGTTAAAAAAACAATCTTTGATAACTCAAATACCAGTGAACGGATTTGGTTCAAATTTTATATGATGATGGCTAGGGACACAGTTGCTTTGTTCAAAAATGAATTTTCAAGATGGCCACTGAATTTCAAAATGGTGGCCATTTTTCGTAAAAAAAACATAAAATTTTGATAACTCTAATACCAGCGAACACAGTAGGGACACAGTAGCTCTGTTTGAGGAAGAATTTTCAAAATGGCAGCTGAATTTCAAAATGGTTGCCATTTTTTTATTCAAATTTTATATGCTGATACCTAGGGACACTATAGCTCTGTTCGAGAAAGATTTTCAAAATGACTGCAGAATTGGCCGGCATTTTTAGTAAAAAAGAATGTAATCTTTGATAACTCAAATTTTAATTTATGGATATGGTTTACATTTTATATGTTGATGCTTAGGGACAAACAAGCTCTGCTCAAGAAGGAATTTTCAAGATGGCCACTAATAATCTAAATATGTTTTGTTCGGTGGGATTTGCTACTCCGTGGAGTTGCTGATTTTCTAGTTATAATATTTGATTGGTCTAAAATGTGCAAAGTTAAAAGACCCGTTATGCTCATTCGCTCTCAATTTTGAATAAGATAAGATATCAGTAGAATGGGTACTAAAATGAAAAAAGGTTGATCAGTCGAGATTAGGAACGTGAAACATATTCATTTTTATCCATATATATGGATAATAATTGATTTAAATGCAATTTCGCGCTATTCCTATCCTCCAGTGTTGATAGCCTAATTTCTGTTGTGTCATTCTGGGTCAAAATGTTACAATAGTATTAATAACGAGTAACTCTTCTAATAAAGACAATTAAATCAAGGTTCGAAAACTCCCAAATGTAACCCTAACACTATTTCATCATCAGCACATCATTAACTCAACAATATCATTGGATCTAAACAGATTAAACTCAAGTAATGTTCGGATTTTGAGATCTTTACTCAAGATATTTTTGGATCTTTATAATATTACTCATCGATCACATCGGGTCCGATGTCCGATAACATCGGATCTTTTAGGACAAAGTTTATGTGAAGATTTTGCTGTTCAAAAGTAGAGCTGGCATCAAATGTCGGGATGGTCAATTGTCAGTCGAATGCTCTCTGCGACACCCATGTCGACACAACGCCTCTTGATCGACAGTCGGAACTCACAACATAATAAGCTATTTCCCTATGAATTAAAATCTTTGTTACTACCTGCTGTATGGTGTATTTTAGTGAAGTTTTTCCGCCTACATTTTCAAATTTTCTTTTTTGTTTTGATCGACTTCCTGCTCTCAAATTAGGTCTCGGGCCCCTCGAGATTTACCCTCGAGATTTATTTTCAATGGCTGCCCGGAAATAACAACAGAAATCGTAGTTTTATGTCTATTTATTGCTTTTTCGTCAAAGTCTGATACTTGAACATGGTTTACCTGTAAGGTAGATATAAAACATACAACTGAGGGTGACTATTGTGCATCGTATTTCTAATTACAAGCCTAGAAAATCTAAAATTCAGACGGATTTTCTTCAAATTTTTTTTCATTTTTCGAATATCATTGGACCCGACAATGTCGATATCGTTGTTGATCAAGAGCTCCGACATGTCGACATTAAAATCCTATTCGATGCCAGCTCTATTCAAAAGTGCTATTTTGACCTAATAGTTTGACACTTAATATATTATGCATATGACATGCATTTACCGACCCAGGTATGTCTTATGTATGGCTCGTTATCAATTAAAGTGAATATGACTGAGAAAAGAAACCAAAAACCATTATACGTTTTACTTATCTCTTAATTTGGACATAAAAAATATATTTCAACTATAATTCTAGGCCAATTCCGCCTGCTAGAACATCTTAGTAACGATTCTAACCATCCAAAGGATGGATATTACCTTTATTGTCTATTTTCTAATGAGATGTTAGTTTACCAAACATTGGATTGACAGTATTAGTATTATATATTAGTATTTACTCGGCGGTAGGTTGTGTATAGGTGGGTAGACTTTCCCCTCATGTATGAAGTAACTTTATATTGGAAGAATCTTATTGTGGGAATGAGGGGAAGCTTAGATTATTTAAACAACTAAAAACACAGTTTGGATTTTAACAATACCTTTCAGAAACGACCTTTTCTAATTCAAAATACCTCGCTAAATTACATATAAGCGCCCACAATCAGAAATGTTCAAACTTTATTTTCATGACATTTGGTTCATACAGTGTATCTGCTCTTTTAGATAGAATGAGAAAAATAGTTGGCTAAATATGGATAGTATATAAATGGTTATACATATGTAGCTACCATGTCAAGGGAGAAATGGGCTTGCAAGGAATATTCCTTTTACTTTGTCAACTATTACTTAAAGGTAATGCTGTATGTTTTTATTATAAATTTTAATGGCTTCCTCATCCATCCCATCTTATTTTCTGGAATACGTAACTAAAAGAGGATTGGCTCCCAAGGTTCCACCTCAATATTCTGGCATATATAGTCATGGTTGGTCACGTGTCTTATTTCCACACAAAAAATTAAAAACACAAGAAGTAATCAAGATATTATTTCAAATATTTTGGATCGCTGATTATGAATTTCTAGTCAGAAAATAACAACATTTTCAATGTTGTCATCAATCAAGCTCAAGATCAAATATTGAGTTGGAACCCGGAGAGCCAATCTCCTTGACATAACTCGTACTATACTTGGTCTACATCTTTCAATTTTGCACAAAGAGTACACATCCTTAGATGATTAGTTGAGGGTAAACAATTTTCAATAATGTATGATAATTCAGAAAATTCAGTGACCTACTTTTTTAAAGTACATAAAATGTAGGTCACTGTATTTTCTCCTTTTTCATGTTAATGCCTTAGTGTTATACATATCTATTTACTAACCCTCAACTAATAATTTAGGTATGTTTAATGCACTCTTTGTGAAAATCTAAAACATGTAGACTCGGCATAGAATTAGTTATATGTTCCTGAAAATAAGATGGGGCTCCAATTAGGAACCCCTTAAAATTTCTGAACATACGGAACTTCAATAAATTCTGCCCAGTTTCATAACAAATGTTGACTAAAAATAGAGGCTCACTTGCAAAACTTATTGACCATCCAATAGAGCATAGATCTAATGTGATGTTTTTAACTAAATGAAGTCCATTGCTTATGTTTCAGTCTTGGTGGTACAGAGGCGGTGATCTGGTAAGTTTGCAATGCTATATTCTACTAGATTGAAATTGAATTCTCCACATTCTATGCACACCAAAGAGGCATTCAACATATTTTTATTAGCTCACATAGCGTGCGCTGTTGTTGTCACTCACTTGTCTGTCCATCCATCTGTCCATCTGTTCGTCTGTCAGTCTGTCCACCCGTCTGTTCATCTGTCTGTTAACACATTGCTGATTACTTTGAAATCCTCCATGACAATTGAAATGGTTTCACTTTTAAAATGTGTCTCTATAAAGTTTTCAATTGCACCATAACACAGGTAGGGATCGAACAGCACTTTCCTATGATAAAAAATGCTTTTATAGGTATATTTCACCGCAAGATCAGGTAAAAATGGCACTCTGGGATACAAATCACACACAGGTAGTTTATAAAACTGCATCTAAATCACAGTTTACAATTTTTATCCGATCAGATTATGGTACAAAAGTTTAGTAAGTTTAATCACATACATGTATTTACCAACCCTATTTACCCATGGCTAATGTCAGTTTATCTTAGTTTTCTCATAAACTGGCATGTTTGTATTACTTCACCCATATACCACATATGATTAAAAAGCTGCTGTAAATGCTAAAGAAAATATCCTTGGTTTCCCTCGTATAATATTCCTAACCATTTGAAGATAAACACAACTTAACGAGAACCACCAGGGGGACAACTTGTTTGCAGTCTCAGGAACAACCTATTCATATGTAACAATGGCGTAGCTAGGATTTCTCAAGGGGGGTGCATGAGGCAAATTTTTCAGATTAACGAGGCAAAATTTTCTTTGTAAGAGGCAAAAATCAAAAGGGCCAGGGAAGCAAAGCATGTCAATGAAAGACAAATAGTTAGTCTTACACATATCATGGGCAGGGTCCACATTTCAAGTAAGAAAAAATTTTTGAGCCCCTAAAATCCAAGTGTGGCCCAAATTTGAAAATTTAAGGCCCATCCATATTTTCGGATAATTTGAACTAAAATGAATAAATAAGGCCCAAATAGGCCAAGTAATTATGCCTAAAAGTCCCACAAATTAAGGCCATACAAAATTTTTGAGCCCAAATATACCTCTTTCAAAAGCCGATTGCTTGCTTTACTTACCAAGCCCTTGAAAGAGGTAAAAAAGGGGGATTATGGTCCCCCTTTTTAAAGGCCCTTACTGGCCCTGATTGTGAATTAAGATTTTGAAAAGGGTTATTTGCTAAATAAAACAATATAATATGTTGAATATATCAAATGAATTAGATGATGCTTATGGTTTTATATGCCTTGAATATTCATTGCCAGAAGATATAGGCGCACCCGACGCGACCCCCTGGCGATGACCATGTGTATGTACCCACAGTCTGCTAGGTCTATGCACTGACAATATAGAGCCTTCATTTTGACAAAATCTACAGAGTTTTACTAATAAGTAATATATAGTATAGTATAAGTATAAGTTGTGTGGTGAAATGTACGGAATAGCAATTTTTACAGGAGAGTGCTGTTTGATCACTACCTGTGCATAAGTGGCGTCTCAAAAGCTTGTCTCATTTTAAAATGCTGGCCATTTTCATGGCAGAATAATAAGGTTTTCAGGTCTTTTGTGGTTTTAACTCCACAAATGGCCACCACTACTTTTGTTGCTGAAATATCACTTTTTATGTTTAAATCCAAAATATCAAATTGATATGTTGAAATTGTACAGCCAGGTTAACAAAAATGTATAGAAGCTTTGGCAAAATATCACGTAAAACTTCAAATGGCGGATTCAAAATGGCGGAAATTTTTATTGCTGAAAAATCAGGTTTCAGGTCTTTTTTGGTAAGAACTCCACAAGTATTCCCCGGGAAGTATTCTATCAATTTGCTTAAAATTTTATATGTACCTTTCTTTATACATGTAGGTAAACAATCTTGTCTACAAGTTTCGGCAATATCTCACAAAGATCCGTAATTGCTGCCAATTGTTAAAATATAACTTTTTATTATAAATTCAAAAGTATTGTAACATTGATTTGCTTGAAATTTTACTGGCAGCTAATTGTACATGTATAAGCTAACAAATAATATCTAGAATCCACTGTTCAACATCAATATAGAAAACCATCCTATGACTCCTGGTTCAAAAGCTCGTCTATTTTCAAAATGGCCACCATTTTTGTCTCGCGAAATTCATTGGACCATTTGCATAAACTTGTGTTTATAGGATTCCTGTTTTAAGTTGATTTTGTTCAACATCAATACAGAAATCTCGATCCTTATGACTCCTGGTTCAAACGCTCGTCTATTTTCAAAATGGTCACCACTTTTTGCCCATTTCCTAGCTTTACAACAAATTTCAGGTATGCTGCATTGTAAAAATCCACGTCACTGTAAAGAGTAGTTGTATGTAATAATTTTGTTACAAGAAATCGGCAAAAAGTTAAATCTGTTTTATTTAGTTTCAGCCATTTTAGTAAACATTGATATGTCCATCTCTCACGCGAAATCCACTTTTGGACCATTTGCCTTAAAACCTGTGTTGATAGGATTTCCGTTTTGAGTTATTTTTGTTCACCATCAATACAGAAAACTCCCCCATGACTCCTGGTTCAAAAGCTGGCCTATTTTCAAAATGGTCGTCATTTTTGTCTTGCGAGATTCACTTTTGGCCCATTTCCTAGCTTTACAAATAATTTCAGCTGTCCTGCATTGCAAAAAGCCATGTCACTGTAAAGAGTAGTTACATATGAAATTATTTTGTTACAAAATTGGCAAAAATTACATCCATTTATTTTTATTTTCTGCCTTTTTAGCCATCATTCATTTTTGAGCAACACCATGTGAACCCAGTACCTATGGTACTATTTATTTTTAAATAAATTTGACAAACCAAGATTACATTTTAGAAAAAACAGTGAATTCCTCAGATATAACATTGATTGAGATTTTTGGACTCTAGTTCAATATGTACTAAGTTGTTCAGCCTGGATAGGAAGGTGACTGGCAGTTAGCATTTTACATATATGAGACAAATGACATGACAAGGGCATTCATGTAGTTACACGTCAAAATTACTGAAAATATATGCTTTTAGACTGACATTGTGAAAACTATTTTCAGTGTCATGTCCTTTTTGACTTACCAATTTAACCACCTCTTTTTGGATACTGGTTTTCATGCTATGTTTATACTTTCAGACATCTGACAAATGGTGGTTCCTGATCCTTGTGTGTGCCGTCATTATCTTCCAGTGTTTAACCACAGACATTTATGCCTTCCATGCTAGGGTAGTACCTCCTACTGGCATATCTACACCCCCTCCTTTCCAGAACAGGACAATCCCAGCCAGAAATATCACATCAGCATTTAACATTACTACACCTCACAAAATGGAGAATTTCTTGTATGACATAACAGAAAGCCCCATACCAGGGAGATAGGAGTTGATGGCCTATGAAGTGACAAGATGTCAATAAAAGTTATATATGATTTCTCATGTTTATTAAATTAACATTTCTTGCATGATATAACAGAGAATCCCACTCTTTGATGGGAGTTTGGACTAATTATTAAGTTAAAATTTTTATGATATATGTAAGTTATATGTATTTAGTGAACATTGCTGTACTAATATTATTTCAGTCAGCTTTAAAGTGCCCCATGAATCGGGCGACGTATACCGCCATGGTTACATTAGAGGATTAGAAGAGTTTGTTCGGAGGGATATAGGGAACGCCTACGTCCGTCCATCCGTCCGTACATATGTCCATCTGTCCAGGCAATATCTCAAATATCGTTGGCCCGATTTTGTTCATATTTTGTACGCATATACCCAATGGATATAGAAGTTCTGCTCGAAAGCCAATTTTCAAAATGGCCACTCATTTAAAATTATCGGCCATTTTAGTTCCAATTTTACAGTAATTTAAGTGCAATATGTAAAACTGTAATAGCAATATGTTTTAAATGTAAAAAAATTATATAGGACTTTGATCATGGGCTTTCAACCATGCTTTGATAAAGCTAGAAATGTTGATATAAAAGAAGCACATGGCAGCCATCTTGAAAAATGGCGGCCTTTACTCGTTATTTTACGATTTTACGAAAAGTAGTGGAGTGATTTGTTCATATTTGGTATGTGAATACTATAAGCATGGCATACTGTCTAATGACACTTGTGGTAGAAGGTGGTCATTTTGAAAAATGGCTGCCATTTTTGCTATATACTTTGTTTGTAAAAATGTCAGCCATGGCAGTTCGATGGGATTTGCTACGCTTTGGCATTGCTGTTGTCTAGTTTTTTATTTAGGTATGCAAGCTATATCAATATCAGGCCTTCATGCATGTACTCATGTGTACAATCAGCTTGCCCTTAAATATTATATAAACACGGTGTTACTATACCAGGCTATTCAATAAGTACATGTACAGGGTGACAAAAAAAACTGGAACCCACTTGAGTCTTAATAACTTCGTCAATTATGCATATTGAGCTTAGTTATTTGGTACATGTATAGTCAACTGAATGTATGACAATATGATAAAGTTTGAGCATTCTAGCTCAATTAGTCTCCAAATGAGGCACGTTTAGATAATGTGCTCCAAATGTGCACCACGAAGTTGGATGCAGAGCTGGATTCTTCTTGCAAAATTGTCAATGACCCGACTGCATTCATCTCTGTCTATCTCTCTAATTAGTCTTCCATCACTTTTCTTCTTTGATGGTTTTACAGTTCCTTCTGAATCAAACTTCAAGATTAATCGATCACCAAAGTGAGCCTGAAGCCATCGAATGGACTCATTTGAGGAATGGGGTGTGGCACCATCTTGCCGGATCCATTGCTGGTCCCTTCTCAAGTCATGTCGTCTACCCAGCGCTCTCCAAAACTTTTGAACGTTAGGGATGTAACATTCTGAGTTGACTGTTGAATTGTCTTGAGTTATGACAGACCTCTCTCTCCCCGAATAGGTTGATATACCATCACTTTTCTTCTTTGATGGTTTTACAGTTCCTTCTGAATCAAACTTCTGTACAAGCCTAAAGATCTGTGACTTGCAAGGGGCTCTTCTTGCCATGTGATCTCTCCTATAGGCAGTTTGTGTCTCTTTATAGGATTTTGCCTCAATATACTTTCTCACAATGTAAGTTTTTTTCTTCTGTCGTCCATGGCATGATTAATATCTAAGCTACAGTACTCATTATGGTGTCATTTTGTCATGCATTCAGTCTAGTTTCTACCCTGAAGAAATGAAGAATGTAGGTATAATACTTTCCGAGAAATTTGATGATTTATGGGTTTCAGTTTTTTTTGTCAACCTGTACATGTACTACATAATGTACACTATTTATGTGTGTACTACATGGGAATATAATTCCCGAGGAAACAAAAGACAAATGCTTTTTATATGTTCAAAATTGAGCCATTTGATTGATACATACACTCAATAGCTTCATAAATAACATCTACAAAGTATATCTAATAGTAATTTTCAATTTCAATGGTAAAAATTACCTGGTTATGATTATACGGGAAATCAACACAGGACGAAGATTGTTCACTTTCCTAGCTTACCTTGATTAACTTTGGGGTGGCCATCTTGTTTTCTAGCGGCCATTTTGAAGGTTTTTGATAAATTGTGCCATCACTTACCAGATTTTCTCCAAATTTGCACACATGATAGAGGATATCAAGTTCTAGAGCTGATTACCTTTTGGGTGCAATCTTGTTTTCTGGTGGCCATTTTGAAGGTTTTTCGATGTTGTGATCTCGTTCACATCATGTGCCTTGTTCTGCAATAGTTTTTCGATTTCTTACTAGATTTCTTTAGAGGTAGACTACCAACTAAAGATTCTTCTACAAGGATTTCTCTTTGTATGCATATGTAGCTTGTATTAGCTGTTCACCATCAAAGTATTACTGGTTTTGTACTTTTTGGCTCACACAGTGAGCCTATGGGATTGACCAGGCGTCCGTCCGTCCGTTGGTCCATCCGTCCGTCAACATTGGGTGCACAAATTAAAACTGCTATTCGGATTGAGTCATATCCACATTCATTTTATGCATATCTTTTTTGAAAATGTGACTTCTAGTTCAGGTTGATTCCCCATAGACCCCATATTACAAAATCACAAAAAGTGAAATATCTTTTCTTGTTTTGGACATATAACATTTTCTTTTACTGGACATACTTTAATTTGCATAACTATTCGATACATAAGGGCTATATGAAAATTGAACCACTAAAACAGATGTAATTTAAGTTAAAGGGAACTTTCTACTATACCCACCATGCTATCTGACCCGAGCGAGCCACGTGGTGGTGAAACTGGTAACTACCTACTCGCATTTGCATTAGTTTGCCCGGTTTCCGAGAAATTGCTGATTTTGACGTCAAAAAGTCAACTTTTCTGTAAATACTAGACACTTTGTTGAAGTAGAACTTTCAAATAACGTGTAGTAGTTGCTGTATATGCAACTTATGTCCTCTGAAGATTTCAAAGCTCTTGGAATTACAGTTTTCGGTGTTTACTCTATAAAATTTGACAAAAAGTAGGACTTAATCATTTTCAGGGAACTTTCTCATGTATATCATCAATGGCAGGTTTTGTGATTGACAAGTTTCTCAAAGTTTGCCTTATACTTGATCATTTCTTGCAATGAATTACATCATTACTAGATTTAATCATTCCCTACATATTGCTCAATATATGTTAGCATCAAATTTTTACCATTTTTGAGATATTTGACGTCAAAAAACAGTAAAAATAAGTTATTTTTCAACTTGCTTCAATTTGACCAAATTTGTTTTGAAAATCAACTACAAGTTGCCAGGAGTTCAAATCTGACATTACCTTTACTTGACCTTCAGTGACCTTCGAATGGTCAAAAAGTTATTTTTTCAAATTGATTTTTGGATGTAAATTTTGGTCAGCTTAATCACAAAAGACCTTACTGAGCTCTGAATAAGTACAATTTTCAAATGTCAAAGGTCATCAAACTAGGTCACAAAACTGTGCTATGTTTCTCAAAGTTCGAGACTACAAATCCAAATCAATATTTTTATTTGAAAGTCAGGATATACATTCCTCTGAAGGTTCCAAACTGTGTGAGCACAGGACCGTGGGTCCTTTATTGATGATATTGAAGATGAATGCTTCCACAATGTAAATGTGTACATAGACCCTGGCCCTGGTAAAAAGTGATATGTGATGTATAGAAAAGCTTTAAAGCTTATTTTGTAGAATGTATAAGTTTGATGAATATTTTCTCATAAATAATTATATTATGCTGCTCATCATTCCACCTCTACTACTCTATCTCAGAATCCAAATCCAATTGTACATATCATACAATATATGAGTACAGTGCTGAATTGAAGATTATGTGCATATATTGCTCAACTAATTTTGTAATTATTAATTTTTTGTGATTTTTATAATGATAAGACGAAAAATGTCTTATGTTTATGCATTATGCAATATATAAAATTACTGTAAATATTGCTGTCATTTATCTCTTATAATATACTGATAAGTTTGTAAGATATGTGGCTGAAAATTCAGGGATGGAATATTGTAATTATCCCAACGAACAAAGTTCTGTAGGGATATAGTGAAGCCGTCCGTCCGTCCGTCAGTCCGGAAGATAACTTGAATACTAGTCAACAGATTTTCTTCATATTTGGTGGAAAGATGTGTATTGGTGAAAAGTTTTACGCAAAAAATTTTTTCAAGATGGCCGCCAGTTTGAAAATGGCGGGAATTTTTCGCAAAAATCTTATGTTTTTTATTTTAAACCAAAATAATAAATATTATTATTTGGAATTTTGGTAGTATATTAACAACATCTATCTAATGTATTTTATGTATATCCCCGGTTTTCACCCTGACCCCCAGGGGCTGTAAATTGGTAAATTGGGAAAACAGAGATTTCTTTAATTTTGAGATGTTTTTGGAGTATAGCTTTATTATACTCAAAGAAAGGCAATTTAGAGTAGATTGTAAATATTGTAGCGTTTTTCTGATTCGGGTCTCATAAATTCAAAATGGCCGCCTAATGCGGGATTTCACAATTATTTTCTGATCTCTTAAAAGTATGGCTATATTATACTCAAATTGAAGGTATTTCAGAGTAGATCACAATTATGGCATTGTTTTTCTGATTTGCGCCTCTGAAAATTCAAAATGGCTGACTAGAGCAGAAATTCGCCATTACTTAGAATTATCTTGAAAGTATGGTAACACGATACTACAATGATTTAAAATATTTATTGAAGGTAAGAGTAGATGGTAAATATTACATTGTGACTGTACAGATTGATGATTTATATAGTGTTTGTTGGGATTTGCTACTCCGTGGAGTTGCCATTTTCTAGTTTGTATTTGATGTACAGAATCGCAGTTTCGGATCTAAAGATTTGTCCACTGTGGGAACTTTCAAATGTGAAATACATTAAGATTCCTTTCATATCTTTCACAACTACATTTGAGGAGAGAACTTGTCAATTTGAGAAAGGGGTTTGACACATTCTTCTAAAATAAAGTTGTAACACCCTCCATGAAACTGTTCCCCCACAGTGGACAAAAAGTTAATTTTTAAGAAAAATGATTAAAATGCCCTTATACATCTAGATCCCATTAAAACCTTCTGTTACACTGAAAACATATAAATATTCTTCAGTGGACAAATCTTTCAATCCCAACCCGCGAGAAAACTCTAGCTTTTCAGCATATTATTTGAAAGTCAAGTGTGTGTCAGAGCATTTGCAGCAGTTCTATACTTGAATATTTTGATGTAATAAATATTTTTCAAATATGTAGTATACATTTTAATGTTGCTTCTTTTCGAAAAAGTGAAGTGAAGGAAGTGATTGCAATCAACTCCAGGATTTTTAGCAAATAGACATGATATTAGCCGAAAATATTTAAAAATTGAGACAATATTTTAGGTTTGCTTTCAGTTCAGTTTGTTTTCAGCTCAATTAATGTGCATGTTCCATGTGATAAAATCTTCTTTCCCCAGTCAGAGAAGCTGTTCTCAGTGTTTGGTTTTGTTATTATGTAACCACCAAAAAGTGGTGACATATTGTTATGGCCTCCGTTTTTTTGATGGCGGCTGGCGTCTGTTACAAATTCTTACAACTTCCAATAACTTTGACCTTCAATGACCTTTTCAAGGTCAAAAAGGTATTTTTCAACTTTAAATTGACCAATTTTTTTTCAAAATCATCTACAAGTTCTCAACAGTTCAAATCTGATTATAGATTTGACCTACAATTTCAAGGTCAAAAAGGTCTTTTTTCAACTTGCTTCAAATTGACCAATTTTTTTCTCAAAATCATCTACAAGTTCTCAACAGTTCAAATCTGACTATAGATTTGACCTTCAATGACATTCTCAGAGTCAAGAAAGATTTGACCTTCAATGACATTCTCAAGGTCAAAAAGGTGTTTTTTCATCTTTTTCAAATTGACCATTTTTTGGCCTTTGGTCCAATATTTCACAATATTGCCCTTCGAAATGACGTTATTGTACTATTATTCAGTCAAGTACTAGATACTATTTATTGATAGGATATAGGTTGAACACCCGAGATGCAAATATTTAAGGGAATAAAACAACTTCAACCTTCTGTGAGAAATTACAAGTTTATTTTTTTTTATTTCACACCCTATCTATTTACTCTAATTAACAGTAAAACAATTTATTGGACGGATGGTTTTATTTCAATTCTATACTAAAAATTACTAATATACTTATAATTCACAGGAACATTGTATATGTAATCACAAAAGTGATGCTAGCTACAACAATGAGCCTATAAAACAATTATAAAATACAAAATCTAGATTTTTCAAAAATGGGAGTGCAAAAAGAAATATTCCATATATGCATGGTCAGGTTATGTTTCTTTACATAAGTAACCCAACTTTTGACAAGTAAAAAGGGACGAATACAGCAGTAACAATAAGTCCCATGTTTTTGATACAATTTTTTTAAAGAATCAAAACATACAATACATAGAACAAAAGTAATCTAATTATGTTAATAATTTTCATTACTGTTCTTTCACAAGTCATAAGATTTGTTCAAAATAAAGCCATATAGGATACAGTATCCTCACAAAGTAATCTGTTTCAGTGGCACATGCCCTCACACCCTAGACAGAGTATGCTATATGAAAACAAGCAGTGCAGATATCATGTGTGGATGGTGCAGATATCAACATTCATAGTTGAATTTGTGATATTTCATAAACTAAGACATGTTGGATACTTAATTTTACCCGATGGATACTAAATATATATGGGGATAATAGTCTCAAGATAATTTTGGTATGCGCCACTTAAATTGTATTTGATCCATATTTATAGGATATCCTATGATTTTGAGGAATATCATTTTTATCTACGAGGTGATATTGATATCTACACGAGAGAATGCATATATCAATATCACTGAGTAGATTAAAATGATATTCTGAAAAAAATCATAGGATGTTGAAAAATAAATTTTTCTTGAAAAAAAATATTGAAAATTAATTTGGAAAAAAAAATTTTGAAAAAATATGCATTAACATTAAATCAAGAAAAAAATAACTCACAAAGAAAACAGCATGTGAAGTTCAGAGATCCTTAGTAGTGCATGCACATTTTTGACAAAGTGCATGTTTTAAAAAACCTTTGATTGAAAAGATGGCGGCACTTCTATGTATATTAATGGATTATGTGATACAAACAACTACGCCATCTTTCAATGAGATATGTAAAAGCTTGATATATAAAACTTTAGAGCAAAATATTTCATGTGGGCCATTTTAGCTTTTTCTGGTATCAAATGAAAGATAAAATACTTATTAATCTATTGGAAATACTATGAATTTCAAAAATAAGACTTTATTTTGCCAAAGAATGTTGAAAATACACAGAGTGGACCTTTAAATGTAAAGTCAGATTTGAACCACCAAGCGCCTTGAAAAAAACGGAGACCATAACAATGAATATGTCACCACTTTTTGGTGGTGACATAAAAATACATCACAGACACATGTACCTTTACATACATACAAGTCAAATTCAGTAAATACAATATTGCACAAGTAATGAACTACATTCTAGACAATTTCATTATCACACAGTTGAGCAAATCTACAATGTTTTGTGAATTCAAAGGCAGTCTAAAGTTTGATTTGGGGAAGGCCAAATCAGTTTGTATTTTATTCTTCCTAAGTTCAATAACGTAATCTGGAGTGTGTGGCAAAAAGTGGGTGTAATTCAAAATGTTGTGATCTGATTGGTCAAAATGGCAAATTTCAAAAAACTGTCCAACAAGTCTGTTTTTAAATATTTTCCACAATAAAGTTGGAACAGGAATTTCACAAGCATACTATTCAAGATTTTTCTGCAATAAAGCTGGAGGCCATTTTGAATTTTTGTGACATATTTTGCATTATATCTGTCTGAAATTGTTCAATTGAATTGACATGAAGATTTGCTCTGATCCTTCCTTGAGATTGCTCTTGATGTCTTTTATGAGATTATTTCCAGTGTCATGACATAAGTGTTAAGTGAGTATTCCTAGAGTGTAACTTAAATATTATGCATTCCATGAGTCTTTATTGTGAAGTGAATTATTTCTTTCATCAGCATGAGTATGAGTAGTTAAGAAAACCTGACAGCATGTTCTGTATTTACAAATATGCAGGTCTTGAGCCAAGGGTTAGTCCACTAGTCATTGCCAGGTTACTTTTGAAAAAGACCAGTTGATTTTGCTCATATATGCATTAGTATTCCTGAAGTCTGTTAGGAACTACATCTTAAGGAATGCGTTAAGGTTGTTCCTGGAATGCTTGGTTGGACTAAAGGCTAGTTATTGCACTGTGGGTATGTTGAGCATGACCTCAGCTGTTGATTCAGGGTCTAGTCAGTTGCCTTGTGTTGCTGAGAGAATACTCCTCATGGTAATCAAGCCTTGGGTTGTCTTCTGTCCATAAATGAAACTCATAACTGGCATAGTCACCTGGAACAACAATACAATAGAACTTATTAGTGTTGTAGTCATCTAAAAGAACAATGCAATGTAACTCATTGGTGCCATAGTCATCTGGAACATATACAAGTCATGAAAATTATTCAGTGCCTTTGGTAGAATATAGGTCTCAAATATGATGAAAATGACACTTTTTGCAATTTTCATGATGATTTTTAACAAGGTAGTTAATGGGCATCAGAAAATGTGGTAGGGGAGGTCTAAATGTTAATGGATTTGACTGAAATATTTTGTGCTTGTTTTCCTCTACCATGAGACCAACGCGAGAAAGAGTCGAAGGCATGCGAGGCGAATCCTGGAAACCCGGGTTCGGGAAAGCAGGGTCCACTGTTTGTTTCCATTGACAACTATGTGAAACTACATTCATAATTCATACAACAGTGAACAGGAGGTTTACAGTCAGACCCGGGTGTGCCAAGCCCTTATTTAAATGTGTGTTTCGCGGACCAGAGTTTAAGGCCATTCCAAACGAAATAAGTGTTTAATGAGGCCACGAAATATAAAAGGTTTATTAGAACTTTATACGTGTTATTTTGTATCTACCAAGACATTAACCATATTAGAAAAAGGTATGTATTATGATTGGTCTAAAATGTGCAAAGCTAGAAGATCCCTTATATTCGTTCGTTCCTAAGATAATATATCAGTACAACGGCTACTAAAGCAAGGAAAATGACCAGTAGAGATGAGAAACTTGAAACACATTTATTTTTATTCATAAATATGGATAATATTTGATTTAAATACAATTCCGAGCTATTACCATTCTCCAGTGTTGACAATTTCTGTTGTGTCAGTCTGGGTCAAAATCTTACGATATTAAAATTGATAACGAGGAACCCTTCTAATAAAAGCAATTAAATCCAGGTTTGAAAACTCCCGAAAATAACACGAACGACTCTAATTATGAACCGTTCACATTTTTGCAAAGGCGGATTTGGATGACGGCAAACCCGGGTTTTGAGGGCACGACTTATTGCAACGAGTATTTCTGAACTGGGCAGAACTCCATCTAGATTCGGAAAAAAAGTTGAAAAGTGAAACACCCTAAGGGGAGGCATCAAAAGATCAATGTCTGATAGAAAACTAAATTTATCTAGTTTGGAGGGAGGGGGTCACAGCTATTTCAGTTTTCTATCGGAAAAATTTCAACATTTAAATTTTTTGCAATTTCGACTCGAAATGCCTTGGAATGGTTTAAAAATAAAGACTTTACCAGATGCTTTCTTCACCAAGATGCATGCAACATGGAATATTATGCCTATTGTTGTTGGCAAATGTTTTAAGAATTATAAATAAGTTATAGTACTGCCCCCAAATTGAGTCGCTAAAACATGTGAAAAGTCCGCCATCAAGTTTCATTGTATTTAGTTTGGAGGGGGAGGGGGGGGGTCTAACTCAAAACTAGATTTATTTAGTTTCCCATCAGACATTGAACTTTTGATGCCTCCCTAAGTCTTAATGTTTTGTGTTTCCTGGAGCTTAAAGATACTGTTATCTTCAATTAGTGGATATTCATTAACACGCAAGTAAAACTGGGAAAGTATTTCTTCCGAAATCCAAATAAAAACACTTTGTTGGCATTTTAGTTGTGTGGTTCGCGAGCACATATCTCTGTTCATGAGTGGAGAAATATGTTCGGGAAAGAAGAAATAGTGGTGCAGAACATAAGATTTCTTGTTCGGGACATGAGAATCATGGTTCGAGCACAAGGAACGTAGTTTGTGAGGTCAGAAGTGATGTTCGCATTGATAAAAGTCTTGGAGGCCTGAATATGCTATCAATATTGCATTTTTGTTCCATGTTATGATGCCAGTAATGAATTAATATATATAGAGGATATCCTATGATTTTTGAGGGATACCATTTTTATCCATGAGTGTTATCTTTTTGAGAAACAACATTTTAAAACAACATTTAATTTAAAATGTGTGAAGAATTTACTCAAACCGAGCACGTTTTATACAAAGTGATTACATGAAGACATCTAAATCATCTTAATAAGCCCGATAATACTTGGAACTATATTCTGGCAGTTCAATCAGGCAAGGCTGTTATTTGTCAAACCATTTAGGCGGTAAATTCAAAACTTATGAAAAAATAGTATCCGTTGGATACGATTAGATATCACGTCATATGGATCGGATATGATTTCAGTGGCGTATACCAAAATTATCTTGTGTTGTTATCCCCATATATATTTAGTATCCATGGGATAAATATATACAGGGTGTCCCGAAAGTATGGGGCCCCCCTAGGCAGACATGTTCCAATGTCCTCATAGTATGTGTCATATATCATTTTAAAGCTTATCCAAAGTTACATTGATTTGCCAAGTATCATGGTTTAACTCCAAAATGGGAAAAAGTTACAGTCATTTTAAAAGTTAGTGTTTTGTCAAAATAAAGTGCAATTTTACACCACATTACTAGTCAATGCGTCCCCCCTTGGCCATGTTACAGCAGCAATTATTTTCAGATGTGACCTTAAAAGCCCTTCAAATAGGCATGTGGAATTTTATAATCCTCTTAATCCTGTTAAGGGACTTTAGAAGAGTTTCCTTAGAGTTTCTACCCTCACTGTTCTCTTTTTCCAACTCAATATCCCTCCGACCCCAAAAAAATATTGCTGCTGTAAGATGGCCCGGGAGAACACATTGACTTGGTGTAAAATTGAACTTAATTCTGACCAAACACTAAATTTCAAAATGCCTGTAAATTTTTTCACATTTTAGAGTTGAACAATGATACTTGGCGAATCAATGTAACTTTGAAAAAGCTTTAAAATGATATATGACACATACTATGATGACACTGGTATATGTCTGCCTAGGGGGGGGACATACTTTCGGGACACCCTGTACATTCATCATAATTGAGACCTATATTCTACCAAAGGCACTGTTTCATGAAAGCAACAAAATCTCATTAACCTCAATCAGCTCTTTGGACATCTTAATCATCGAATAATGCTCCCCTAAAAATGATAAGAGACTTTAAATTGCCTCACGCACAATGGATTTTTGCCATTTTTAGGGGGCCATATCTACATGATTAGAACATGAAGAGTCTTGGACTTTTAAGTAGGTGAAACTTGATAGCCTGATCTGCTGCATCTGTAATTTTAAGGATCATAGGTCCTCTAGAATTCATTCCATTGATACCTGAATCTTGCTAAAAAACGATGTAGATTAGGATTACCAGTATATATCGTATTCTTATAAATCAATGATTTAATAATTATTTTCACTGAAATGAAGGAATGAACAATCTCAACAGATTTTGTCATAAATCAAAGACATATTGTTCTGCATTTTAGGTGACTTTAATGAAGAACACTGAAGTGCCTTTGGTAGAACATGGGTCTCAAACATGATGAAAATGACACTTTCTGCAATTTTCAGATGATTATTAACATGGTAGTGAATGGGCGTCAGAAAATGTGGTAGGGGGAGGTCTAAACGACAACGAATTCACATTTTCAGTGAAAGGGCTGGGTAATAAAAACAAGACTTATTAATGGCATAGTCATCTAAAACAGCACTGCAACAAAAGTTGTAACTCATCACTGGCTAGATCACCTGAAACAATATTGCAACTTATCTCATTAGTGGCATAATCACCTAAATAACTTATTACTGGTACAGTAACCTAGAACAACTAGACCTAGAAAACGGCAACTCGACGGAGAAGTCCAATCCCAACACTCTTAACATATGTGAATCTGTATTTATCAACATATCAAAATATAAACATTGGAAACATTAGAGATATATCAGAATTTCTACAAATTTTAAAAGCATTTGGGTGACCATTTAAGGATAGACAGCATATAGACACAATTTAAGGATGGAAAAGCCAGAATGGCCAACTTAAGATTTACGCAGAATGACGAAAAAGTAATCAGTATACATTTTCATACTAAGAATCATTCCTAAAAATTTGAAATTGATCCCTCAAATAGTTAACCTGAAAATGCATAGACAAGACTTTACAGACTTTACATATGAAATAGATAGATGTTGTCTATATACTACCAAAATTTCAAACAATAATATTTATTACTTTGGTTTGAAATGAAAAACTTAATATGCATTTGAGCTATCAAAGATTACGTTTTTTTAATGAAAAATGGTGGCCATTTTAAAATCCAGTGGCCATCTTGAAAATCTCTTCTTGAGCAGAGCTTCATTGTTCCAGGGCATCATGCTATAAAATCTGAATGAATGGGGGAGGTATGAAATATTTCGATGAAAATGTATGACATACGGTATCCGCGTTAAACGTCCGAACGAAATGCGTTTTTTTGGCATTCATTTTTTTGCTGTTTTTGGCAATCACTTTTTTGAATTTTTTCTACAGAAATGTTTTTTGCTTGACAATAATCAGGTAAAATATTTTATATAAACTTTTATAAACTTCTATACCAGAGATGCATGTAATGGCATATACTGAATGGAACAAAGAATTGAGCATCGTGACATTTGCTTGTCGTATGTGGGTCTCATAGAACAAGTCGTTCTTACACGAAAATTAGATTGAAAACGTTAAAACCTAATCAAAATAAAAATAAAAGACCAAAAAATTAAGTCAAATGTTTCAAATAGGTCTTTCAATATTAATTGCTACAGCAAAATCACAGAGAACAATGCAAAACAATGCTGGAAAAGTGACCTGAAACAAACAATGCAAAATAATTCAGGTAAAGTCACCTGAAACTAAAAAACAATACAATGTAACTCAGTACTGGCATTATTAAAAAGCATTATAAGTCACTATTACCCTTATTAGTTTGCCCTGAAAGCCCCCCCCCCCCTGGAAGAGCAGTGTTGAAATTCTGCTCCTAAATAAACTCCAAAATGTAGGAGAGCAGGTGTCTCAAGCAGAAATAATGTCAGGTCTTCTAATCATCTTAATATGTAGTTACAATACTACTTAATCAAATTCAACAAGATAAAAATCTTGTTACATGTTAGTTTTGGTGTAATATTGAAAATAAAAATCATAAATTGACCCAGTGACACAGTTGTCTGTTAGACGGGGATCGCCATCTTATCTCCAGAGACCCGGATGTGGACCAGAAGTGTGACGTAGACATATCGTCGAGGTAGCCACCATCTTGAAAGCATCCAAACACATAGAAAAATGCCTATGTGTGGTGTGGTGAACTATACAATATTTCAATGGATAGGGCTAAGCTATGGATAAGTTTCTACCTAGTTCAAGATCTGAAGTGGGCGAAGGGAAAAAGACATATTGTAACTTGAAAGGGCCTAGCTGACAAATATAAGACATGTTAGACCAGGATGGACAGACAGCTCCTTCAAAAATACAAGTCCAGAGTTGTTATTTGTTCCAAATACAGTCAAGATGATTTTGAGCAGGAGCTATGTACTGATGCCGGGGTGTACCCCAAAGGGGCCAAAGAAAAGGAAACTTAAGGAGGATATCACATCCTCTATATTTTCACATAAGATTAATTTGTGAATTTGAGCAGATATTTACGATTTAAATTGTTGTTGTTTTTACCGTTTTTTTTCTGGTCTTCACTTTCTGCCGAACTATTTCTTATTTTATTTAGGCCGTTTTACTTACACTTTTACCACCAGTTTAGTGATACATCCTGAGTATTCTTCCTACTCCGATGTATTGATTCCAGTATTTTACTTACTTATATGTCTCATTGACATTTATAACAGTGGGTTAATTGGTGATTTTTACTGGTGCGTAGTTAAAGTGGTTGTTTGGACTATATATGAAGACAGCTCAGTTCGATCAGAGAATTCATCGAATTCATTATTGGCGCAGGTAGTGTACGGGAATTGTATTCACTTTAGAATTTTCCGGCACATGGAAGTCGAGTGGACTGCACATTGAAGGGGGTTACGAAGATAATCAAGGTATGAAAACTAGCTTTCGGGTTACATTCGTATATACATGTAGTTCGTAGCTTCAATATGACCGCACTACATTAGCGCATGCCCATTTTTGAGCCAATCCAAATGCTGAAATTTGTTGAGTCGACGTGACACGATTCATGAATATCAAAGCCAGGTTATGACAACTTCCATGAACCACATGAAGATCCAGTATCTCAAAATTAATTCTAACATATCTCCCAATACATTTGATGATCGTTGTTCACCCAGTTTATGTTTTTGATAATGAACTTATAATTTGGAAAAATCATACTTTTTCTTGAGGTTAACTCCCCTTTAAGAGTACTCAATATAGTCCCCCAAAAGTCTCGCAAAAGTTGTCCAGCCTCCTGGTGGCTCGATAACCAAATCCAAGTGATCCTCTTTATTCAATCTTATCTTTTAACATTCATCATTTTCTGACCAAGCAACTACCCATGTGCAAACTGTATTCTCTAAGAACTACCACCTTGTACCATGAGTACTGGTTCCCCAAGATTTCTGAGTTGAATCATATTTTGAGAAATTGTTTTTATTTTGTGAAATTTACAGTTATATATATAGGTGTGCTCCTGTTGTAAACAGTTCGGCAACCATTCCATACTGTGCAAGTACAAGGATGAAGGCATTCTCTATACTCACTAAAGTTTTTTTGATTGGATAATTAAGAGTCCAAATAGACCATTTTTTGTAGTCATACTTACATAAAACAAGTAGCTCCGGTGTCTGCTAGATAGTTGGTATGTCAGCTTAGTCTTGCCATTATCTCGTACAATAGACATTTTTACAACAAACTTCAACCATGAGTCAGACATAAAGCTGATGTGGTTAGGGAGCTCATAATTCAGCACTATGTTGTCATAGTTCCAGTCCCCTGGAAAATAATGTTAAAGTGTATAATGTCCCTTGAGTGACTAGCAGCATGGGAACCACCTCAGGCAGTACATACATGTGTGTTCAAAATTAAGTAAATCATTCAGTTGTAGCAATTTTCATGTCATATAAAAAAGTAGCATGTAAGAATCGGTAAAAATGAAATCTGAAGATTAACAATTTAATTTTTATCTATTATTTTGAATGTTTACCTATGAGTGGAAGCTGAATAGTTTCAATGAAGTGTTTCCCTATGCCCATAGCTTTTGCATCTACAGGCTGAAAACTGGATAAGCCTGGGTACCACTGAAAGAAGAAAAATGTGTAAGCAAGCATGGTATGTGTTAAGAGTTCTTAAAGTGTACAAAATAATGTGCTTTCAATACACCTTGTGATCTCTAAATAATATCTGATATGAACAAAGTAAAGAGAGAAGAGTCCAATAAACACTTTCATTGTGGCAAATGTTTAAAAACTGTTTTTGAACTTATCAGCAACTTGTTTTATTTCCAACTTTTAAATCATCACAAAATGAGTTTGATACCATCCAGCTTAATATGTCACACAATCAATAAATTAAATCTTTAACATTCTGACATTAAACTTGGGATCTATATGTGATGCCAAAATAACTAGAACAATTGATTTACTGGTCTATAATATCCTAGATGCGAGTAGAAATAATCTTGATTTACGACGTTAAATATTCACAATTCAGTCAAACTGATGTCATATTTGGAATCTACATGTAAAACTACATCTAGAAACGTGGTTTTGCAAAGAGTTTATCAACTATGAAAATTTATTTTTCTTTGAAAATGTGACTTCTAGGTCAGGGGAATCCCCATAGACCCCATATTGTAAAACCACAAAAAGTGAAATATCTTTTCTTGTGTTGGGCAGATAATATTTTCTCTCACTGGACATATTTTAATTTGTATATTTATCACATACATAAGGGTAATGTGAAAAGTGAACCACTAAAACTGATGAATATTCAAGTTTTAAAGGAATTTTGTAATACCCTGCCATGTTATTTCCCCCGAATCAGCCACCTGGTGGCGAAACTGGTAACTACCTACTTGCATTGGGCTTATTTAATTGGGTTTATTTGATTAGTTACTTTCATTTAAAGGGTTCTGATAAGCTTCCCGTAAAAAAACAATATGGCGGCTCCAGGCGAGTCAACTGGATCAGTCCATTTTTAAGAAATAAGGGGAGTTTTGTAAAATCCAGTTTATTGAAATTGTCTTGGAGATAAAGTTATCCGTTTATAATGATTCTGAAAACATTATTGAGAGAGTGATTGTTCAAAGAATGCATGTACTGTATAACAGCCAATATAAATCCTTGTATTAGATCTGCCTTGTTTCATATGGATATTTCATAAGCCAGCTGTGTACTAATACATTATGGGGAAATTTAGATGTCAATTTTTCTTTATTACAAATAGAAGATCCCGAAACTTCACCCATAAATATGAAATTGTCAAAATTTGTCAAAATAAAAATCTCCCTTTTATAAATGTGTGACGATCTATAATATACTAATGCTATATAACAGTTAGAGGTGTTGACACAACGACGTCAAGCCTATGAACCCTTGAGTATTATTCCAGGATCGGGTCTTTTATACTAAACGATGAGCAACACCAGAAATGAGTGTTCGATTTGCTAAATGATATCCAGGATCGGGCCTTTTATACTAAACGGTGAGCAACACCAGAAACGAGTGTTCGATTTGCTAATAAATATGCGTCACCCGTTAAACTTTCAACGATTTTAGCTATTCTGCAAAATGAATTTCAATTTTTTTTAACTTTCAAAATTAAATCTTTTAAATTAAAAAAAAAATGTTTTTCAATTGTTTTTCAAAGGTTTTTTTCTAATGACATATGTAATGTCTGTTATGATGGCATATTCTTATCATGACAGAATCTTAACAAAGACTTTGATTCTTGATTTACAGCAAATAATATACTGCACATTTTCGAATTCTGACTTTTAACAATGAACAGTATACAATCGTAGACACTGTACCCGACACTGTAAACCTTGAAAGAACCTGTTGACTGAGACTGGAGGTCGAGGTATACACTTTTACCATTTGACCGGATAGAGAGATTGACAATTGTTTAGTTAGTCCCCGAAAATCCCTTGGTTGCAAGGATATATATTGAATTTCATGTGAAGATGTATTTTGTATGTTGATCAAGATATCATATTTTCACAAATATCACTTCTTAAAAAGTGATATTCGATGGTTTGAAAAGTATTTTAGCTATTCTGTAAAATTAATTTCTTTTTTTTAACTTTCAAAATTCAATCTTTTTAAGGATTGGTATTGATATGGTGAACTGAATTCAACAATGTTTTTCTCTAAATCAATTATTGAAAACATTCTGTAAAACCGTGGTCCTTTATGTAATTTTGACTGATTCACAACAATTTAATGTGAATATTATTTATATATATTTTATTGAACTGTTTTTGTTAACATTTTTTGTTTTTTTAGTGCAATTGTTTTTTGTTCCTTTTTACCAATTCTTGAGAATGAAATAAAATATCTTTCCGAAGCTTGTTGGAACAAAATAGCATATACAACATTTTCTTAGACCTCTCACTATTATTATAGTTATACATAGGAAACTTTGGTTGGTTTCACAAAATGTATTCAAAAAAATAAAACAAAAACCCACAAAATAGATATAAATTAGGATAAACCTTTTATTTCATTAACAAGATACTTTTTTTAAATCAACCAAACTTTCCTTTGTACAATTACAATATTGAGAGACCTAAACATGTTGTGTTTATGTCATTTTGTTCCAATGAGGTTCGGTTAGATGTTTCATTTCATTCCGAACATATGATAAAAAGAAGTGTCTGAAGTGTTTTCTAAAACAATATAGAAGTATGTATATTTATTTCAAATTATATTGTCACCATTCAAAATATGACCATTAAATTGACATGTGTCAAATTTTCAGAATGTTTTGATGACTGGTTTAAGAGGAACATGTGTTCAAAAAGTTCACCATATCGATACCCATCCTTTCTAAAAAAACTGTTTTTCAATTTTTTCAAAGTTTTTTTCAAATTTCTTTTCAAAGTTTTTGGAATTAAATTTTCAACAGTACCTAGTAGCAGTCAACAATACCAAGTAGCGGTCAACAGTACATAGTGGGGGTCAACGGTACCTATTGTTGACTTTTAATTAATCAATCAGAATTGAGTATTTCAACTGAGGTACAAACAAAATAGAATACAAGGCATTAACATGACAAAATGTCACCACCTAGTTGCTCACAATATCACAGGCTGGTATCGAAAAATTTGTCCGCTGTGACGGAGCGTGCTATTTTGCATAGAAACACTAAGAAACCCACACAATTTATTTTTTTACTCATATGTTTCGCTATACCAAAGAAAGTTTCTTCCTCCATGCAATGGGTATATCATTTGCGGGTAACTTTAACTTTTGTTTGAAGTCCAACAATGCTAAGAGTAAAAGCTATTGAAAACGGCGCTGGGGTATCATGCTCCAAAATGTACCATTTCTTTTATTTCTTTCTAATGGTACAATATAGCGACACGATAATATTTACATATGTTTTCAGCATAACTCTGAAGGTATTAATGATATCTTGATGTGTTGGGTATTTTTAATATTTTTTATAAAAAATAATGTTTACATTTTTTGTCCGCTGTGACGGAGCAGTTTTAACTGTGAACTACGTTAAGAATTTAAGATTCAAATTATACCTTTTAAAAGTACCCTAAGAAGAGAGTGTTACGCGGTATATGGCATACATTCATGGTTGCGCGGTATTTGTGATACAGGTGAATATGCCATACTCACCTGCGGTATATGGCATATTCCGCAGGTGAGTATGCGATATTCCGCAGTGAATATGCGATACATTGATTTCAGTGAATACCCGATACTCACCTGCGGAATATGTCATACTCACTTGCGGAATATGCCATATACCGCAGGTGAAAACGTGATACAGAAAGCCTTGATTTGATTGGTTGCGAGAATCGACACTAAATGTAAAACTACGCTGGATTACCAATAAAGTTAGTGCGTCGAGTACTAATATATAAATCCTGGATTGATTGAGAAAGTTTATTACGCGAGATTGGTGACTAATACTTCTGCTAAGTTAATACATTCGATACACAGTACTGTTGATTCAGTAATCATTATGATAATTTATAACGTTTTACTTGTTCGTTCAATCGATGCCATTGACAATTGCGTACTTCCGTATCGCGTTCTCATTGGTTAGTGTGTATGCCATATAACGCAGGTGAATCTGCAATACACCGCAAGTGAATATGCCATATTCGTTGCGGAATATGACATATTTTTGTATCGTGTTTACCGCATAACAGAGAGAACGTCACAAATCACTTTCCTAAATTATGACAAGTAGCCTCTGGGAGATATGGGGTAATGTAAATCTGAGATATAAAAACTCTTAGCATTTTTCGGAGGTTTGTACTGAAATCAACATGAATCAACATGGTGTAAACTCAACATAATATTTCTAATACGTTTTCGCAAAGACGTCTTAGAATGTCACGTGTAGTTTAAATTGTTACGCGGAATATGGCATACATTCATGGTTGCGCGGTATTTGGGATACGGGTGAATATGCCATACTCACCTGCGGTATATGGCATATTCCGCAGGTGAGTATGCGATATTCCGCAGTGAATATGTGATGCATTGAATTAAGTGAATACCCGATACTCACCTTCAGAATATGTCATACTCACTTGCGGAATATGCCATATACAGCAGTTGAATATGACATATTCCGCAGGTGAAAAACGTGATACAGAAAGACTTGGTTTGATTGGTTGCGAGAATCGACTCTGAATGTAAAACTACGCTGGATTACCAATAATGTCAGTGCGTCGAGTACTAATATATGAATCCTGGATTGATTGGGTAAGTTTATTACGTGAGATTGGTGAGTGATACTTCTGCATACGTTGATGTATTCGATAAACTGTACTGTTGATTCAGTAATCATTATAATAATTTATAAAGTTTTACTTGTTCGTTCAATCGATGCAATTGACAATTGCATACTTCCGTATCACGTTCTCATTGGTTAGTGTGTATGCCGTATACCACAGGTGAATCTGTTATACACCGCAAGTGAATACTTGTATGGCATATTCATTGCGGAATATGGCATATTTTTGTATCGTGTTTACCGCATAACATAAATAGGGATAATATGAATTTATTCGAAATAGCGCACAGACATCCTGCATTCCGACAGATGTATAACCTTTTACCACATAATATTACTGTATATAAGTTACCATAAAAATGACCATGTCAGGTGATGGATCCACAGTAGGTACAACGAAAGGCAAATACCCTATACTGAAATAGAGTTGACTATCATTTTCATGAGTAACCATGCATAACTTGGATAACAGTACAAACTGAGAAAAGAAGCTTAAAGAGTGGTCGTATATGCATCTCAGAATTTGAATTGTGTACTTTTATTTCGTTTTATTTTTCAGAATACTTTACGAAAGAGATTTGATACGCTCCCTCCTCTAACGTGTAGTTATAAAGAGATATATTATAAATCTAAATTCTTAACGTATTTCAGATTTGAAACTGCTCCGTCACAGCGGACAAAAAATTTAAACATTATTTTTTATTGAAAAAATTAAAAATACCCAATACATAAACATCTCATTAATACCTTCAGAGTAATGCTGAAAACATATATAAATATTATCGTGTCGCTATATTGTACCATTAAAAAGAAATAAAAGAAATGGTACATTTTGGAGTATGATACTCCGACGCCGTTTTCAATAGCTTTTACTCTTAGCGTTGTTGGACTTCAAACAGAAGTTAAAGTTACCCGCAAATGATATATTCATTGCATGGAGTCAGTAATTTTCTTTGATATAGCAAAACAAATGAGTAAAAAAATAAATTGTGTGGATTTCCTAGTGTTTCTATGCAAAATAGCACGCTCCGTCACAGCGGACAATTTTTTCGATACCAGCCTGTGAATATTATGAGTTCAAACTTAAGTCAGATTTGAATTTCTGAGAACTTGTAAAGTCAAATTTGAACTTCTGAAAAGATGTAGATGATTTTGAAAAAAAAATTTGGTTAATTTGAAGCAAGTCAAAATATGCAAAATAGCACGCTCCGTCACAGCGGACAATTTTTTCGATACCAGCCTGTGAATATTATGAGTTCAAACTTAAGTCAGATTTGAATTTCTGAGAACTTGTAAAGTCAAATTTGATCTTCTGAAAAGATGTAGATGATTTTGAAAAAAAAATTTGGTTAATTTGAAGCAAGTTGAAAACAGACCTTTTTGACCTTTTTTGACCTTGAGAAGGTCATTAAAGGTCAAATGTCAAATCTAAAGTCAGATTTGAATTTCTGAGAACATGTAGATGATTTTGAAAAAAAAATTAGTCAATTTGAAGCAAGTTGAAAAAAGACCTTTTTGACCTTTTTTGACCTTGAGAAGGTCATTGAAGGTCAAATGTCAAATCTAAAGTCAAATCTAAAGTCATATTTGAATTTCTGAGAACATGTAGGTGATTTTGAAAAAAAAATTTGGTCAATTTGAAGCAAGTTGAAAACAGACCTTTTTGACCTTTTTTGACCTTGAGAAGGTCATTAAAGGTCAAATGTCAAATCTAAAGTCAGATTTGAATTTCTGAGAATATGTAGATGATTTTGAAAAAAATAATTAGTCAATTTGAAGCAAGTTGAAAAATACCTTTTTGACCTTTTTTGACCTTGAGAAGGTCATTGAAGGTCAAATGTCAAATCTAAAGTCATATTTGAATTTCTGAGAACATGTAGATGATTTTGAAAAAAAATTTAGTCAATTTGAAGCAAGATGAAAAAATACCTTTTTGACCTTTTTTGACCTTGAGAAGGTCATTAAAGGTCAAATGTCAAATCTAAAGTCAGATTTGAATTTCTGAGAACATGTAGATGATTTTGAAAAAAAAAATTAGTCAATTTGAAGCAAGTTGAAAAAAGACCTTTTTGACCTTTTTTGACCTTGAGAAGGTCATTGAAGGTCAAATGTCAAATCCAAAGTCAAATCTTAAGTCATATTTGAATTTCTGAGAACATGTAGATGATTTTGAAAAAAAATTTAGTCAATTTGAAGCAAGATGAAAAAATACCTTTTTGACCTTTTTTGACATTGAGAAGGTCATTGAAGGTCAAATGTCAAATCTAAAGTCAAATCTTAAGTCAGATTTGAATTTCTGAGAACACGTAGATGATTTTGAAAAATTTTTTTAGTCAATTTGAAGCAAGTTGAAAACAGACCTTTTTGACCTTTTTTGACCTTGAGAAGGTCATTAAAGGTCAAATGTCAAATGTAAAGTCAGATTTGAATTTCTGAGAACATGTAGATGATTTTGAAAAAAAAAATTAGTCAATTTGAAGCAAGTTGAAAAAAGACCTTTTTGACCTTTTTTTACCTTGACAAGGTCATTGAAGGTCAAATGTCAAATCTAAAGTCACATTTGAATTTCTGAGAACATGTAGATGATTTTGAAATTTTTTTTTAGTCAATTTGAAGCAAGATGAAAAAATACCTTTTTGACCTTTTTTGACATTGAGAGGGTCATTGAAGGTCAAATGTCAAATCTAAAGTCAAATCTAAAGTCAGATTTGAATTTCTGAGAACATGTAGATGATTTTGAAAAAAAATTTAGTCAATTTGAAGCAAGTTGAAAAAAGACCTTTTTGACCTTTTTTGACTTTGAGAAGGTCAAATGTCAAATCTTAAGTCAAATCTAAAGTCAGATTTGAATTTCTGAGAACACATAGATGATTTTGAAAAATTTTTTTAGTCAATTTGAAGCAAGTTGAAAACAGACCTTTTTGACCTCTTTTTACTTTGAGAAGGTCATTGAAGGTCAAATGTCAAATCTAAAGTCAGATTTGAAGGTCAAATGTCAAATCTAAAGTCAGATTTGAACTTCTGAGAACATGTAGATGATTTAGAAAAAAATTGAAGTCAGTCTAAACAGTATTTGTTAAGTTATAGGAAGTTGTAAGAAATTGTTACAGACAACGGACGCCAACCGCCGGACGCCAACCGCCGGACGCCAACCACCAACCGCCAACCTGCAACCGCCGTCGCAAAAAAACGGAGACCATAACAATATGTCACCACTTTTGGTGGTGACATAATTATATCATATCTGATATATAAGTGTAATTTTCAATATAACAACAAACTAACAAACTGCAGCAGTAAACTGTTTTAAAATCTATTTTGCATGATTGACAGCCAATAATACTATTCATACCATTGCATAGTTCCTGAGATCTGAGATGAATCTGAATACTTCAATTTTGTTCTGATTCAAAACAATTCTCTTAGATGTGATGATAGGGTCATCAGTCATCTCCAACACAGCTAGGACTGCAACAACAAGCACTCCAACTCCGCAAATCAGTTTAGCAGACATCCCTGGAATAGTTTGATGACACAGAAATGAAAATCATTGAAATAAATGTAAAAAACAGAATATGTCTGGGTAATGAATACTTGATCTACTCTCTAAATAACTAGCTTTATTTATGCTAAGATTATTGTGAAAGGTTGGCAAAAAGTTTAAAGCAATACACTTGAAATGAGTACTTTCCAAGCTAAATTACCACTCATCTCCAATTCAGGTACTGTGTGGGTTAAATTAAATAAAAAAACTTAAAAGAACTATACACTTACAATCAAATACAATCCAGTTCAACTAAAAAACATTCTATAAACTGTGAACATAGTCAATAATTCACCCAGTATTTATTTGTCAATACAATACCTGGTCTGTACTAAGTGTTTATATCAGTGCTGAATGCTAAACTGGAAGTAGGAAATAAAGTGATCATTTTGCAAAATCTTGGTGAGTTTTCATATTCCAATCGTAATATAAACCTCAGATCCGGTATTGTATTGAGTAATAAAATACCTTCAGACTAGGCACAAGAGACTTGTAAAAGATTCAGTCCATTGGATAAAGACTTAGTAAGGCCCCCCTAACCTCCCCCACACTCTCTTCGAACGGGCCTGGTTTTATGTGCAATAAACCTTTGGCATCTTGTAATTTAGGACCCTCTGAGTCTTACTATCAATTAATATCATCTTGAGTTCATTCATAAATTAGACCTAAGCCTAACTGTCGAAAGTCTGAATCAAAATGTTGTAAGTGGCTGTGCGTGAGGCGTGCCACATATAAAGCATGCGGCGCAATCTAGGGTGATTGGGGGCATGCCCCCAGAAAATGTTCAAATAGTTTTTGTAGTTATTCTTCTTCTTCTTCTTAGCATTTTTTCTCTAACTTCCAGCTATGTTTCAGTTATGTCATATATAATCCTATTAAGGACCTGGTCTTGACTTGTCGGGAAATTAATTCATATCTAGGTCAAGGTCAAAGGTGAAAATCTAGGTCAAACCAAAGTTTTTTTTTAATTTCTCAAATTTTTTCCTTTGAAGTTTCGGTGAAATTCATACTAAACATCGATGCCTATAAGCGCCCCCCGTTTTTACCAAAATCGGGGGGGCGCTTAACCGCTATCTAAATCATGTCAGTAGAATCTAAGACTTGGTGTGTGCTTAGAATGAATGTTGATCTAGTCAAATCGAACACCTTGCATACCTGGTAAACATCCGACCCATGGTTTTCATAAAAGAAACGACAACATTTTTAGCTCAAAACTGCCACGTGTCCGCCATTTCGTGATTCCATCATGTCTAATATCTTTTCTATATGACGTCACACCAATAAGGCGAAATACATGACAACAGTATCCATAAACAAAATTCCTGAATTCTGATCGCAAAAGGTCAATTGAAGAAATATAAGCATGCTGCTTGAATTTTAAAATTTTCTCATTTTGCATACCAAGGTCACTTCCGGTTTAATCTGATAGTCTAGATGTAAAACTATATCAAAACGAAATCATAAGTATTTGATACACGAAGATTCAGACAGAAGAAACGCAGTGTCATTAAGAAGGGAAGTAACGTGGAAAAGTTATTGTTTCAGAAATGAGAAAAGTGAGTAGTATAAAAGAACAACTTTTGAATCTCTGTGTAATAAATAATTATGATTCCGTTTCGATCCCTGTTTACATTTAGACTACCGGAAACAACATTTAGCAACATGGCGGGCGATAATGAAAATATACTTCAATTGATTATATTTCGTCAATTATCAAGCGTTTTACACGTCTAAGGTAAGATTTAACACTTCGATGTTGGAGCAAAATAAAAAATCGATAATTTGTGTGACTTTGGTTGGTATGGATACCCAGACAGGCCTGGAAAGCGGTTCCCGCAATTTGTTCCATATTAGAGTCCATTTCACTGCTTCATTGCGTCAGTAGAACGGCAAAAATAAGAAATTGGGAGACCATTGTGCAATAATATATGGAAAAGTATATTCATGATGTACATGAATGACATTTGTATATTTCAGATTTTTTGTCTTGTAATTTGAAGAATTTCAGCCATGGTAATCTTATTGAAAATAACGTGGCAGAGAAGCATCCAAATATAAGAGGCCACACACTTTATAAGCCAAACTAGAAGCAATCCAAGATATACAAATGTCATTCATGTACAATAGGAATATATTTTTCCATATATTATTGCAAAATGATATTTTGATTTCTTATTTTTTCGTAAAGGCTAGAGTACCGACAATTGTCGGTACTCTAGACTCTGATGTGGTGGTACGCTAGAGGACCGACAAATAAATTGTCGGTACGGGAGATATGCTGTGTTTACACGCTAGAGGACCGACAAATATTGATTTTCGAATTTTCTGGCGCATGCGCAATGCGCGGGGTATATTTCAGGTATCATACGGATATTTGGGAACAAGTGCAAAACCCGGGGAGGGCATTAGCCCCGGTTACCCGGGGATTACCAAACCCAGTCAAAAAAAATTAAAGAGCTATTAATGCAGAGTAAACGGCTATATATATTCGTAACAGACAGGATATTTCTCCTGAGCCGATCAGGCGTAGAAAGGGGCGTTTGCTACCCATTAGATAGAAGAAAATAGCTAGAATGTTTTTTATTTGAAGCTTATATGGTATGAGGTTCCATATCCATCCGCCAAAAGGTATATAGTCCATTTAAAAACCTGTGGTATCGTTCTAAATAACCCATAGTTGGCTTCTAGGGTACCTAGTATGCCACTATTTGGTATCAAAATAAAGAGGAGTTCAACTTTCATTTGAATTACGAAAATAGCGATGTAGGTCAAAATAGTTCCGAATGTGAGCATGTTTACTACGCGTTTGCCCGTCATATCAGAATTGAGGAAGTGGTAGCAAACGCGAGTTACAATAAACGGACGCTGATATCTCAAAAAGTAACCGGACTCCCTATAATTTGATGTAGGTCAATCGAACCCCTATATGGACAGGTGCATTTTGATATATAACACTATGGGGGGTAAGCGTTTCATAGTTGGTCACGAACGCCATATGTGCAAAGTATTGTTATGAATTTTCGAATTTGGTGTTGGATTATGGTACTCATACCTTATAGCACAATTTTCGATGGAAGTTGCATTTGCCTCCCTTAGTTAATGGCCACGATTCCATCTCGCATGAGAGAGCTACCAAACGCAAAGTAAACAGTGATATATTCCAAATGAGATATTTCTCCCGTGCCATGGCGTATAGTAAGGGTAGAGGTCGACGGGGGCGAAAGCATCCCCTCCCCTAACTGTATATATCGACCCATTAGATAGAACAAGAAAAGAGCTTTAAAATGTTTTTTAATTGAAGCTTGTAGGACAATTTTGATGGAAGTTGAATCAATTTTTGTTGAAATAAATTATGGCTCACTGCAAGTTAATGCCTGTACGATTCCATACTGCAAAAGAAGCACTATGCCCCCCCCTCGAAAAAAAAATGTAGGTCCTGCCGGGATTCGAACTCGGGACCGAGTGTGCTCGAGTCGTGCTCGCTAACCACTAGACTACCATTAATGAGGTTATTTCCAGATGTAAAAGTAGTGGATTTATTTATGAAATTGTCGGCTCTCTAGCAAAAACACGTAGCAGCCACTTGCGTACCGACAATTGTCGGTTCTCTATCTGGCACTACTAGGTGACGATAGAGTGCCGACAATTGTCGGTACCCCAGCAAATACCCCTAGACAGTCTCCAGTACCGACAATTGTCGGTCCTGGAGCCACTCCGTTATTTTTTAGCTTTTACTGACGCAGTTAAACAATGAAATGGACTCTATATCTACAACCGTATATGCAAAGAAAAAATGATAAAAAATAAATATCCAAATAAGAACACAGAACATCGAAGAACAGCATACAACGGTCGCATTTATATGACTAATCTAGGCTTACTTCGGTCCAAAGCCTTCTCTATATTCCGGCTTTGAGGAGGAAGATTGAGCTGCCTTAGTATTATAAATATTGTAAATCATTGTGTCACACGCACAGTAAATATGGCATAATAATATGAAATATACCTTTATGTATAGATTTGAAGAACATCAGCTCACATCCCCGTCTGAATCTATTGTTATATTTGATTTCTTTAAGCGAGAATAATTTCAAATGTTATTCACGTCCAGAACCGGAAGCCATTTTTAGCTACAGCGAGAAAATTTCACCATGTGTCAAAACTCCGAAATGAAATTTTGAAATATCTAAATCCAGACAAGCAACGCTTCATCCTAAATATGATTAATATTCTTAAAAATATTTATAAAATTTATTTAAAATGAGTTCTAGGTGCGTGTAGGTGCGTGTAGCACAGTACATACGAAATCAATGAAGTTTCGTCTAGCTGTAAGCTAGAGACTCGAGTAAATCTAGGCTACTCAGAGTCAGACTTTGATTCTGAGTGATTGATACTTTTTTGATTGAAAACGAGACTCAGTTCAGAGAAGCATCAAAATACTAAAGGTTATACATTTGGTGTTAAGTTCAGGAGGTTTGTTTAAACCTAGAATTATATTGCATTTCTGATCATTAGTCCAAAAATCGGGAAAACGGGGTAGAAAAAATATTTATCGACTTTACCTTTTTTAACAGCCTCGGTTTGAAGAAAAATAGTTCGTGCAGTGCAATACCTTGTAATTTTCAAAAAGGGGATTCCCCAATGAGCAGTGGAAACACTTTCTTCCTCTTCTTGTTCTTTTATTAGAAAATGCAACTGTGGAGAATATCAAACACTGAACAAACTTAATTATACGTATATTTATCAACGAGTATATGTAGATCAACTAGGGTAAGTCAAACATTGTAGATATTGTTCGATAATTTTGTATAAATGGCAATTATATCATAAAATTTTGAAAAATGTTTGATTTGGAAATTTTGTTTATCACCCCGGGAATATGTAGATGTTTACAATGACTCAATCTGAGGCCCGGGTATACTGTCATGAATAAAAAAAATTAGTCTTATTCTTATACATGTAAGTAATCAAGTAAAAGAGTATAATATACATGTATACACCACACATTAACAACTCAGTACACTAGCGGACTTTTTAAACATTTTTAACGTATTCCTGAGCCTCAGATAGTGGGGCCATGGATTTGTTAGATCATGTGCTACTGTATTGGTATGTAAATCCCTTTGTATTACCTTCTTCTAAGGCCACTGTATCGTGGCCTTCCAGTAAAAATATATTCCTGCATGAACAACTGGTCATGTCTTACTCGAGTCTCTAGCTTACAGCTAGACGAAACTTCATTGATTTCGTATGTACTGTGCTACACGCACCTACACGCACCTAGAACTCATTTTTAATAAATTTTATAAATATTTTTAAGAATATTAATCATATTTAGGATGAAGCGTTGCTTGTCTGGATTTAGATATTTCAAAATTTCATTTCGGAGTTTGACACATGGTGAAATTTTCTCGCTGTAGCTAAAAATGGCTTCCGGTTCTGGACGTGAATAACATTTGAAATTATTCTCGCTTAAACAAATCAAATATAACAATAGATTCAGACGGGGATGTGAGCTGATGTTCTTCAAATCTATACATAAAGGTATATTTCATATTATTATGCCATATTTACTGTGCGTGTGACACAATGATTTACAATATTTATAATACTAAGGCAGCTCAATCTTCCTCCTCAAAGCCGGAATATAGAGAAGGCTTTGGACCGAAGTAAGTCATGTCGTAATCATAAAATTTGAAATCAAATGTCTGCCATTTTTCCACATCACAATTTGAATTGCGAGTTTTGGTCTTATTACATGTACCTCACCCAGAATTCCGAAACACACATAAAGTGATCAGTGTATTAGTTCACCTCATCTGGATCGCTAACTTGAATTTACAGCCAGTTTCTAATGTCATTAACGACATTTCGTCCAGTTTTCGAAAATCTCCATTTTTCTTGGAGCCATGTTGTTTTAATTTTAGACGAAATCCTGATAAAATCATGTCATATCTCATCAAGGAGCCGAGCGGGGTCCGTTTTGAATAATGAATTATTTATCTGGCGATTTTAAAAATATTCAATAAATTTATGACACGGCGGCCAGCTTTTTTCAAATGGAGTTCACAGTATTCCAGATGAAATCCCCTCTAGCCAAATATTGGCTAGAGACTCGAGTAACTTGTCTGAAGAATATGTTAGATTTAAAATTGGAACATGAAATCTTAACACAAAATATAACTAAAGGTGCTCAAGTAAGGTCAAGAGAAAAGTGGATAGAAGAGGGGGAGAAAAATACAAAATGTTTTTTAGGATTAGAAAAACACAGGGCAAAAATGAAATCTATTGAGACATTACAAGATAATAATGGGGTTAATACAAACAGTATGGATGATGTAATGAAGACCCTTTATGTAATATTATCAAAATCTATATAAGGAAAATCATGACATCATTTATACACTAGATAATTTTCTAGATGCTATACATGTACATAAGCCTAAATTGTCAGAAAATGAAAATAGAGGTATAGAAGGATTAATAACTGAAAAGGAATGTTGTATAGCAATTAAAAAAATGAAATGTCATACAAGTCCAGGAATAGATGGGTTAACACCTGAGTTTTACAAGGTATTTTGGAATAAAGTAAAAGAATTGATAGTTAATTCATTTAATTATGCATTTCAGTCAGGCAGATTATCTAATAGTCAGAGGAAAGGAATATTATTATTAAAGGGTAAAGAACTACCTCGATATAAACTTAAGACTTATCGGCCTTTATCATTAACATGTGTTGATTATAGAATAGGAGCATCTGTTTTAGCAGCAAGAATCCAAAAGGTTATAAAAAATTGGTTAATTCTGATCAAAACTCATATATGAAACAAAGAGGAATACACTTAGATCTTAGAGTAATTGATGATATTCTAAATTATGTAAATGATAATAATAGTCAAGGAATTATGATAACATTAGATTATTCCCGTGCGTTTGATTCTATATCTAAAAGATTTGTTTTTGACATGATGAAATATTTTAATTTTGGGGAAGATATGATAAATTGGATAAAAGTATTTAATACTGATAATTTATCCTGTGTTACGAACAATGGGTTGTTCACAAAATGGTTCCATTTGAATCAAGGATTACGGCAGGGCTGCCCTTCAGTAGCTTGTGCTTCATTCTAACTATGGAAATATTTGCGTGTAAAGTAAGGCAAAAGAAAAATATAAAAGGAATAAAGGTATCAAATAATTGTGAAGTAAAATTATCAAGTTATGCTGATGATGTATCATGTTTTGTTAGAGATATAAATTCAGCTAAACTATTATTTCAAGAATCAGACCACTTTTATCTCACGACAGGTTTAAAATTGAATAAAGAAAAAACAAATGCGATGTGGATTGGATCAAATAAAAACAACATTGAAAAGCCGTTAAACTTAACATGGCAAATAAGAAAAGAAGCGAAATTGAAGATTCTAGGGTTTTGGTTTTCTAATCAATGTTCAGCTGCACAGATTGAAGAGAATTGGTTACCTAAAATAAACAAAATGGAAGCAATGATAAAAAAATTGAGGTAAACGTAATCTCAAATTGAAAGGTAAAATTACTATCGCAAAAAGCTTAATAGTTTCACAAGTTACATCACTTTTAATGTCATTTAAAGCTCCAGATATGTATTTGGAAAAAATAAATAGTTAATTTGCATAAATTCATTTGGGGGAGTGAAAAGGGAAAAGATAGAATAAAAAGAAATGTTTTAAGACAAAGTTATGAGAAGGGAGGCTTTAAAATGATAGATATTTTTGTAAGTCAGGATGCCCTGTTAATGACTTGGGTTAAAAGAATTGTTTTGGTTGAAAATTCAGATTCAAAATGGAAAGTAATAGCGTTACATTACTTGAATAAGTTATCCTAGTTAGGACATGGAGAAGATATTTTTAGATATGGGGTCACATGCATTTAAAATTGAAACTGAACAATTACAGTATTTCTTCAATTTGATTGAACTATTGAGCACTTTCAAGATATATTATTTATGGGATTTTAAAAAGTCATATTCGATAAGCTAGTATAGATATATCTTTCAGTGTAATTTAACAAAACGTAAGGCACAGAGACGCCAAATAATCAAAGAGCCTGGAAGCTAACACCAATCAGAAATTGCTTGTTCCCCCTCCATCCCATGTTTCCAATCACCGGGCATGGGTGTACATGTAGTTGAGATTTGCATTTCTTTGACATCTCACTTAAGGATGTATATGTACTTCCAGTATAATTATGGACTTAAATGGATATATCCCTATAATGTATTGTTAAACATGCATATCTGCACCTGTCTAATCTGAACATCTCCCAATTTAAAGGGATTCTGGGAGATTGACAAAATATTGCTTCTGGGACGAGATCAAACGACTTTGACATATTCTTTACCCTACCTATTTTGCAATTTAACAATCAACACATTGCATGTACCATGATATCAGACAAATTCATCAAAATATTTTTTGATTGATAAAGTCATCGATTATAAAACTGGAAATGTGTTCTGTGGAGTCTGTGTGTGAATATTTCAATTATTCAGATTTTACCGTGGATTCGATTTTAAATGCTTCTAAATGATCTTGTAATGCTTACAATGATTAATTCTATTAGTAAAGTTTTGACTTCTCCACTTCATAAAAAAATCATTATCACATTTTACTTGACTCGAAAATTCACTACCGGCCTATCGTAATAAAGATGAGCTGAAAGGTTCAATAGGCGACTTTGAATGGAGCTTCATACATACATGTAGTCTGAAAATAGAATCATCAGAGAAGATTTTAAACCATGGAATCGACTCTAATTTATTGAACCATTTTATTGGTGGTATGTTACGATGTGCCTTCAGTACTGTCAACCCCTAAAGATTTTCTCGCGGGACAGATTTTTTAGACCCAGTGCCCAAAATTCGCGGGATTTTGCGGGACATCTACTAAATTCGCGGGATTTTGCGGGACATTTAAGGGATTTGCGTGATTGCGCTAATAGGATATTTTTTTTATCAAATTCGCGGGATTTCGCGGGACCATTCGAGGGACAAACACCCTAATTGCGGGACAGTTAACAGGTGTACCACCAAAAACTTCATAGAGGGACAGATTTTTTAGACAAAGTGCCCTAAATTTGCGGGATTTCGCGGGACATCCACCTAAATTTGCAGGATGTCCCGTGACATTCAAGGGATTTGCGTAATTGGGACTAATGTAAAAGCGTGTAGAAGTACTTAAATCAAACTTTCAGATACTGATTAATCAAATATAATGCACCGTTACATTGTAACTTAAATAAACGTCAACACAATTTCACAAAATACGCATAGGAATATTATTAAACTTTATTGTAATTTATCAAAAACAAAAACCATGCTTCAGGTGTGATTACCGTAATCTAACACGAAATTCAAAAATTCGGAACAATACTTTGCACTTCTGGCGTCGTGACCAACTATGAAACGCTTACCCCCATAATGTTATATATTAAAATGTACCTATTCATATACTGTAGGCATGGGCTTTCAATTGAAAGCCCATGATATAGGGGTTCGATTAATCTACATCAAATTATAGGGAATGAGGTTAATTTTCTAGATAGGGTTTGTATAAAAAACCGGGTACCGGGTAGTAAATCCTCCATGCTGGCTTCAAACTTGGTACCCGGTCGAAAAAAAAAACAAAAAACGAAATATACGAATACACAACATAATTAGATCATTAGAAAACGTGTAAGATTTGTTTTGAATTTACAAAAATGTATGTAACTTCCTTCAAAATTGAGCTAGAAGCTTCAAATAAAAAGCATTTTAAGGCTCTTTTCTTCCTCTATCATCTTGGTCATATTTCCATTGGTAATGAAGGGGGGGGGGTGCGATCGCACCCCCACCTGGCTACGCCAATGACATTGTAAGACGATTTGAAAAACAAGACAAATCAATCTTACTCTATTTTCAATAGTTCGTATGTTGGTACGTGAATTGTTTTGATTATGATTTAAATCTGTAAATAGCTATCGTTGCTTTAGCAGAGAGGTGACGTGTGTTAATTTGCATGATGCAACGTGTAAGATTTTGATTATTAATCATAATTTAAGTTATCCCAATTTATGACAAAATGTCCACTGAATTGTAAATTGTTATGTCTTACAATGTCATAGGCGTAGCCAGGAGAGGGTGCGATGGTGCGATCGCATCCCCCCCCCAATAACCAATGAAAATATGGCCATAACGATAGAGGAAGAAAAGTGCCTTAAAATATGCTTTTTATTTGAAGCTTCTAGCTCAATTTTGAATCATGTTACATACATTTTTGCAAATTCAAAACAAATCTTACACGTTTTCTCATAATCTAATTATGTTATATATTCGTATTTTTCGTTTTTTGGGCACCCGTTTGTTTTGACCGGGTACCGGGTACCAAGTTTGAACCCAGCATGGAGGATTTACTACCCGGTACCCGGTTTTTTATACAAACCCTTTCTAGATATCAGCATACATTTATTGTAACTCGCGTTTGCTAACATTTGCTCAGTTCTGAGATGAAGGCCACACGGGTAGTAAAAAGGCCAACGTTGGAACTATTTGTGACCTACATCCCTATTTTCGTAATTAAAATGAAAGTTGAACCCTTCCCCTTTATTTTGATACCAAACAACAGCATGCTAGGTACTTAAAATTAGGTAAACTTTACTCCTCAAAAGTGCAAAAACTTAGCTTCTTATATAAGATAAGATAATCAAAATATAGGGGATTGCAACAATTTCGGAAATTCGCGGAGGTCAAAGCCACATTTTGCGGGACTTCGCTGGACAATGCGGGACACGCGAATTAGCCTAATTTTGATCAAATTCGCGGGATAATCCCGCCATTCGCGGGACACTTGACAGCTCTGTGCCTTTAACCACTTTTTGGTCCAATTTGTTTAATCAACCATAGACTTAGACTCTTGAAATGTAAACACATGCCATTCTGATTCTGAACCCTTTTGGCTAGTTCCAGTATCATTCAGATAGACAGGTTTTACTGTATCTGTAATATTGGAATCCCAGGTGATGATGTATTTGACTAATGTAATCATAACTATATGTCAATAAAAGTTATATATATATGTTTACTGAATAGAATTTTCTAATATCACATCCACTATAAGCAATGTCAAGCAAATCAAGATATTTTTTCTAGGGTCTGATTTTTAATTATCCCATCGAACGAAGTTCAGAGGGATATAGGGAACGCCTCCGTCCGTCCATCCGTCTGTCCGTCCATCCGTCCGTCCGGGGAATAACTCAAATACCGTTGGCCCGATTTTGTTCATATTTTTTACACATATACCCTATGGGAGTAGAAGTTCTGCTCGAAAGCCGATTTTCAAAATGGCCGCTCATTTCAAAATGGTGGCCATTTTAGTGCCGAATTTACAGTAATTTAGGTGCAATATGTAAAATTGTAATAGCAATATGTTTAAGATGTAAAAAAATTATATAGGACATTAATAAAGCTAGAAATGTAGATATTAAAGAAGCTCATGGCAGCCATCTTGAAAAATGGCGGCCTTTACTCATTATTTTACGATTTTTGCTATAACTCGAAAAGAAGTGGAGCGATTTTGTTCATATTTGGTATGTGAATACTACAAACATTGCACACTGTCTAAAGACACTTTTGGTAGAAGGCAGCCATTTTAAAAAATGGCCGCCATTTTGAAAAATGGCCACCATTTAAACGTATTTTACTATTACTCAAAAAGTAGTGGAGCCATTTTGTTCATATTTGGTATGTGAATACTATAAGCATGACACACTGTCCTATGACACTTTTGGTAGAAGGCGGCCATTTTGAAAAAAAATTTGAAAAATGGCCGCCATTTTAACATATTTTACTATAACTCGAAAAGTAGTGAAGCGATTTTGTTCATATTTGGTATGTGAATACTATAAGCATGGCACACTGTCTAATGACACTTTTGGTAGAAGGCGGCCATTTTTCAAAATGGCCGCCATTTTAACGTATTTTACTATAACTCGAAAAGTAGTGGAGCTATTTTGTTCATATTTGGTATGTGAATACTAGAAGCATGACACACTGTCCTATGACACTTTTGGTAGAAGGCGGCCATTTTGAAATTTTTTTTGAAAAATGGCCGCCATTTTAACATATTTTACTATAACTCAAAAAATAGTGAAGCGATTTTTTTCATATAAGGTATGTGAATACTATAAGCATGGCACACTGTCTAATGACACTTTTGGTACATTTTAATGTATTTTACTATAACTCGAAAAGTAGTGGAGCAATTTTACTAATGGCACATTTGGTAGAAGGTGGCCATTTTGAATAATGGCCGGCATTTTAACGTATTTTACTATAACTTGAAAAGTAGTGGAGCGATTTTGTACATATTTGGTATGTGAATACTATAAGTATGGCACATGGTCTAATCACTTTTGGTAGAAGGCGGTCATTTTGAAAAATGGCTGCCATTTTTGCTATATACTTTATTTGTAAAAATGCCATCCATGGCTGTTCGATGGGATTCGCTACGCTTTGGCGTTGCCGTTGTTCTGGTTGTGAATTAGAGTTTTTTAATTTGTAATTTAAAATACAGTGTGTTTCAACGTTTTTGCCTTTTTCAAACTTTTCCAGTAAATATATGATTTTATGTGATTTTCCAGTCATAAATGCTTTCACCATTACTGCTTTTCAGGCTGGAAGCATATTAAAAGCAACCAAGCATATTATTAAAACACATTCAGGTTTGTATTTGAATACATTTTAATAGTATGGAGCAGAATTGTGATTCGCCTTTGGAGGAGCAAAACAAACCTCTACAAAGAAAGCACACGAAAAAATATAGTCAAAAGAAATACAAGGGACAGTCAAATTTATATGTTAACTCTCAATTCTCGATTCGTATTGCTGAAATATTCTCTAAAGTTTGGATGTACTTGGTTAATATTTTTGATTTGAGCTACAAGAAACACAAAGAAGAATTCCCAGATGAACAGAAAACTAAACTAAAGCATATACTAGAACAATTACGAGAAGAAGTTCACAACTCTGTAAAAGATATTGAACAACAGAGTAATGACCAATGTGAGGACTTACTGATTCAAAATGAAACATTGAAATCTGAAAACAAGAAAAATATTGGTAAGATTCAAGTACTGGGCACAGAAGTGGCTGCTCTGAATGGTAAAATAAGAGGATATGAAACCCTTGGTAAGTTTATTACTTTTCTTAGCTTAGTATGCATATAAATGACATATTTATTTGATTCTTTTGTGCTTCTTATGACATACAGATATTTTTTGGGCTGGGCCATTAAAAAAGTGTGTGGGTCGTGGTGATTTTGGTTCAGGTCTCAACTTACAGGGTCCTTACCAGGAATTCTGTAGAGCCCACAGAAAAAATTGCCACTCATGCCCCCCACACCCATCACCATTAACACCCCCCCCCCAGGTCATTCACATTACACCCCCTGGCCATTCACATTCACCTTCCCCTTTAAATGTTTTTTTCTCTATAATATTGTCACCAAACTACCTTAAAAGATACCAGCCTACAATTTTTCCAAATACTTTTTTACTTAACCTTATTATGTCACCACCAAAAGTGGTGACATATTGTTATGGTCTCCGTTTTTTTGCGACGGCGTCCGGCGGTTGGTGGTTGGCGGTTGGCGTCCGGCGTCTGTAACAATTTCTTACAACTTCCTATAACTTAACAAATACTGTTTAGACTGACTTCAATTTTTTTCTAAATCATCTACATGTTCTCAGAAGTTCAAATCTGACTTTAGATTTGACATTTGACCTTCAATGACCTTCTCAAGGTCAAAAAGGTCTTTTTTCAACTTGCTTCACATTGACTAAATTTTTTTTCAAAATCATCTACATGTTCTCAGAAATTCAAATCTGACTTTAGATTTGACATTTGACCTTCAAATCTGACTTTAGATTTGACATTTGACCTTCAATGACCTTCTCAAGGTCAAAAAAGGTCAAAAAGGTCTGTTTTCAACTTGCTTCAAATTGACTAAATTTTTTTTTCAAAATCATCTACGTGTTCTCAGAAATTCAAATCTGACTTAAGATTTGACATTTGACCTTCAATGACCTTCTCAAGGTCAAAAAAGGTCAAAAAGGTCTGTTTTCAACTTGCTTCAAATTGACTAAAAAAATTTTTCAAAATCATCTACGTGTTCTCAGAAATTCAAATCTGACTTTAGATTTGACTTAAGATTTGACATTTGACCTTCAATGACCTTCTCAAAGTCAAAAAAGGTCAAAAAGGTCTTTTTTCAACTTGCTTCAAATTGACTAAATTTTTTTTTCAAAATCATCTACATGTTCTCAGAAATTCAAATCTGACTTTAGATTTGACATTTGACCTTCAATGACCTTCTCAAGGTCAAAAAAGGTCAAAAAGGTCTGTTTTCAACTTGCTTCAAATTGACTAAATTTTTTTTTCAAAATCATCTACGTGTTCTCAGAAATTCAAATCTGACTTTAGATTTGACATTTGACCTTTATTGACCTTCTCAAGGTCAAAAAAGGTCAAAAAGGTCTGTTTTCAACTTGCTTCAAATTGACTAAAAAAAATTTCAAAATCATCTACGTGTTCTCAGAAATTCAAATCTGACTTTAGATTTGACTTTTGACCTTCAATGACCTTCTCAAAGTCAAAAAAGGTCAAAAAGGTCTTTTTTCAACTTGCTTCAAATTGACTAATTTTTTTTTTCAAAATCATCTACATGTTCTCAGAAATTCAAATCTGACTTTAGATTTGACATTTGACCTTTAATGACCTTCTCAAAGTCAAAAAAGGTCAAAAAGGTCTTTTTTCAACTTGCTTCAAATTGACTAATTTTTTTTTTCAAAATCATCTACGTGTTCTCAGAAATTCAAATCTGACTTTAGATTTGACATTTGACCTTTAATGACCTTCTCAAGGTCAAAAAAGGTCAAAAAGGTCTGTTTTCAACTTGCTTCAAATTGACTAAAAAAAATTTTCAAAATCATCTACGTGTTCTCAGAAATTCAAATCTGACTTTAGATTTGACTTAAGATTTGACAATTGACCTTCAATGACCTTCTCAAAGTCAAAAAAGGTCAAAAAGGTCTTTTTTCAACTTGCTTCAAATTGACTAAATTTTTTTTTCAAAATCATCTACATGTTCTCAGAAATTCAAATCTGACTTTAGATTTGACATTTGACCTTCAATGACCTTCTCAATGTCAAAAAAGGTCAAAAAGGTATTTTTTCATCTTGCTTCAAATTGACTAAATTTTTTTTCAAAATCATCTACATGTTCTCAGAAATTCAAATATGACTTTAGATTTGACATTTGACCTTCAATGACCTTCTCAAGGTCAAAAAAGGTCAAAAAGGTCTTTTTTCAACTTGCTTCAAATTGACTAATTTTTTTTTTCAAAATCATCTACATGTTCTCAGAAATTCAAATCTGACTTTAGATTTGACATTTGACCTTTAATGACCTTCTCAAGGTCAAAAAGGTCAAAAAGATCTGTTTTCAACTTGCTTCAAATTGACCAAATTTTTTTTTCAAAATCATCTACATCTTTTCAGAAGTTCTAATTTGACTTTACAAGTTCTCAGAAATTCAAATCTGACTAAAGTTTGAACTCATAATATTGTGAGCAACTAGGTGGTGACATTTTGTCATGTTAATGCCTTGTATTGTTAATGGTATAGGCCTATAGTCTACTATACTTTGTTCGCTTCCTTTTTAAAGTCCTTCCTTGATACAATGTGCAAAATTTATGCATATAATTACAGTATTATTATAAGATATCTGAGAATTATTTCCAGGAGAATATTCTTTCCAGCTGTACAGGCTAAATAACTATTGATTTCGGGTGCACCCCAGTTGTCCGAAACCCAGTTGTCCGAAACCCAGTTGTCCGAAACCCAGTTGTCCGAAACCCAGTTGTCCGAAACCCAGTTGTCCGAAACCCAGTTGTCCGAAACCCAGTTCTCCGAAACCCAGTTGTCCAAAACCCAGTTGTCCGAAACCCAGTTCTCCGAAACCCAGTTTTCCGAAACCCAGTTGTCCGAAAAATTTAGTCATAATTTACCAGATAAAGGGGGACGCACCTCAAGCCAGTTTCATGTCATGTATTTGGCAAAAATAATGGCATGGACGCATTCTGATGTATAGATCACTCTCTCACTTTGAATTGCATCCATTACACGGCGTTACCAGAATGACAGGAACGGGGGATTTATTTTACATTGTGATTCTAAAAAAGGTCATCAAAACACAATATATATTACGGAACAGTTGATCTTATCTTATTCAATATATTTTATATATGCAAAATAAAATGAAACATTTTGAAACCGATAAAATAAGTTAACGCATAAAACTTTAAGAATAAACAGTACACATATTACGTTGTCAAAATGTTTCGTCGCATTTAATTTCTTAGTCTCTGTCTCTTATCAAATCGTAAAATGTAAAAGAACAAAACATTCTTAACGTAATCACTTGGGATTAACTGGAAACGAAGACAGGCTGTCCTCGTATCAAATTGGATGTTCTCCCATTCGCAAGAAGTTTCATTTTCGCCATGTTCTCACTTCATCTTTTTGAATTTAATCTCTATTTCTCGAACAGAGTACCTAAATGAAGAATAATTTTTGGTTTCAAAAGATGTACACGTCAACTTTACTCAATAAATGCCCACTGGCTTGGGAAAACTATTTCCCTTTTATGAACGCCCATCACACATTGGAAAAATGTTGTTCCCTCTCAAAAAGCCCCATGGGGCATAAAGAAAATTGGTTTAAAAATTGTAGACCCCTATGTATGTTAATATGTAAACGCCACTTTGCAATGAGAATAGCATAATTTAACTTTGTTTATTTGAAGATCTGTATCACCTGTATTTTCATCTTTCGACAGTTTTTATTAGGCTAAATACTAGCTTCACGATCACTTTTCATTTGATATTACATCCTAGCAATATGAATAACATTTATAAATTGCCCTGATGTAAATAAAATGAAAAAAGTATTATTTATCAACAGAAATTTAAAATTCACCGGGCGGCTGCCGTGGGAAATGTGACTGCAAAAGTATGAGAGCGCAGAATTTCTACGGCGAGCGTGGAAAAGCTATTGGCCGCAGAAATGATAAACCGCACGGTGGCCGTTGGAAATGTGACTGGGGTGTAATTCCCACAAATCGGGGACACATATGCAATCCACGTTATTCTTCAGGAACAGAAAATGCAACCAATGATAAAATAAAAAATTGCATTTTGAATCCGACTGAGTCCTATTGATCCTCATAAATTACCCCCTACTCATACCAAGTTAAAATGTGCCCATCGTGCGCCTAATGCTAATGGCGCTGTCACACTTGTCGTGTCCCGTCCCGTCTCTCAACGTACAAAGCATTCAGGCCAAAATTTAAGGAATAAGCTATAGTGAGCTGTTTCAGAACGCCGTCTGAAACGCGTTCTGATTCTGAACCCACTGTATTCATTGGACGGTGGGAGGTCGTCCATGCTTACACTTTCAGTATCTGACCCTATTATCACACCAAACTAGTTCTCACTACGCTCTCGAGAACGGGCTTAAACTGTATAGACGGATTGGAAGTACTTAGAACCGTTTGGGGTCTACTTGCCTACCCGAAAGGGTAGTTCCAAAATTTCCACGTGGTCATCACTTTCTGCAATCACGCGGTCTTCGACCGTTAATTGGAATTTTTGACCTACCAGATGCTTGAAAATCAAGGATTGCGAGTCTGATACTGCACCTTTTTTCTTCCATTATACCATTAAAAGCAAAACAAAATTGCACTTCTGTCAGTGCATTACTTTATTGTAAAGAGTCTCTCGTTCTAGCAGCGTTTTGGTCCGCACTCCCCAGCTGTTAGAAGGCCTTCTTACAGCTGGGGACCAAAATTACGCTGGAAGTAGGGACTCTGTTTAAGATAATAACGTACCAACTGAAAGAGATTTTTGTCATGCTTTGAATGGAACAAGTTTGAAGAAAAACGGTGCAGTATGAGACTCGTAATCCTTATTTATTGTCCGGTGTATAATTTTTAAACATTATCCCAATTTTTCACAAAACTTTTTTTGATTCTGCAATAGTTAATGGTTGACATCTATGGCACACTAAAAACGAATTTTTTTTATGCAGGGTACGTACATGATACAGATCAAATCTTGGCTCTACTACAAACTATTACACACTTACTTCAACAGTTCAATATATCAGTACTGTCAACCCCCAAAGATTTTCTCGCGGGACAGATTTTTTAGACCCAGTGCCCAAAATTCGCGGGATTTTGCGGGACATCTACTAAATTCGTGGGATTTCGCGGGACATTTATGGGATTTGCGTGATTGCGCTTATAGGCCAATTTTTATTATCAAATTCGCGGGATTTCGCGGGACCATTCGAGGGACAAACACCCTAATTGCGGGACAGTTAACAGGTTTACCAGCAAAAACTTCATAGAGGGACGGATTTTCTAGAAAAAGTGCCCTAAATTTGCGGGATTTCGCGGGACATCCACCTAAATTTGCAGGATGTCCCGGGACATTCAAGGGATTTGCGTGATTTGGACTAATGTAAAAGCGTGTAAAAGTACTTAAATCAAACTTTCAGATACTGATTAATCAAATATAATGCACCGTTACATTGTAACTTAAATAAACGTCAACATAACTTCACAAAATACGCATAGAAATATTATTTCAATTGAAAGCCCATGGTATAGGGTTTCGATTAATCTACATCAAATTATAGGAAATGAGGTTACTTTTCTAGATAGGGTTTGTAGAAATAACCGGGTACCGGGTAGTAAATCCTCAATGCTGGGTTCAAACTTGGTACCCGGTCGAAAAAAACGGGTACCCAAAAAACGAAATATACGAATATACAACATAATTAGATCATTAGAAAACGTGTAAGATTTGTTTTGAATTTACAAAAATGTATGTAACTTCCTTCAAAATTGATATAGAAGCTTCAAATAAAAAGCATTTTAAGCCTCTTTTCTTCCTCTATCATCATGGTCATATTTCCATTGGTAATGAAGGGGGAGGGGGGGGGGGTGCGATCGCACCATCACACCCTCACCTGGCTACGCCAATGACATTGTAAGACGATTTCAATAACAAGGCAAATCAATTTTACTCTATTTTCAATAGTTCGTATGTTGGTACGTGAATTGTTTTGATGATTTAAATCTGTAAATTGCTATCGTTGCTTTAGCAGAGAGGTGACGTGTGTTAATATACATGATGCAATGTGTAAGATTTTGATTATTAATCATAATTTAAGTTATCCAACCTGTCGACAAAATGTCCACTGAATTGTCCACTAAATTGTTATGTCTTACAATGTCATAGGCGTAGCCAGGAGAGGGTGCGATGGTGCGATCGCACCCCCCCCCCCCCATAACCGATGAAAATATGGTCATGACGATAGAGGAAGAAAAGAGCCTTAAAATATGCTTTTTATTTGAAGCTTCTAGCTCAATTTTAAAGGATGTTACACACATTTTTGTAAATTCAAAACAAATCTTACACGTTTTCTGATAATCTAATTATGTTATACTCGTATATTCGTTTTGTTTTTGGGTATGCTTACCCGTTTTTTAACCGGGTACCAAGTTTGAACCCAGCATGGAGGATTTACTACCCGGTACCCGGTTTTTCTACAAACCCTTTCTAGATATCAGCGTCCATTTATTGTAACTCGCGTTTGCTAACATTTGCTCAGTTCTGAGATGAAGGCCACACGGATAGTAAAAAGGCCAACGTTGGAACTATTTGACCTACATCCCTATTGTCGTAATTAAAATGAAAGTTGAACCCTTCCTCTTTATTTTGATACCAAACAACAGCATGCTAGGTACTTAAAATTAGGTAAACTTTACTCCTCAAAAGTGCAAAAACTTAGCTTCTTATATAAGATTAGATAATCACAATATAGGGGATTGCAACAATTTCGGAAATTCGCGGAGGTCGAAAGCCACATTTGCGGGACTTCGCGGGACATTGCGGGACACGCGAATTAGCCTAATTTTGATCGAATTCGCGGGATAATCCCGCCATTCGCGGGACACTTGACAGCTCTGAATATATCGCAAAAACACAGTTTTGATTTTGAACAATATCACCAATGGGAGAAATTCTTAAATCTAAATGTTTGGAAAGGAATACGTTTCTACTAAAACATACAAACCTCTTATATTATGATGAAAAAAGGATAGACATCTGATATGTATATATGGTTTCGACAAGATTCGTTACTAAGAAATTTAATTTTTTAATTTTCGGAGAACTGGGTTTCGGAGAACTGGGCTTCGGAAAAATGGGTTTCGGAAAACTGGGTTTCGGACAACTGGGTTTCGGACAACTGGGTTTCGGAGAACTGGGTTTCGGACAACTGGGTTTCGGACAACTGGGTTGACCCCATTGATTTCAACATGTTTTAGGCATATGTCAAATAACTGTATTTGTCTTTAATTTGGTGAGCGTTTTAAATTGGCGAATTTTGGCAAATTAAAAAAATTGCCAGAAATTAAATAGTTGCCAAAATCCCCGGAAATATGACATGTTTTTCGTTCGGTGCACTGTTAAATATATAGAAACAACAAGAAATATTGAAGAAATTTATATGAACAACAAGAAATATTGAACAAATTGTTCATCAACAACACTGACAATGAGTATCTTGAATTGGGTTGGATGGGAGAATGTCTGGGACACTTGAAAAACCACCAAATGAAATGCAAAATTAACTAGCGCCAAATTAAAGACAAATATAGTAGATGTCTCCTCGGTCTTCACATGATAGGAAGTAGGAAGTAACTTTTTTCAAAAACTTTGTCGAAATCCAGTTATTTCAGATGAACATAATTATTAACTTATTCCAAACACGATCTAAATCTTTCATTTTTGCACTAAAGGTGCATTAGCGTACCCAGATTAATAATTGAGTGATAATTGATAATTCTCATCATCATGCGGTACTAACTCACCGGGGCGTATCGAAAACAAAACGCCCCGCAAGACCATTAATTTGAATTTCAAACCTACCCTTTCTTTGGAAAATCAATGATTGTGATCGAGTCTCAGTACACCGTTTTTCTTCAAACTTGTTCCATTAAAACCTTCACAGAAATACCTTTCAGTCGAGACATTGCTTTTGTGTACAGAGTTCTTTTATTATTCTCCCCTATATTTTGCACAAGGACTCCCATTACAACCCTCCATCTCTGCATCAACATAATTGGGAGTCCTTGTGCAAAATATAGGGGAGAATATTGTGATATAAATACATTATTTTGCAATCTACGTATCTTTCTAGCTGGTCTATATCAAGACTGCAAAGATGACTGTGCCAGATTAAAACAATTAGTTTTAAAAGGTGAAGAAGAAAATGTCAGACTTAGACAACAAAATGCAGATCTTGATAGTGAATTGAAAAGACGTGATGCTTCAGATGAGATATTGGATCAGAGAGAAAACACTGCAGAGCTCAATGATCAGGCAGAAGATGGAGGGACAACAGCCAAGCTTATACAGCTTGAAGAAACTACTGATGCTTCTGTAACACAACTACATGTAAGTACATACCCTTTTCATTAACATAAGAATCAATTTAACCTTTAGCATGCTGATTTAATTTGGCCATTTCATCACGTGTGACTGACTTATTTTGCAAGAAAATGATACGTATACTGGACTTATAATAAATATCTCGATAACTACTAAATGAATCTGAATAAAATTTTCACAAAAGGAAGAAACATTGTCTGTACCGTGATCATATTTATATTTTATTTATTTGTTTAATAAATAATCACAACTGTGCACTGCATACTAAACTATGAATACACCTCCAGAAACCTCTGCTTCGCCCCTTGGAAGACTGTCAGAATCTAAAACTGGTTTCTATTTTCGATGTCCATAATCAGCTTCCAAAAGCCCGAAAAGCTCCATATCCTCCACATTTTCAGTATGATCGATCGTATTTAGCCACCATTCTAACCAGAATGAGGTTGGTCTTCTAACAACTGAGACACATCACTCAGAAATATGACATTACACACCACGACGATTGTTTTTTACATTTTTGAAATGAATAAATACATTTTTAAATCACGACCTTGTTAAGGTACTATAGTCATTGGATTCCCAGTTTTAGTTTTACTTTCTTGTAATTTTGCATCTTTTCATCTTTATGGAAAAGACTGACAGCCGGTGGTCTGTGTTTTTTGTAAACCCATTTCTAGGACACCCGGAAGTCATGTTCGGCACTGAATTAGACATGCAATCTCATTGGATAATAAGAATGGTGTGAATAAGTGAAGTTTTTAAAAGTTTAACTGTGTTGACTGGAGTCGCCAGCAGTAACACGGGATAGTAAAGCATGGGCGTCTCCACTCGCTGTCAGCATGCTAAAGGTTAAGCCTCATTATCCTACTGAACGAAGTTCGAGAGGGATATAGGAAAGCCGTCTGTCCGTTAGTTTGTTAGTTCATCTGTTCTGGTAATGACTCAAATACCATTTGACGGATTTGATTCAAATTTTGTAGGCTTATGCCTTATGGGTATAGGACCGCTGCTGGGGAAGGAATTTCAATATGACAGCTCAATTCAAAATGGCTTCCATTTTTTGGAAAAATGTAATCTTTGATAACTCAAATACTAGTTGATGGATTTGGTATTTTATATGTATGCTGATGCCTAGGGACAAAGGAGCTTAAATGCTTCGAAAGAGATTTTCAAGATGGCCGCTTAATTTAAAAGGAGCTCTGCTCAAAAATACATTTTCAAGATGGTTACAGAATTTTAAAATATTAGTAGACAGATTTGGTTCAAATTTTTTATGCTGATGCCTAGTGAGAAAGGAGCTTTGCTGAAGAAGAGATTTTCAAGATTGCCACTGAATTTTAAAATTGCAGCCATTTTTATCAAGACATGATTTGTTTGGTGAGATTTGCTACTCTGTGGAGTTGCTGTTTACTAGTCTATTCAAAATAGTCATCATTCAAGGTTTTAGTCAAAATTCTTTCTCAAAGTTTTTGTGGTTCAGTTAATTGACTGCAATGACTTTGCATACATTTCGATGAAAACTGATTTTTGAAAATCTTATCATTATGCTTATAGCCCTACTCACATCGGAATAGCCTGATAACAGTAAAGTCAGATACCGTTGTCACAAATGGCGGACATAACCGTCGCTTCAATTAGATTTTCTATGTTTAATAGAGCACCAAGACTAAATTCCTTTGGAACAACAATCAATCAAAGTGTCTTTATACTCATTGTACAGTTAATAATGTGTTCTACCATCGTAATAAAGTCTTAAATTTTACCATTCAAAATGAGATACAGGACAACGGACACTGTATTACCATATGTCGTTGTCTTTGTAAATTATTTCAAATTCAGATTCCGTTGTGGCGATTCACGGCCCAATTTGATCGAAATTGGGATTTCATATGATACATCATCGAAAGAGCTTATTACATGTACAGAATTAGCGACGATAGAATCCCATGAAATGAGGACCAAGTGATAAAAGAGTTGAAGCGACGGTTATGTCCACCATTTGTGACAGTGGTATCTGACTTTACCATTGTCAGGCTATTCCGGTGTGCTGCTAGGGGAGTATACATACAAGTCAGCCTGATTTTCAAGTGTCTATGTGATCACTTAACTAGCAAACATTAGATGAAGTGAGGAGTTGATTCAACTATATCTAATTGTCAATTTATTTATCCAATATTTAAAAAAATTGTGAAACCCATGTTTCTGATTTAACAGCACTTTTTAATGCTATTTTTGAAAAGGGAGAATATCCAAGTGACTGGAGTATTGGTATGTTCTGAGCACTTTATAAACAAGGCAGCCATTTTCAAGCTGATGTATAGGGAATTTATTTGACTCAGTTATACAAAATCGTGTTGTCTTTAATGCTGGAGTGCAAAATTCACCAGATCCACTTCAGGGTGCTTACAAAGAAATAGACGTACAACCATAGGCTTTCAACTCTAATTCAAAGCCCATAGTACAACTGATAATATTTTTATTTTGCAAACATTAATTAACAAATTCAATTAGCATAAGAAACCATTATATACATGTATGATTGATTTTAAGAAGGCTTTTGATTATATAGATCACTCTGTATTGTTATATAAGCTGTGTAAAGCTGGAATTCACCCACATACTAAAATGTACAGGATTATAGAGAATATGTACTCTAAATCTAAGTCATGCCTGAAGTCATGCCATTAGAAAATGGAATCACCGAAACTTTTGACACTGAAGTAGGACTTTTGCAGGGAAGTGTTTTAAGTATATTTTTGTTCAGTCATTTCATAGATGACTTAAATGAAGTATTACCACTAAGATGTGGCATTATTTTAAAAGATGCCAAGTTCAACCAGCTACTATGGGCGGATGATCTAGTACCCATTTCCGAATCACATGATGGACTTCAGTAATTATTATTAGATTCACTCTTCTCTTCCTGTAAAATTAATAGACTTGAACGTGTAAATAAATATAAATATCTAGGAGTAATTCTTACTGATAATAATAAATTTAATATCAACACAAGTTATTTCAAAGAACAATCACAAAAGGCAATATTCAAAATCAAACAGCAGTATAAGAAATTCAATGACGTGCCACCTGATGTTGCTCTCCACCTTTTTGATTCATTAGTCAGTCCAATACTATGTTATGGCTGTGAAATTTGGTATGACAAGAAGCAGATGAAAGCGATAGAAACAATACATTTGTCCTTTTTAAAATCTATTTTAGGTGTCAAAACTCAAGCAGCAAATCCCGCAGTGTATGGTGACCTTGGTACTTATTAACTTACCAGAATCTAATATTTTAAGAAACATGGACATGAATTAGGGTTTAAATCTTGGTCTGGAAAAGTTTATGATATATTTCGTAAATGTGAACTAACAGAGTATTGGGATGACCAAAGTCAAATTACAGACCACTTAGTAAATTTAACTTAGAAATTAAACAATATGTTTGTAGAAAATTGGAAAAAGGACATTTTGATATATCCCAAATTAAGAACATATAAGCTGTTTAAGAAAGATTTTGCATTAGAACCATATACAAAGTTAGACAATAAAAAATATAGATTAGCAATAAGTAGATTTAGGTTGAGTTCACACCAGTTAAAAATAGAAACAGGAAGACACACAAAGTCAAAATCCAAACCTGTAAATGAAAGATTATGTTATATATGTAAATGTGTAGATGATTTCACTTTTTCATAAATTGTACAAACCATTCTCAAAACAGGCAAATATTTTTCGGGGAAAATTTATGAAACATTACCAAAATTTGATCTATAAATAGTGATAATTTATTTACAAATATAATTTCAAGTGATAATACCATCATACAACGGCATCTTGGTAAAATATATCACTCATTTAACAATCTAGAATAGTCAGCATATTTTGTATATCACACTTAAAAATATTCTGCCTCTTTTGTATGCTTTCAATATGCATATGAAATTTTTTTGTATATTACTTTGTAAATGTAGAAGTAGTTTTAGTTAGTCTTAGTGAGTAGTTGTGACTAATATAATCATGTAATGATACAACATGTCAATAAAAAGTTATATATTCATTATTTCAGAAGAGTGTGGATTCATCTTCTTCATTAGTAACAGGAAGTGAGCAAACGTCTGATGATAATAACATGCAATCTAACAACATGGATCTTAATTCACGCAATGTTCCAACCGAGAGTGATGAATTCATGGAAATACCATCTTGTGAAATGTATATTAATCATGAGTCACCATGTCATCAAATGCCATCACGAGACATGTATGTTGGAATATCCTACCTTGAAAAGCCTGAAGTGATTGATCAGGAAGACCATGTCCCTGTGGCTGAGTTACATAAGAGGGACTATATTCTACAGTGGCAGAATGACTGCCAGGATGATTCACTGAATTACCACACAGTCAGTGGAGAGATATCAAATGAAGTAAAGGTAATATATGGAAATGTTCTTTTTGAGTTATACATGTTTTTATTGTACCTAAAAAAGGTACAATATTGTTGTCAGCTTGGTGGGCTGGAGGTGTCTCACTTTTCTTGTCATCCCGATTACAGGAAAACCACTTAACGGATTTAGTTCAAATTGTCATAAATGTTACATGGTAAGAAGTTCTTGAGCTGATTTACTTTTTGTTGGCCATCTTGCATTCTGGCAGCCATTTTGGAAGTTTTTAGATAAATCTTGTCATCGTGATTCCAGGAAAACCACTTAACGGATTTACCTCAAATTTTTACACATTTTACATGGTAAGAAGTTCTAGAGCTGATTAAAAGCCCATGGTCTAACAACTTCTGTGGTGAACCTATTTTCGAAATATAGTCCATTTGTCATTTTCTGAACGTATGAATAGTCAAAAGTATGATGTTTTTCTGCGTAAATACTATCATTAGGGATTATTGGAGTGATTTAGCTGGGTTGCCAAAAAATAACTTTGGGGAAAATTTTTGTATCTATTCCCATGGTAACATACTAGGTATATGGTGATATCCCAATGCTAAGTCAATAGGCAACGCCATGTTAAGCGATTGCACCCCACCCTAATCAGCCTATATAATTTTTTCCCCAAACAAACTTTTTTGGCAACCCAGTTAAATCACTTCAGAAAACCCTTATTATCATAAATCGACCATAAAACATCGTACTTTTAACAATTTCTAGGTTCACTATTGGATGTATAGGGGTGACAAATGGACTAATATGCATGAAGATCCATTCAAAGTCGATGTTTGAACCTTTAAAAAGCCAAAGGGTCTAGTGCACTCTCCATTTTGATTTCTCCATGAACAAAATGAATCATTTTTAGGTGTAACACAAAGAATACAATGTCACATAATACTTTGGAAAATATTTAAGCATTTTGACCCACATGGGCTGAGGTTGAGGTCATTAAGTTCAGCAAGGGTGTATTGACTTGACATTGGATGTGCTCCATTGACTTAACATGCGGATATCATCAGATTCCAATGGAGGCCATTGGTTTCTATTGATTTATTATATTTCAGAAAATGTGCCCAATATATTGCTCTAAATGATACAATTTAAAAAATTTTGATATCATTCTTAGAAAAAGAAAAAAAGAAAAAAAAACTAAATTTAAAATGGATCTATTTTCCTTTTTACTACAGCTATTATTGTTTCAATTTTTTAAAATTTCAAAGATTGTATCATTTAGGGCAATATATTGGACACATTTTCTGAAAAAATCAAAAGATTCTGTTCATTGACCTTTCCTGAGCACCTTCATTCACATTTTCAGAGGGCTGAAAAGGTTATTTCATCATGTTTATGGTCATTTCCATTGTGTTCCCAGTCATGTAAATGATATGTGGAACTACTTAAACTGACTTGAGGTCCAAACAGAACTCTGTAATCTTGGTTCAAAAAAATTTCAAAATCCAGCATGGTTTTGTCATTTTTTGTTTTGTCATTTCCTGTTAACTTCCATGGCACCTTGAAAGATTATACATTTTTTCATCATTTTTTTCCTACAAGATGGCCATAGAAAAATGCTTCAAAAGCAACTTTTACACTTATGAAAAGCCATACAACTTTGTAAATCCAAAGATTATATTGTTATGTTTCATTAATTAATAAAAATTTTGGATAAGATGTAGTGATGTGTAGGATGCAAATGGATTTTGACAGTCACAAAAATACTTCAGTTTGGAATCTATGCCTCTACACTTCATGGTTGAATTATGACCCTATTAAGTGGTCCATTCATCAATATAGTGCTGAATCTAGGTCAAGATACTAGTTAACATACATATGTAATAATAAAAGCAGTATACTCATTTTGAAAAATCAGGTGAACAAATTCTTTTTCATGGGGAGATCATAATGGAGAGCGCACTACTTCCTTTAGACTGAGGATTGAAAAGGTTCTTAGAACTTTTATTTTTCTCGGTAGACTAGAAGTATTTATGGGTCGAGTAAATGGAGTTAATGTTCTTTTTATGAAGTGGGGAAGTCAAAACAGTTCCAAATGAAGCATTCAAAGATCATTTAACGGCAAAATTGAAATGACTGAAATCTTTAAACTCCTTCTTCTTCGTCTTCTTCGTGGATGTCAGAGAAGACTATACTTCCAGTTTGATAATTAATGATTTTATCTATCAAAACTATTTCCGATATCTGCTTAAATATGGTATGTATATTTGTGTTGATTGTTAAATTACAAAATAGGTTTGGTAAAGAATATGTCAAAGTCGTTTGATCTCGTCCCAGAAGCAATGTTTTGTCATTTCCGTTGCCTAGAATTCCTATAACTTTTTCGGTGGCCATCTTGCATTCTGGTGGCCATTTTGGAAGTTTTTAGATAAATCTTGTCATCACAATTTCAGGAAAACCACTTAATAGAATAAGATCAAATTTTTACACATGTTACATGGTAATTACAGGCCTGTCAACTGTCCCGCAATTTGCGTATTTGTCACGCATTTGCTGAAGAATTTGAAGTCACGCCAGTTTTTTTTGCGTGACAGAAAATGTCACGCAAATACGCATTTTACCTGGTAATTGTCACGCAAAAATATTTCTGTAGAAAATTTTTCAAAATATGTTGACGATACGGTAAAAATACGAACGTCGGAAAAAACCGAACGCAATTTGTTCGGATTTGTCACGCGAATCCCGTATGTGTCACGCATGTTAATTGGAAATTTTCGTACCTACCCCCCCCACCCCCCCCCCCCCCCCCGTTGACGATATCGCGAGCGTATCGAGCGCGAAAAATTGAGGTGTCCAAAATTTGATTAAATGCAATAAAATTGAAAACAAGGTGCTCAAATTGTGGCCAAGATGTTCAGATTTGGACCAAGGTGTCCAAAATTTGAACAAAGGTGTTCAACATTTGCAAGTCACTCATGTTAGGTGTCCCCAAGTTGACAGGCCTGTAATTAAGAACTTCAACTTTTCGGTAGGCATCTTGCTGTCTGGGTCAACAAGCCCAAACTGCTAGGTACGATATTGTTCACCCTGTGCTTTGTTGTCTTTGGAAAAATGGTCAAAAACATCATAAGTGGCTATGTATTCTAATTGCTTTTTGAAAGTTTCTGGGTTATAACTAACTCACAATCAATATCTGTTTTTGATAAAAGTTGGAGGAATTTGTCCCGCCAATTTACTTTCTTACATTTTAGGAACTATGGAACCGAATTAATAAACTTAGTTTGGATAAGGAGGTACTCTCAATTGAAGTAGAAAATCTAACTGGAGTATTGGGTAATATTACTGGAACAGGGAAACCTACTGATTTTGCGAGAGAGGTTTCGAAGACAACTGTAAAAATATTACGCTTGGAGAAGAAATGTCAGCTATTAAAGGTACATATGCAAAGTAATTATATATCCAAAACTTAATGAATAATTGATTTAAGCAGAGACATATAAAGCTAACATAGAAGTTTTATATGTCTATGATTTAAGCCAGTGATGACCGAAGTATTTGTTGGTGATCTACATCAGGAGATTGGTGGCATTTTAAAGTAACATTTTAAGACAAGCTTACAAGAAGACAAAACATTTATTATCCCAACGAACGAAGTTCTGTAGGGATATAGTGAAGCCCTCCGTCTGTCTGTCCGTCCGTCAGTTCGTCAGTCAGTCCGTCCGTCTGTCCAGAAGATAACTCGAATACTAGTCGACAGATTTTCTTCATATTTGGTGGAAAGATGTATATTGGTGAACAGTTTTACGCAAGATGGCCACCAGTTTAAAAATGGCGGGAATTTTTCGCAAGAGTCTTATGTTTTTCATTTTAAACCAAAATGATGAATAAAATTTTGGTATTATATTAACAACATCTATCTATTTCACATATATCCCGGTTTTTCCACCCTGACCCCCAGGGGCCGTAAATGGGGGATCGGGAAAACAGGAATTTGCGTTAATTTTGAGATGTTTTTTTAAAGTATAGCTTTTTTATACTCAAATGAAAGGCAATTTAGAGTAGATTGCAAATGTTGTAACGTTTTTCTGATTCGGGCCTCAAAAAATTCAAAATGGCCGCCTAATGGGCAATTTCGCAATTATTTTCTGATCTCTTAAAAGTATGGCTATATTATACTCAAATTGAAGGAATTTCAGAGTAGATCACAATTATGGCATTGTTTTTTTTCTGATTTGCGCCTCTGAAAATTCAAAATGGCTGACTAGAGCAGAAATTCGCCATTACTTTAGAGTTATCTTGAAAGTATGGTTACATGATACTACAATGATTTAAAATATTTATTGAAGGTAAGAGCAGATGGTAAATATAACATTGTGACTGTACAGATTAATGATTAATATAGTGTTCGTTGGGACTTGCTACTCCGTGGAGTTGCCATTTTCTAGTTGAATTCTCTTCTTAATGGATGGATTAAATGGCAAAATAAATGATACTTATATCAATAAATTATTTATTCACTTATTTTTCTAGGATATCATTGAACATGTGACAGAAGAAAATAGCAGTCTGAAAGCTAAATATTCAATGGCAATGCTAGAAAAAGACAAGCAGATTCTTGATGGAAGGTAAGTTTATACTGATTCACATAATATTTTATGAAATGGATTAACACCTAGAGTACACCAGCTAGAGTACCAATGGGATATTGATATCAAAAGTTTAGATATGCAGAACATGCAGTTTTGGTGAATCTACATAATTTAAACATTGTATTTGTTCTATATATGGGAAAGAGAAACTGTGCAGACTGACTGAAAATTAAAGGTTTATGAAAAAGACTGACCACCAACCAGTCAGTGTTTTCCACGGGTAGCCAAACAGGTTTTGAGAAAAATGTGTAAAAGAGCGACCATCATCATGTGTAAGAGACCAACCATATTTGTAACCTAAAATTATTTATATAATCCGATGTTCAATACATATCAATCAGAGGCAACATTTTTTACACATTTTGTTCTTTTCAATTAACTTAAAATGGTTAAAACGAACGGCATGCAAACACTTATAGGTTCCCAACCTGCCAACCTATAGTTTCTACATCTCTTGTCAGGATCAAAAGTGACTAACCAGTTAAGCACACAATTGGACAGCTATTTTTGTCATATTGAATGCAGTTTTTACCAGATTGATGTTTGTCTCTCTCAATCAACTGAGAGGTCAAACATGACATATTAATCTTTAAAAAGATTACAACAAGGTTTTAATGACCGACTGATGTTAAGTATGTTTTTGTTATTTGCATATTGAACAAATGGATGTAAAGCCCCTGTGACTATCTGAAATATACAATTTGAGAAATCATAATCTAAGGTAACGATTAAAAGGTGGATTGGATCGAGTGAGTTGGCTTCATGTAAAAGGTGGATTGGATGGAGAATCTTCAAAATATGGAATTTCTTTAAGAGTTGTTTCTTTTGATCTCTCTAAGACGGGTGCTCTCCTCCCATCCACAATGTCAAACAATATAATTTTGCTTGGGTGGGCTAGAAGGGTCACCTGGTACCCGCTTCCTGATACACAATATTAATCGTATTCAGTCCCAGTGTAACTTAGGTAATTTATAAACCATAAGGCAGACTGCTTTAAAGATCCAAATCATCTGTTTTCAACCCAAACAAAATATTGCAGAAATGTTTTGATAACAGCCAAACATCAATTTGAATGACAGCTTTTATCTATGTTTATTATGCCTTAAGACTTAGCCTATACCTTTAGTCGATTTCTAATTAGGAAAAGCAGTTTTACTTATCTAGAATCCATCAACTAATTGTAGTATGTATTTGTTGTTGTTTTGTTCCAATTCCTCAAAGGGATCCAAGTGACCAAAAAATACAAATGTGGAATGGCAATTTTGCTAAGAGGGAGATCAACAGAAATTCCATATTTCAAAGATTCCCAATCCAATCCACCTTTTACATGAATCCAATTGACTTGATCCAATCCACCTTTTAATCTTTACCCTTAAAAATATGACATTACAGATTCGACGATGTTATGTTTTTTCATGTGCTTTTTTCACCATGATTTAAAATGGGTCAACACTTTTTAATCACAACCTTGTAAAGGTACTATAGTCTTTGGATTCCTGGTTTTTAATTTTTTTTCTCTTCTAATTTTGCATCTACAGTAAAACTTGTGTACAGTGAACATTTTATTTTTTGCCATATTATATAAAGAGACTAGTTATTGAACAAGGCTAACAGAGAAGAGGGAATAATCAATTTAATTTGTATTTTCTACCCATGATACCGTAAAGTTTTTGTTTTGTTGTAATGTTATATAAACTCACTTATTCTCATTGAGATTAGCTTTAAATTGTGGAATCCTTGACACATTTGAGTCAGTTAAAGGACTTTATTGAATTAATTAAAGTACATGATAGAGTCATTTAAAGGTGATAAGAATTATAATTAGTCATATCTGTTTTAACAGAAGAGATCAACATCTCAAATTGACCTTTTCATTGACCTTTTTATTATAAATCTTATATCTGATTCAATGTTCAGTATAGACAGGATAATTCAATTGATTTTGCCAAGATTTAGTGTTCACAGTAAGTAGGTATTCACTATAGGATTGTACTTTAACATGGGAGTCAATGGGAGAAAAATATTTGATCTTTATGTACACAGGCAAATTACATCGGGGCATGTACGAGTTTGTACAAGCCTAATGTTCCCTCAACGGGCTCTGTACAACCTCAGACGGGTCTGGTAACATGTCTCGTAATTGGTCGTAATTTCCGAGCCTCGTACTAACTTCTGATTACAAGGCTCGTCAGAACCTGTGATTTCCGACCCAAGTACTTGCCCCTACAGGGCCCGTAACGAGGCCCGTAACTGCTGGTAATTTTCGACTCATGTACTTGCCCGTGCGTGGATTGTAACGAAGCCCGTAATAGCTCATTATTTCCGAGCTCTGTAACGGCCTGTCATTACGATGCCTGGAAGAACCTGTAACTTTCGACCCAAGTGCTTGCTCGAACAAGGCTTGTAATGAGGCCCATAATAGCTCGTTAGTTTTGATAAGCTTTTTGTGATCAATGAAATAAAATACAGAGTATACATTTAAAATTATACGTAAATATAGATAAATATGTTATACATGTAAATATTTGCTCCTTTTTGCCCATAATATGACTCGTAATTTACGAGCCTCGTTCAAGCTTGTACAGGGGTCGATATAATTTGCCTGTGTAAAAGACCGACCTCCGACCACTTGTGGAGAGTGGTTGACTGGTTGGTGGTCGGCCGCCTGTCTTTTTTGTAAACCAAAAAAATTTTAGATGCCATAAAATTGATATATGGGATGAAAATTATGCTCAGTTGCTCCAAAATGCTTTTTGAAAATGAGGATTTTTGTATCATTTCAAGGCAAGAACAGGCACTTTTGCTTGAGAAAATCAAAGTTTTGGAACATGCAAGAGATAACCTCACTCCACCAACCAACAAAATAGACAAGGAAGATGTTGCTGATTGGATTGAAGTAGATCACATTCAACAAACAGAGGTATTAGTGGAGTTACATACATGTAGTCATTTATTTATTCATATCTACACTTGATCATTTTCTGTTGGTCTTCAAAAAACAAAGAGGGAGAAATGTTACTTCAAAATAGATTATTTTTCCTATCCATAACAGGTATAATAACTTTTACATCCATTTCATGAAAACTTTGCGAAAAGAAGTATTTTTCAATTGAATTATTAAGATTTACGGTGATGATCAACTCAGATGTGAGTAGGTAGTTACCAGTTTCACCACTAGGTGGCTCATTCGGCTCAGATAGCATGGCGGGTATAGTAGAAAGTTCCCTTTAATTTAAATATTCATCAGTTTTAGTGGTTCAATTTTCATATCATATTATGTATCTAATAGTTATACAAATTGAAATATGCGCAGCAAAAGAAAATATTATCTGCCCAGTACAAAAAAAGATATTTCACTTTTGTGATTTTATAACATGGGGTCTATGGGGAATCTCCTCGAACTGGAGGTCACATTTTCAAAAAAAATTATTATTCAAAGTGATAAACAATTTTTGAAACCAAATTTTCTAGATGTACTTAAGCTTTTACCATGGTACATGTAGATTTCAAATATCATTTTGACTGAATTTTGAATATTTAATGACTTAAATCAAGATTATTTCTACTCACATCAAGTCTACTACAATTGTACACATTATTCTAAGTTAAAAAGTTCTTTGATATAAGGAACATATATTGCCCTAAGAAATTAGTTTTGTCATATCAAAGTAAAATATGACTTTGACTATGTCCTGTACCAATGAAAGTTTTGTTAAATTAAGTTTGGTCAAATATATTGGAATACAAACAGAAGTAGCACTGTTTGTTCATTGCAGGAGTTTATCACATTATTCAGAATAAAATATGTTCTTTAATTTCATCCAAACATTGCTGGTTATTTTTTTTGAATATGTGTTGCACTGACAAAGGTACTTGAAATACCAACAACTATGTATAATGTATATTGTAAATAATTTTATCAAATATCTGATTTTGCTTATAGACTACATCTGATGTTAATGATGCCACAAAACAGAGGTTATTATACCTGGAAAAGAAAGTACAGAAACAACACAAGAAATTAAAAGAGGTGAATATATCAGGTGTCCCAAAAGGTATTTTCTCCGCAATTAATAAACCAAATACACTGAAAATATATGGGTACAAAGTAGAGTAAGAGTATTATTAACCTGCTTCCCATTTTTTGGCACAAACCCTATGAAGTTCTCACTGCATTGCTCCAGTATGGGATCTTTTGACATGGTTTCTTGAATTTTTTACATGTAGTTCCCACATAATATGTAGATAATCTTTTTATATTTTTGTAACTTGCTAATGATACCCCTGGGCTAATTAATACAAATTTTCAGCGAATTTGGTTTGTCAATTGCCGAGAAAATACTTGTCAAAAAGTGTCTCACTTTTTCTGGAACACCCAATATGATATATTTTATAGACTGAACATCGCTTTTTTTTTTTCATTATTGATTTGCATACCAACTGATACTAGCATTCTTGAACTAGCATTCTGGGGGCCATTTTGGAAGTTTTTAGATAAAACTTGTCATCGTGATTCCAGGAAAACCACTTAACAGATTTGCTTCAAATTTTCACACATGTTGCAGGGTAGGAAGTTCTAGAGCTGATTAACTTTTTGGTGGCCATCTTGCATTCTGGTGGCCATATTGGACGTTTTTATTAGATTAATCTTGTCATCATGATTCCAGGAAAACCACTTCCTTCAAATGTTTACACATGTTACATGAACTGATTAACTTTTCGGCGGCCATGTTGCATTCTGGCTGCCATTCTGTAAGTTTTTAGACAAATCTTGTCATCGCGATTCCACGAAAACATCTTAATGGATTTATTTCAAATCTTCACACATGTTTCATGGTAGGAAGATCCAGAGCTTATTAACTTTTCGGTGGCAATCTTGCATTCTGGTGGCCATCTTGGAAGTTTTTAGATAAATCTTATCATCACAATTCCAGAAAAACCACTAAACGCATTTGCTTCAAATTTTCACACATGTTACATGGTAAGAAGTTCTAGAGCTAATTAACTATTCAGGGGACATCTTGCATTCTGGTGGCCATCTTGGAAGTCTTTTTAGCTAAATCTTGTCATCGTGATTCCAGGAAAACCACTTAACATATTTCCTTCAAATTTTCACACATGTTACATTGTAAGAAGTTCAAGAGCTGATGAACTTTTTGGTGGCCAGCTTGCATTCTGGCGGCCATCTTGGAAGTTTTTATTAGATAAATCTTGTCATCGCGATTCCAGGAAAACCACTTGACGGATTTACTTCAAATTTTCACACATGTTACATGGTAAGAGTTCTAGACCTGATTAACTTTTCGGCAGCCATCTTGCACTCTGATGGCCATTTTGGAAGTTCTGAGATAAATCTTGTCATCGCTAAAAACTTGAAAATCACTTAATGGATTTACTTCAAATTTTTACACATGTTTCATGCTAAAAGTTCTTGAACTGATTAACTTTTCTGCAGCCATCTTGCTTTCTGGGTCACACTGCTATGTTTTAGGTACGATATTGTTCACCCTGTGCCTTGTTAAACCATTCCAATGTTGAAATTTGTCGGATAGCAAACTGAAATGGCTTTGAGCCCCTCCCCACTAACTAGATTTATTTAGTTTTCAATCTGACATTGAACTTTTGATGCCTCCTCTTAAACACATATGTTACTCCTTACCCCTAGAATCCTTTTGATGATATCATATATTTCTGGTATTCCAGCTTCTGGATGTGAACCAGAAATGGGATGAGTATAACAAGAAACGTGAAGCTGAGTACAAGAGAGAAATTGAGTCCTTTAAAGTAAAAGAGAAAAACAGCAAAGAAGCTGATGAAAAACGTCAGAAACAAATTGACCAAATGATGCTTGCTACAAAGAAAAAATTAGATGATGCAAAGGTACTTCTTCAATATTTTCAAAATTGTTGGATTACCCAAGATGAATTTTGGGGTTATTTATAGTCATGAATTTTAAAGCTGCACAAAACTTCCTTATAGAATTTTGTTTTTCAGTATGACCCCCATTTGGATGCCTGAAAACCTTTACAACAAATCTGGGCATTGTACATTTTTAAGCTTCTTTGATTTATAAGGAGAATGTTTTAAAGTTGTACTAAAACCAATTAAAGAATATCTTACTACCTTGTTTTTAGCACAAATAGCATCCCTTTTGTTATGTTGACTATAAAGCTTGTGATATTTCCCCACACAACACGATATATTAAGAAAAGACTGTCATCCTCTGAAATGTTGTTATTTTTGCGCACTTTTTGAGGTCACCTGACCATGACGTACCGTGTGCCAAGTTATTCTGGCGCTAATTCAAAAAGTTGTTGTTGCAAACTACTATGAAGGCTGAACCAAAGTGGAAATAAACATTAGTTTCACATTCGCACACATTCCAATAGCCAGATAAATATTTTTAATTTATTAAACTTCACAAAAAGAAATTCTTGAGGAAAGAACACTCCAATATTATTCATTACATATTCCACCCCATGGCCAACCACAAGTGCAGAGTGAACCCCTTGACTCAATCATAATTGTGTATTTTGTGCAATTAATGTACCCTTCTATAATGCCATGGGCGACTGAAGGGATTTATATTATGATGTTTTTAATAAAAAAAAATTACATATTCAAGGAATTGATTGAAAATGCCTTTGTGAAACCGTATATCGATAACTGAAAATGTTAACCCAATAATTATATTTTGGCCTTCCAGCATTACATTTGGGTTAAAAAAAGTTTTAATCCCAATGCCCAAACACTGGCAATGTTTGCTGTTATATAACTTTCATGCTTTCAATAGCGTTTCAGCTTGATTGATTCCGAATTCAATTGCAAGTGACATTACACCCTTTGCGAAATTGATGAGAATAGCCTCAATCATGCAATACATGTAATTGGCTCAACATAAGAGTGAATAACTCAATTTTGAAAGCCAGGGTTTCATTTTTATCTACAAAATCGTATTTCGCGGCAAACTGTTTCGACCACACACGTCATGTCACGTGACATAAAATTTCTGCTCTGAAAATGAAATCAGTTTTGCCACGAAAATAGACTAATGCTGACTTTATATCCCCGATATCATGATAAAATAATTTTTTGGAATTGTTGATGGTTCACCATCGTAAAGTGTGGTTTTCATTAGGTAAGATAGCATTAATATCTCTAAATCGAGTAAAATGGTTTGAGTACAACAAATATTGGCTGTATAGAATATTCACATATTCAACTATTTTTTTCAGTGAATTTGGTAACCTATTTTTTGAAAACCCTTGTAAGGATGACTCACCTTGCTTTTCCTTCCTCAAAAGTGCATGTCATTCCTGTAGTCAGGTTTAGCAAATCAATTTAAAGGCCCCATGTAATGTGTGAAGATATGTTTTTATCATTCATTTACTATTTTTTTATGAAGTTGTCTGAAAAGAAAGTTTTCAGACTTTTATTTTTCAAATATTCAAATTTCCCTCCATTTTTCATATAAAAGTTGAAATCATCAAATATTAAACTATTCAGTGCAAAATGTATAAACTTTTTAACACCACTACAAGATTAAACAAAGGATATACTATTTGAATAATAAAATGTCATACCTAATTACACTTAAATGTTTTAGCAAGACTTTTGCAATATAAGCCAAAGTCGTTTAAATGTTATATGGGGCTTTTAAAGGTTGTTAGTTTCATAATTATCCCAACGAATGGTAGGGATATAATGAAGCTCTCTGTCAGTCTGTCTGTCAGTCAGTCCATCAGTCAGTCCGTTCATCTATCCAGAAGATAACTTGAATACAAGTGGACAGATTTCTTTCTTATTTTCAAGAGGGACACTGCTTTAAAAATGACGCAAATTTTTCCCCAAAATCTCAACTTTTTCATTTTAAACCAAAGTATGAGATATTATTGTTTGAAAGTTTGATAGTATATTCTCAACATCTATCTGTTTAACATTTATTTCTTGTTTTTCACTCTGACCCCCAGGGGCCATGTATGGGGGGTCAGAAAAAGTAATTTTTGTTAATTTTGAGATCTTTCTGAAGAATAGCTTTATTATATCCAAATTAATGGGAATTTAGAGTAGATTGCAAATATTTTATCGTTTTTATCCCACCGAACAAAGTTCCTCCATCCGTCTGTTTGTCCAGGCGATAACTCAAATAACGGTTGACGGATTTGATTCAAATTTTATAGGCTTATGCCTTATGGGGCTATGCTGTAGAAGAGATTTTCAAAATGGCTGCTAAATCTCAAAATGGCGGCCATTTTTCGTAAAAAACGTAATCTTTGATAACTCAAATACAAGTGAACGGATTTGGTTCAAATTTTATATGATGATGCCTAGGGACAAATTGATTTGTTCAAGAAAGAATTTCCAAGATGGGGGTTGAATTTTAAAATGGCGGTCATATTTCGTATAAAAACATAATCTTTGATAACTCAAATACTTGTTAACGGATTTGGTTCAAATTTTATATGCTGATGCTTAGGGACAAAGGAGCTTTGCTGTTGGAGAGATTTTCAACATGGCTGCTAAATATCAAAATGGCGGCCATTTTTCGTAAAAAAAACGTAATCTTTAAATACTCAAATACCAGTGAACGGATTTGGTTCAAATTTTATATATTGATGCCTAGGGACAAAGTAGATTTGTTCAAGTAAAAATTTCCAAGATGGCGGCTGAATTTCAAAATGGCCACCATTTTTCTTAAAAAAAACTTAATCTTTGATAACTCAAATACTACTTCATAAAAAAATTTACTTTTTGATAACTCAACTAGTTTACGCATTTGGTTCAAATTTATAAGCTGATGCCTAGAGATAAAGGAGTTATGCCAAAGAAGAGAATTTCAAAATGGCTGCTAAATATCAAAATGGCGGCCATTTTATGTAAAAACGTAATCTTTAATAACTCAAATACCAGTGAACGGATTTGGTTCAAATTTTATATCATGATGTCTAGAGAAAAAGTAGATTTGTTCAAGAAACAATTTTAAAGATGGCGGCTGAATTTCAAAATGGCCACCATTTTTCTTAAAAAAACTTAATCTTTGATAACTCAAATACTAGTTGATGGATTTGATTATGCCTAGGGACAAAGGAGCTGCACTGAAGAAGAGATTTTTAGAATGGCTGCTAAATATCAAAATGGTAGCTATTTTTCATAAAAAAATGTAAACTTTGATAACTCAAATACCAGTGAACGGATTCGGATCAAATTTTATATGATGATGCCTAGAGACACAGTTATTCTGTTTGATAAAGATTTTCAAAATGGTGGCTGAATTTCAAAATTAAGGCCACTTTTTGTAAAAAAAGAATGTAATCTTTGGTAACTCAAATGCTATTTATGGATATGGTTTACATTTTATATGTTCATGCCTAGGGACAAACAAGCTCTGCTCAAGAAGGAATTTTCAAGATGACCACTAATAATCAAAACATGTATTGTTTGTTGGGATTTGCTACTCCGTGGAGTTGCTGTTTTTCTAGTTCTGATTTAGGCCTTGTATAATTCAAAATGGCTGCCTTATATGGGATTTTGCAATAATTTTCTGATCTCGTCAAAGTATGGCTTCATTATACTCAAATTGAACTGATTTGTAGATCACAAAAGACTAAATGCAAGTAGAAATAGTCTTGATTTACGTCATTCAATATTCAAAATTCAGTCAAAGTGTTTCTTTTCATAACCTTTATCCTTTCAACTGTTATTAAAAAAACAATACTACATCATATTAATTCACCAAAAATTCTTTCCAAATTCCCACCAATTTACAGTTCCCTTGATCTCTGTTCATTATGTCACCATCAAAAGGTTGGCGGTTGGTGGTTGGCGATCGGTGTCTGTAACAAATTCTCACAACTTTCAATAACTTAAGGATATATACTATGCTAACCCTTACGACAATGGTAATATATTTTTAAATTACAGATATCGAAAATAAACACCTCTAGGAAAAGCTTGTTTGTTAACTTCACGTTTGACAAGTGTTCTGTATTAAATATCAATGACGCTGAATGACGATATATGACACTTTACGACATAGTAATCCATAGCAACTAAGAGCTCCTCATTTTCAGTGTTGTTTTATCATGACGTCATATAACACATTTGTTAATGAATTCTCGGAATATGATACCATTATCTGTGACGTCAGTGACATATTGCCCCATCAACAAATAAACAAACAAATGAACTATACGTCATCAATTCTTCCAAATAATTCGGTAATTATCCCATCGAACAAAGTTCGGAGGGATATAGGGAACGCCTCCGTCCATCCGTCGGTACGTCTGTCCGTCCGTCCGTATATACGTACGTCCGTCCGTCCGTCCGGGCAATAACTTAAATACCGTTGGCCTGATTTTGTTCATATTTTGTACACATATACCCTATGGGAGTAGAAGTTCTGCTCGAAAGCCGATTTTCAAAATGGCCACTCATTTCAAAATGGCGGCCATTTTAGTGCCGATTTTACAGTAATTTAGGTGCAATATGTAAAACTGTAATAGCAATATGTTTTAAATGTAAAAAAAATTATGTAGGACATTAATAAAGCTAGAAATGTAGATATTGAAAAGCACATGGCAGCCATCTTGAAAAATGGCGGCCTTTACTCGTTATTTTACGATTTTTGCTGTAACTCGAAAAGTAGTAGAGCAATTTTGTTGCACGCTGTCTAATGACACTTTTGGTAGAAGGTGGCCAATTTGAAAAATGGCCGCCATTTTAACGTATTTTACTATAACTCGAAAAGTAGGGGAGTGATTTTGTTCATATTTGGTATGTGAATACTATAAGCATGGCACACTGTCTAATGATACTTTTGGTAGAAGGTGGCCATTTTGAAAAATGGCTGCCATTTTTGCTATATACTTTGTTTGTAAAAATGCCAGCCATGGCAGTTCGATGGGATTCGCTACACTTTGGTGTTGCCGTTGTTCTGGTTTTTTGTATATTCTTGTTTCATTCCAGTTTCGGGTCTGTTTCTTTCGTTATATCACAGCAGTATATGTGTATGTGCCCATGTATTACGAAACACGACAAATCTAATTTGTAACTTGCTTCTTATTTCGCTGAATGTCTAATATGAGCAGTCTGTACAAGTTTTCATTATAGTCTATAGCCTATGTATTGACCAGGGGTGTTAAATATTAAAAGGCAACAGTAAAATACAGTATTCTATTTTGCAATTTCTATAATTCATGTATACACTTATTACATGAACCACGGACCTTAAAGTCCGTGCATAACCATTCATTTATATGTATTTCTATTGAAATCATTACTTTGTTTCGTTTTTCCATTCTGTCAAAACAGATACCATCAAACATGTCTAACAAGCCATTCAAACCTTTGTTCAATTTATGTTACTATTCTATATTTTTTATAATTATAGTTATCAGTTACAAATATTTTCCCAATGAGTATTAACGACCATGATCGGACATGCCGGATAGAATGCGAAAGACGTCCGTAGCCGTTCACAAAAACACATTATTTGTGTTCTGCATGCCGTGGGCGTTTCTTGCTCAAATCTGACAGCTTTTTGTGGGGACCTCAGGGTGAGGAATGCACAGGGATTGTACAACCCCACCCAAAGTTCATCAAAAAGCATGCATGCCATTTTAAGTCATCGTTTATTGAATGAATGTCTAACTTGGGCATCTAGCCCTCAATTTACCCATAATTTATAATATTTGGAATGATGTTTATCATGTGGACTTAGCTAGTTCATGTTTTTTGTGAGCAGTCGATTCTGTTAATTCTTGAAAAAGCATCAGTGTCACAATATAGGGTAGCGATTTTTGGTTTTTTATTTTGTGCTACTTTTGGAATTAGAATAAAATTTAAAACGACCAGGCATTTAAAAAACATAAAGTTCAGTCCAGCCTATCTATAGATTTTCATACCTTTTTTGAAAACCAACACAAATGGCCAAAAGTAACACTTTAATAAACAGAGTTCAGCCTATCGATAGATTTCCAAACCTTTTTTCAAAACCAACACAAATGGCGAAAAGTAGCACTTTTCCAGAAAATAAACAGAGTTCAGCCTATCGATAGATTTTTATACCTTTTTTCAAAACCAACACAAATGGCGAAAAGTATCACTTTTCCAGAAAATAAGGCCAATGGCTTTCTTAACTTTTTCGTTGGAAAATATGACCACAATATCTCAGATGATTACAAACCAGCCTTTCCAATGCGAACAGACTCCCTGCTTATTTCAATTAGAACTGATATATCCGAGGTCATGAAACTTATCTCCGGTCTGGACACATCTAAGGCATGTGGCCCTGATCTCATAACTAATAAAATGCTCCATTTAAGTGCTCATACTGTCACTCATCCTTTGACTAAGTTATTTAACATGCTACTGCAGCATAGTGTATTCCCTAAATCTTGGAAGATTGGTAGCATTTGCCCAATCCACAAGAAAAGTAGTAAGTCAGATTTATCAAATTATAGACCTATCACCCTCTTAGATTGTATATCAAAGCTTTTTGAAAGAATTATTGCCAACAGAATTAAAAAACATCTCATTTCAAATGACCTGTTATTCAAATTTCAATCTGGATTTTTGCCTGGTCATAGTACCCAATCCCAACTTGTTGTCATCGAACATCTTATTCAATCAAATTTTGACCAAGGTAAGGGAGTTAAAGCACTTTTTATTGATATCGCCTCAGCTTTTGACTGTACCCCACAATCTTCTTCTACTCAAATCAAAATCATATGGACTGCATGGACAGGTTCTTAATCTCCTTAAATCCTATCTTTACGAAAGAAGAGTTAGAGTGAACATTTCAGGATCCTCATCATGTTTATCACAAATGCACGCTATCAAAAGTGGAGTGCCACAAGGCTCAATTCTAGGTCCCCTTCTCTTTTTAATTTATATTAATGACCTTCCTGATAACATAGATACTGATTGTTTTATATACGCAGATGATACTTCCATTTACTTCCCATTTAGTACTAAAAATCCTTCTGAAATTGATAACAAAGTCACTCAAGCAATAGAGAAAATTGAATCCTGGTCCAATAAATGGAAACTCAATTTTAAGCCTGAAAAAAGTGTCGAAATAGTTTTTCATAATTCTAGAATTAAAATTGGTCAAGAAAACAATTCCTATATGAGTAATGCTTTAATAAAAAGGGAAACATCGCATAAACACTTAGGCTATACTTTTGATGAGCATTTGTCTAACAAACAACATATATTAGCCATAAGAAATAAAGTTAACAAGCTTCTGAACCCTCTCAGATCACTTCAAAAGAAACTCAATTCTAATGTCCTCGAAACAATCTTCATGTCTTACATTCGTCCACACCTTGAATATGGGGCAATTCTGTATGATTCTTCTACTCAATGTATCCTTAACATATTAGATAAACTATTTTATCAAGCTGCCCTCATATGCAGTGGATGCCTGCATGGTAGCAGTTCAATTAAAGTAAAGAATACCCTCATATGGCCTGATCTAGAAACAAGGCGGTCATTTCAAATAAATAAAGGACCTTATACACCCTCCATTGGGATCTCCCCATTGGAAAAAAATTATTCATCTGATTTTTCAAAATGAGTATTCTGCTTCAATTATTACATTTATATGCACACTAGTATCTTGTTGACCTATATTCAGCACTGCATTGATAGGCACTGCATTGATAGGCCACTTATTAGGGTCATAATTCAATCATGAAGTGTAGAGGCATAGATTCCAAACCAGGAAGTATTTTTGTGTCTGTCAAAATCCATTTACATCCTACGCATCCCTGCATCTTATCCAAATATGTTACTACATAATGAAATATAATAGTATAATCTTTGGTTTTACAAACTTGTATGATATTTGATAAGTGTAAAAGTTGTTTTTGGATCATTTTTCTATAGCCATTTTGTAGGGAAAAAATGATGAAAAATTGTACAATCTTTTAATTTTAAGTATGACCTGAATCGATTGCAAACTTCATATTTGCACATTTGATGAGATAAACCATTTGTGTCGTATTGTGAAATTATTAAGTTTGCAATCGATTCAGGTCATAGTGTATTTTTGGTATTTCTGTGATAATCAATGGAAATCAATGGCCTCTATTGGGATCTGCTGATATCCTCATGTTAAGTCAATGGTGCACAGCCCCATGTAAGTCAATACAACCTTACTGAACGAAATGATCCCTATCTCAGCTTATGTGTGCCCGAGCACTTTAATATTTTCCAAAATATTATATGAAATTTTATTCTTCATGTTACACCTACGAATGATTCATTTTGACCATAGGGATATTTGCCAATAATTGCACCTTGTCCTTTATGTTTAGAGTTAAAAATAGACTCACTCCAAGCTATGTGACAGATATTTTTGAACCTCTGAGATTTCAAAACCCTCGAGAACTCAGATCCAGTCCCGACTTCAAAATACCAACCAAATGCTCAACCAAATTTAGAAACTCGTCTGTCCTCAATGTCATCTCCCATTGGAATAAGCTACCCAAGCATATTAGAGATTGTAAAACACTTCAGCTTCAATCATTTACAAAAAAAGAAAATTCCAAAGCCTGACTTTCATCCAACTAATAAGTTACAGCTAACAAGAAATCAAGAAATAGTCCTCAATAGGTTCAGAGTTGACCTGCTTACAAAAGCTCAACTATATGGACACAACTTCACCTACATTGAAACACCCAATTGTACTTGTGGTGCACCTGAAACACCTAAACATTTATTTTTCTACTGTCCAAACATAGCACAAAACAGAAACACTTTTCTCACAATTGTTGAGCCTTATAAGCCTATAACCATAAAGAATAAAAACCAATTTATAGATTTTTTGAAAATGGCAGTGACATACTATCGTTAGCACAAAATAATGAACTTTTTTCTCTTGTTGCCAACTTTTTGATAGAGAACACATAACATTATAGTAATATTTCTCTATGGGACCCTCCATGCAAGTATTACCTATACCCACTACTCCCTCACTGAGATCATAACACATGAACCCAAGCCTGTCCAATTCCCACCTTTTTACATATCTTGCCCTTATGCTTCCCTGTTGCATACATTTACATTTGTACTTAATATGTTGTTCAGCTTAGCCTATAATGCCAGTAAGGCGATTGGCAAGCTATTATGTATGAAAATATTTATATGATGAAATAAATTGTTAATCTATAAAAAAAAGTACAAAACATATGAATACAATAAAAAGCTACAACATGTCTTCCAACCTTTATATCCAAGTGAACACTTCAGATTTTTATTTTAAAAAATCCTGTATTCCATAGCATATTGTTCAATAATAATTTGTTCAACTTTTCAGGTTGAGATGGACGAGTTATCAGCTGATTATGAGTCATTAAAGTTAAGTCACAAACAATTGGGAGAAAGGGAGAAAGCTTTGATAAATCAACTAAAGGGAATGAAGGAGAGGGAACTTAATATGGAGAGAGAAATATTTGAAATTAAGGTAAGGAATTCATTTTTAATAAGCACTATCAACATTTTATATGACTGAAATTACACCCAATGATAAGGATTACACATATATGATTGAACAAATAAGCACACTTTTAATTCAGGAAACCTACAAGATACTTAAACTTTAAGTAATCAAATACACAGAACCAAAGAAAGCAGAAATTAAATGGAACGAGAGTCCAGATTTAGACAACAATACGAAATGGAAGGATTACTATACGAAAACCAAATTAACTTACAAAGAAAACAAAACTACTCTACTTCCAATATAGAAATCTCAATAGAACAATTTTTTCAATAAAACTCTATACAAAATGAACAAAAAAGACACTGTAATCTGTAGCATCTGCAACGACAATGAAGAAGACATCATTGAACATGGCTTCCTAAATTGTAAAACAATCAAAGCTTTTTATCGACTATGTTATCAAGAAATAGGCAAAACCCCTCCATCCGCAACATGCTTTATATTAGGATACCCAATTAAGAACATGAAAGAAAACATGCTTTTACTGTTTCTTAAACTCTATGTTTACTGTTGCAAGCTAGATAACCAAATGCCAAAACTAGACCACCTCAGAAGATACCTGAAACAAGAACAAAGCATAGAATAATACATAGCAAAGAAAGAAAACGATGAAGAGGGACATAAAAAGAAATGGCACCTTGCAAAATCCCTTTTGCATTAGTGCACTACCAATCTTTCTTCAATTTTATATTTACCCCTAAGTTCCTAACATACACAAACATATACATACGTTGTGTTTCTTTTATGTTATATCCAAAAGTTGTCTTTATTATTATGTAAACAATGATACAGCATATGATGTAAAAATAAAATTATAGCAAATAAATATGTTACAAAAAAAGCATTTTATTAAATAAAATAGTGACATTTAAAAGTGAATATAAGTAGAGAATGCAATGAATTGATATTCACAGATATTCAGAGACATCTTTAATATATTCTTTTTTGTGCATATAGATTAAACCAACAATGTCACTATACCAAACAAATGTAGGAGGACCACGTCACCATGTAGAGCCTAGTGCCCCCAAGATGGAGTCTCTCTCCTTAGATATAACAGCGGGTGATGACCCAAATTCTACAATTGAACTAAACCCGCAGGACCTTACAAAACAAGTCAAAGACTTAAGAGAAGAGAACAGGTTCCTGAAATTCCAAGCTGATGCAAACCGCGAAGACTTTGAAGTGGAGCGCAGAGACCGTGAGAGGGTACAAGGTGAGAAATCTGACCTTAAAGAAAGGGTTGAGATGTTGGAGAAGGAATGGAAAAGAGCAGTAAAGAAGGCAAGACAAGAAGAAAAGCAAAATGGAGAAGTTAATGCAGAAAACAGCCGTTTGAAACGACAGCTTAAGGAAATCCAAAAGGTAAAAAGAATTTTAATTTTGGTATCACAATTTTTTATATTGAGGTCCTTAAAATTTTACTGACAGTTGGACAGGGAGGAAGTTGAATGGATGGGGGTCTCAATTGCAATGGAGCCTGCGATTTAGACAAGTTGGAGATTGGCTGGATGGGGACATAGCTGCAGAAGGGAATTATATTGAGTCTTGGTGTAGGTTTACTGAATTGGGGTCATAGTTGTAGTAGGGCATCATATTGAGACTGGGTGTAGATTTACTGAAAGGGGGTCGTAGTTATCCCACCGAATGAAGTTTGAGGGATATAGGAAAGCCGTTCATCCGTTCCTCCATCTGGGCGATAAATCAAATACCGGCTAACGAATATGGTTCAAACTTTATAGGCTTATGCCTTATGGGTGTACGACCTCTGCTCGAGAAGGAATTTTAATTATGGCCGCTCAATAACCCAGATGCGAGTAGAAATTATCTTGATTTACGTCATTAAAAATTCAAAATTCAGTCAAAGTAATATCATATTTGAAAGCTACATGTAAAATTACATCTAGAAATGTGGTTTTAAAAAGTGTTTATCAACTTTGAAAAATTAATTTTCTTTGAAAATGTGACTTCTAGCTCGGAGAGATTCCCCATAGACCCCATGCTATAAAATCACAAAAAATGAAAAATCTTTTCTTTTAGTGGACAGATAATATTTTGCTTTCCTGGACATATTTTCATGAGTATAAGTATCAGACACATAAGGGTTATATGAAAATTGAGCCACTTAAATTGATAATATTCAAGTTTAAGGGAACTTTCTTATATACCTGCCATGTTAATTGACCCGAATCAGCCATCTGGTTGTGAAACTGGTAACTACCTACTCGCATTTGGGTAATTCAAAATCTCATGAAAATGTAATCTTTTATAACTCAAATACTAGTCGACCGATTTGGTTCAAATTTATATGCTGATGCTTAGGGACAAATGAGCTATATTCAACAGATTTGGTTCAAATTTTATGTGCCGATTTCTTGGAACAAAGTACAGTGTAGGTCTATTAGAGAAAGAATTTTCAGGATGGAGGCCATATTTCAAAATGGCCACCATTTTTTGTAAAAATCGTCATCTTTGATAACTCATATACCAGTGAATGAATTTGGTTCAAATTTTTTATACTGATGCCTAGGGACCCAGTAGCACTGTTCAAGAAAGAATTTGTAAGATGGTGGCCATATTTCAAAATGGCCACCACTTTTCGCAAAAAAATTGAATCTTTGAAATCTCAAATATCAATGAATGGATTTGGTTCAAATTTTATATGCTGATGCCTAAGGACCCAGTTCATCTGTATAACAAAGAATTTTCAAGATGGTGGTTATATTTCAAAATGGCCACCATTTTTTGTAAAAAAATGTAATCTTTGATAACTCAAATATCAGTGAATGGATTTGGTTCAAATTTTATATGCTGATGCCTTGGGACACTGTAGCTCTGTTTAAGAAAGAATTGTATACATGGTGCCTTAATTTCAAAATAGCTGCCTTTTCCGTAAAAAATTGAATCTTTGATATCTCAAATATCTATGAATGGATTTGGTTCAAATTTTATATGCTGATGCCTAAGGACATCTATATAACAAAGAATTTTCAAGATGACGGTTATATTTCAAAATGGTCACCATTTTTTTGTAAAAAAATTTAAGCTTTGATAACTCAAATATCAGTGAATGGATTTGGTTCAAATTGTACAGGGTGGTAAAAAAAAAGAAAACCCTGCATTTTCCTCATATCTTCGTCATTTTGGGTAATTATTCCCTGAAATTTGACACACATGTACAACATTCAATTTCCTACCAGCTATCCATATTCCATGACCATCAGATTGATTGTCACAATGGTACAGCACTTTGAACAAGATGCCCCAGTGTGGCCACCGTCGCGCTATTGGCAAATCTGAACAGGTTGTCAATGATCTGACTACATTTTTCAGCAGGTAAGGCCTGAATGACATGGATGATCTGCTTTTTGAGGTCTGCAGTTGTCCTGGGGTTATTCTCGTACACTCATTTTTGGTGTATCACCACAGGTTGAAGTTAGGTAGGGACATTTTAGATGATAGGTGCAGGTTTGCCGAAAGTGCAATATTGGCCAATGGAGCATGTTGTTTAAAGTGCTGTAACATTGTGACTATCAATTTGATGGTCATGAAATATGGTAGGCCGGTAGGAAATTGAATGATGTACAAATGTGCTAAATATCAGGGAGTAATTTCCTAAAATGACAAAGATAATGAGGAAAATGGCAACAGGGTATCCATTTTTTTTGACCACCCTGTATATGCTGATGCCTAGGGACACTGTAGCTCTGTTCGAGAAAGAATTTTATACATGGTGCCTTAATTTTAAAATGGCTGCCTTTTTCGTAAAAATGTAATACCAGCAGTGAACGGATTTGGTTCAAATTTTGTATGCTGCTATATAGGGACAAACCAGCTCTGCTCTAGAAGAAATTTTCAAGATGGGCTGCATTTCAAAATGGCCAAAAGTTTCATAAAAACGTGAACTTTGATATCTCAAGTACCAGTAGATGGATTTGGTTCAAATTTTAAATGCTGATATGCTGTGTTCAAGAATAGATGAAGTCTACAAGATGGCCACTAATTATCAAAATGTGTTTTGTTTGGTGGGATTTGCTACTTCGTGGAGTTGCTGTTTTCTAGTTGCAGTAGGGAATCATATTGAGTCTGAGTGTTTACTGAATGGGGGTCATAGTTGTAGAAGGGCATCATATTGAGATTGGGTGTAGGTCTACTGAATGGGGGTCACAGTTGCAGAAGGGCATTATATTGAGTCTGGGTGTAGGTTCCCAGAAAGGGGGTCACAGTTGCAAGTCGGCATTAAATTGAGTCTGGGTGTGGGTTTATTGAATGGGGGTCACAGTTGCAGTAGGGAATTATATTGAGTCTTGGTGTAGGTTAACTGAAATGGGGTCACAGTTGCAGTAGGGAATCATATTGAATCTGGAAGTAGGTTTACTGAATGGGAGTCACAGTTGCAGAAGGGCATCATTTTGAGACAGGTTTACGGTGACTTTATGGGGGTCAAAGTCGGCTTCGAAATTTGTGCATATGTCACACATTTGTTTTGAATTTTTTTGTTCCTACCATCTAGGGATGGGACGGAACAAAAATACTTCAGAACGGAACGGGACGGTGTTTTGGCCTTCGGAACATCAGGACTAATTCGGAATGGGATAAAATTGAATTTCAAAATAAGACTGACAACGCTACTTGGCTTTTTTTAGAGTGAATGTGGTAATCTATAAAATGAACCTGATCATATGAAACTGAAGGTGAATTTGTTTTCATACCTATATCATCGTAACCTACTTTAAGTGTGCCCAGTATCTATACCTTCATAGGATCGATCAGATCAGATCTAGTGATTTAACCTCTCTCCTTGAGGGAGTATATTCAAAATACTTAGCGACAACTCTTGATAGATCAGGTCACTATGGCAGGTGTAAAAGGGTAGGAGGTCTTATTAATTAATGGTCCTAATTCTCCATTGATTTATTTGATGACCTCTTTCTCTTATTATCTTATACACAATCAGGGCCAGTAAGGGGGTAGGTATAAAAATTTCGAACGGAATGCGTGACATATACGTAATTCGCGTGAAAAGTCCGAACGAAATGCGTACGTTTTTTTCCAGCGTTCGTATTTTTGCTGTGTAGACGATCTTTTTTAGAAAATTTTCTACAGAAATATTTTTGCTTGACAATTACCAGGTAAAATGCGTATTTGCGTGACATTTTCTGTCACGCAAAAATAACTGGCGTGACTTCAAATTCTTCAGCAAATGCGTGACAAATACGCAAATTGCGGGACAGTTGACATGCCTGTGATAAACCTACTGCGCAATGTGTCTGCTCAGGGAGCATCTCAAGGAATGTCAGCTACGCTGAAACTTACATTATTGTGTGTAGCGTGGGTAACTTAGGTTCATAAATCTTGTGGTTGGGCAATTAGGGCAGGGAAATTACTCAGTCTATCACATAAATACCATAAGGAAAAAATTATCAATCTACAATATCCAAGATGATGATGTAAACATTCGGTAAAATTAAGTTTTTAACCTCAATAAAGTGAAAAGTCATTGGTCATGGAGATCATCAAAAAGTTAAAAAGCCACTGCTCCAGGAGTAAAATGGGTAATGATTCAGAAACATTTGGGGTGAATAGCCACTAAAAATAGGTAATGATTCAGAAACATTTGGGGTGAATAGCCACTAAAAATAGGTAATGATTCAGAAACATTTGGGGTGAATAGCCACTAAAAATAGGTAATGATTCAGAAACATTTGGGGTGAATTGCCACTAAAAATAGGTAATGATTCAGAAACATTTTGGGTGAATAACCACTAAAAATAGGTAATGATTCAGAAACATTTGGGGTGAATAGCCACTAAAACTACGCTGGTTTTGAGCCCCTTGTCCCATTCCGAAAGTGCTGCTTGTGTTTCAAGTTCCAATACCGAACCCAAATACCCTGAACGGGACAGTTTCGGGTAACCGTCCCATCCCTACTACCATCCCCCCAGCATCATATTGAATCTAGATGTAGGCTTACTGAAGGGGGGTCACAGTTGCTGTAGGGCATCATATTGAAATGGGTTGAAGGTGACTTTATGGGGGTCATAGTTACAGGCCTGTCAACTGTCCCGCAATTTGCGTATTTGTCACGCATTTGCTGAAGAATTTGAAGTTACGCCAGTTTTTTTTGCGTGACACAAAATGTCACGCAAATACGCATTTTACCTGATAATTGTCACGCAAATATGTTTCTGTAAAAAAATTTTAAAAATATGTTTATGATACGGTAAAAATACGAACGTCTGAAAAAAACGAACGCAATTTGTTCGGATTTGTCACGCGAATCCCGTATATGTCACGCATGTTCATTGGAAATTTTCGTACCTACCCCCCCCCCCCCCCCCCCCCCCCCCCCCCCCCCCCCCCCCCCCCGTTGACAAAATCGTGAGCGTAGCGAGCGCGAAAAATTTGAGGTGATAAAAGTTTAGCAAAGGTGCTCAAACTTTGGCCAAAGGTGTTTAAAAGTTGGCCAAAGGTGTTCAAAATTTGGACAAAAGTGTTCAGATTTGGACTTCGGTGTCCAACATTTGTAAGTCACTCATATTAGGTGGTCCCAAGTTGACAGCCCTGTAGTTACAGTAGGGCATCATATTGAGTCTGGGTGTAGGTTTACTGAAAGACGGGTTTAGGATGACTTTATCATATTGAATCTGGGTGTAGGTTAACTGAAATGGGGTCACAGTTGCAGTAGGGCATCATATTGAATCTGGGTGTAGGTTTACTGAAAGGGAGTCATAGTTGCATGAGGGCATCATATTTGGACTCGGTGAATGTTGACGAGATGAGGTTCATAGTTTCAGTAGGGCATTATATTGAGTCTGGGTGTAGGTTCCCAGAAAGGGGGTCACAGTTGCAAGTCGGCAAAAAAGTTTGGGTGTTGGTTTATTGAAAGGGGGTCACAGTTGCAGTAGGGCATCATATTGAGCCTGGGTGTAGGTTTACTGAAAGGGGTCATAGTTGCAGTACGGCATTATATTGAATCTGGGTTGTAAGTTTACTGAAAGGGGGTTGTAGTTGCATTTGGGCATCATACTGAGATGGGTTGAGGGTGACTTCATAGGGATTGTAGTTGCAGTAGGGCATTATATTGAGATGGGGTGCGGGTGATTTTATGGGTGTCATAGTTGCATTAGGGCATCATATTGTTTTCAATAATTTGAATTCTTCAAATACATGGAATGCGTTAATATTGCAGGTCCATCCCCTCAACATGTTGAAGAGTTTAGGCAATGCATTCAATATTATATATAGTACTATGTTTATGACATGAATATTGTTATGATTATAGGTGGCGAAGCAGTCAGCAAAGCAGTTGCCAGTGTACTATGTCCCTGTGTCTGAGCAGGCAAAGCCTTCATACAGTACATACACAAAACCTTCTAAAGGTACATGGTTCATGCAGAGACTCTCATATAACTAGATCAGTCTGTTAATGTATCTTGCTCTTTATTAATTAAAATATATTTTAGAAAATGTTATTACTTTTTCCTAGATTTTAGTCTAATTTTACCAATTTTCCTCAAAATGTCATTTCATCAAAAATTGTCTGGTTGTGTCAATGCTTCAGTGATAACTGGATTTAAATAGCCAATCATCTATTCCTTATTAACATAAAGATAAATGACTGCCTTCTCCCCTTGATTATCCCACCAAACGAAGTTCGAGGGGGATATAGGAAAGCCGTCTGCCCATCCGTTCGTGCGTCCGTCCGTCAGTCTGTTTGTTTGGGTGATAACTCAAATACCAGTTGATGGATTTGATTCAAATTTTATAGGCTTATGCCTTATGAGGGTAGAACCTCTGCTTAAGAAGGAATTTTCAATATGGTCGCTTCATTCAAAATGGCCCCCATTTTCCTTGAAAAATATAATCTTTGATAACTCAAATACTAGTACACAGATTTGGTTCAAAATTTATATGCTGATGCCTAGGGAAAAAGGAGCTATTCTATTGAAGAGATTTTCAAAATGGCTGTTAAATATCAGAATGGCGGCCCTTTTTCGAACAAAAATGTAATCTTTGATAACTCAAATACCAGTTAACGGATTTGGTTCAAATTTTGTATGATGATGCCTGGGGACAAAGTAAATTTGTTCAAGAAAGAATTTCCAAGGTAGTAAAAAGCATAATCTTTGATAACTCAAATGCTAATTTACGGATATGGTTCACATTTTATATGTTGATGCCTAGGGACAAACAAGCTCTGCTGAAGAAGGAATTTTAAAGATGGCCAATAATAATCAAAACATGTTTTATTCGGTGGGATTTGCTACTCCGTGGAGTTACTGTTTTTCTAGTTGGTATTCGTATACCAACCCCGGTGTTGTCATTATCATTTTTAAACATTCAATTCAATTTCATGTAAATACTATAATTGTTTTGTATTGTAGAAGCTGCAAAAATCCTGCCCATGGCAGAGAGAAAGCAGATATGGAACTGTACCATTTGTACGTTTGAGAACCCTTTTCAGAGAACTACGTGTGAGATGTGCTCGAGTCCTAAAGGTATGAGACAACATATAATTATAAGTCTGTTTTTCCAACTTAAATGATAGATTTTGGTCCTTGAACATTAGTAGTGGTTCCACAAAATATTGAGAAATGCTTTGTGGCAAATCCATTTGCATTTCTGGACATTAAATGAAAAGATGAGTACCCACCATCTCAGATATGCATACAATAATGTGATGAACCATCTGCCAAATTAAATAGCCGCCTATATGCAAAAATTGGCAAATTCGCCAAATTAAGTAACGCCAAATTAACCCACTCACAGTATAATAGAAAGCCTTCCATCTGTGGAGATATCCTGGAAACGTAAATTTTACATAATTTATACATATCATATTGTAATTGTGCAATATCTCCGGAAAGATTTTGAGTTGAGTTTTGTTGATAATAGTTCACCGCAAGTGTGGTTGTACATTGTTTAGAATGTTTACAATGGTGCATTTTCGGAAAACCTTATTTGGTGCAATCTGAACATTTTTAAGGACTATACAGACTGAATAGTTCTTTCTGATAAAAATTTGCCTTTTTTTAAGTTTCACAGGAATCTCATCAAAATCAATTTCTTGGCCATTTTAGAGGGGGCTGTCTTCGCCCACACACACCCTCTTCCTGATGCCCATTCACTGTAACTGCACATGATGTGTACATGCTGTAACTTTAACTGATGACTGTGACTGATGAGCTCAATGTCGATATACATGTAACTAAAACTCTCTGAATTTTTACATGAACTATAACATGTTTATCTTTATTTTAGATATTGAGGTGTCATATGACTCACTAACTGGGAAAAGGGTAAGTATCTGTCATCTGTCATTCTGTTAAGCACCATATAGCACATGTATAAAAATGGTTGATGTATCATTTTACTTTTACTTCCTTAGGCAAATTATCATGCCAGACTTGAATGTAACAATTCTATAGATATAAAGTAGTTATTGTCCCACCGAACAAAGTTCAGAGGGATACAGGGAATGCCTGTATGATAGTGTCATAACCTGATTTATCTGGTAACATTTATGGGAGACAATCACATGGAATATACATTTCACAGATCATAAGGATATCAATAGTATGCAACCATATAATGTAGAAAATGCTAAACAAAAAATATTCAATCTAAACAAATTAACTTGACAGACATTAGGCTTTAAAAACACATACTGAATTCTGACATGAAGAAAGCAGTAGCAAAAAACAATTGGATATGCGAAAAATTCAAGAAACAAGAAATGATGCTAATGTAGCATAAACAAGCCATTGATCTCCTTTAGTAACGCTCTTCTGAGTCTGGAGGCCGTGTTCCCAGGGAAGTAGGCCAAACATGGGACACATTGGTTTGATATGGCATATTAGTACAACATGGCTGAGAACAAGGCATTAACATGACAAAATGTCACCACCTAGTTGCTCACAATATTATTGTAGATGATTTTGAAAAAATTGGGTCAATTTGAAGCAATTTTGAAAAAGACCTTTTTGACCTTTTTTTGCCCTTGAAAAGGTCAAATCTTGAATAAAAAGTCAGATTTGAACTTCTGAAAACTTGTAGATGATTTTGAAAAAAACTGAAGTCAATTAATCTAAACAGTATTTGTCAAGTTATTGGAGGTTTTGTTACATTTCAATTTGTTACAGATGCCAACCGCGATTGCCGATCACCAACCGCCGTCAAAAAAAAACGAAGACCATAACAATATGTCACCACGTTTTGGTGGTGACATAATAAAATACCAAATTATAGAAGAACAAAAGAAAAAAGAACAAAGAGACTCTTAAGCTAACAATTCAAGGAGCAACCTAAAGATGTCCGTCTGTCCATCCAGGCAATAACTCAAATACCGTTGGCCCAATATTACTTAATTTTGTATTCATATGCCCTATAGCGTAGGAAGTTCTGCTCAAAAGCCGATTTTCAAAATGGCCACTCGTTTAAATATGGCGCCATTTTAGTGCCTTTTTTACATTTATTTACATACAATATATAAAACTGTAATAGCAATATGTTTAAATGTAAAAAATTTATATTGGACATTAACAAAGCTAAAAATGTAGATCAGGTATTTAAGAAACACATGGCAGCCATCTTAAAAAATGTTGGCCTTTACACGCTTTTTTACGATTTTTGCTTTAACTTGAGAAGTGTTGGAGCGATTTAGTTCATATGATATGTGAATACTTATAAGCATGGCACTGTACTGTATAGTTTTATGACACTTTGGCTAGAAGGCAACTTTTTTCAAAATGGCCACCATTTTCGTGTGTTATTTTACACTTTTTACTATAATTCAAAAATTAATAGACCAATTTTGTTCATATTTGATATGTAGTAAGCAATTGGCACATTGTCTTATGACACTTTGAAAATGGCTGCCATTTACATGTATGGGTGTGTGAATGGGTGTGTGAATTTATTGAATTTTTATATGTGCCTACTTAGAAGCATACAATGTATTACACTTTCTTATGACAGTTCGGCTAATGAGCAACCATTTTGAAAATGGTGGCTATTTTCATGTGTGTTATTTTATGACTTTGCTATAACTGAAAAAGTAGTGGAAGGATTATGTAAAAATGGCAGCTATGGCTGTTCGATGGGATTTGCTATGCTTTGGCATTGCTGTCATCTAGTTTATTTAGAATTTAATACACCATGTCAATAACCATTTTAATCATTTGATATTGATCAAATATATTGATATTTTTCAGAGTCAAACAAGCATCTATCCCCGTGGAAGTAAACTAGGTCACGAAGATTAAACAGTCAACATAGTGCACTCATAGAACATACAGGAGACTGCATGGTTACACACATCAATTCACAAAGGAACATTGAATAGCAGAAACTATATTCACAGGGATTTTATATTCACAGTGAGCAGTCTCTCCAATATTATCTTTGGTGTATATTTCACCATCCCTTTTCTCCATTTCCCAATTCTCTTGAACTTGATTCTTGGATCATGGCCAAAATTGACTGCAAATGATATAGAATGGCAATTTGAGTTCACAATGTGTTGCTGTTTTTGGTTTGATTGACTGCAACAGCCAACACTCTATGTGTATTTCAAAATAAATATCCAAGAAACTGTTTTTTGGTGACAATATGAACAAAAATTATACAAATTGAAAAAGTACTGTTAGACAGATCTCATAGCTCCTGATGTAAAAAATGTTTTTTATAAAAAGCTTGAAGTAACTATTATTACAAAGCTTGATAGTGCTTATTCACGTTCAGGGTGTTTAATAATGACCATTCCCTATTAATCACCATGACATAAACTGTAGATGGCATACCTCCATGGGTTATATATCATATGAAAGCTTGTTTAGTTCTAGACTTGTTGAAACAAGCTTGATTAAGCTCAGTAGCCTTTACTTCTTGCTAAATATCAATACAAAAGATGCCCATTTGATCTATGGCATACAATCAAACAGCCACATTTTTTATGTTGAAAAGTTGAATTCAGTTTTGTAACGGTGTTTAGAACATTTCAATTGGTCTTATATTTTTAGAGAAATCGTAACTAGAAAAGTGTATTTTTTGAGATCTTACGCAAAGTTCACATCTTTGAAGTTTGATTGACAGGTTAGCGGAAATTTATACAGCCTTAGAAGTGTCAATGTTTCGACAAATTCCCAGGCAAACGTCCGTCCGTCCGTCCGTCCGTCCATCCGTCCAGGCAATAACTCAAATACCGTTGGCCCGATTTTGTTCATATTTTGTACACATATACCCTATGAGGATAGAAGTTCTGCTCGAAAGCCAATTTTCAAAATGGCCACTCATTTCAAAATGATTCCTTTAGGTTTAAAATACCATTTCATATCTGCTTTAATAAAGCTACAAATGTAGATATAAAAGCACATGGCAGCCATCTTGAAAAATGGAGGCCTTTACTCGTTGTTTTACGATTTTTGCTGTAACTCGAAAAGTAGTGGAGCGATTTTGTTCATATTTGGTATGTGAATACTATAAACATTGCACACTGTCTATAGGCACTTTTGGTTGAAGGCGGCCATTTTGAAAAATGGCCGCCATGTTAACATATTTTACTATAACTAGAAAAGTAGTGGAGCGATTTTGTTCATATTTGGTATGTGAATACTATAAGCATGGCACACTGTCCTATGACACTTTTGGTAGAAGGCAGCCATTTTGAAAATTTTTTTGAAAAATGGCCGCCATTTTAACATATTTTACTATATCTCCAAAAGTAGTGAAGGGATTTTGTTCATATTTGGTATGTGAATACTATAAGCTTGGCACACTGTCTAATGACACTTTTGGTAGAAGTTGGCCATTTTGAAAAATGGCCACCATTTTAACATATTTAACTATAACTCGAAAAGTAGTGGAGCCATTTTGTTTATATTTGGTATGTGAATACTAAAAGCATGGCACACTGTCTAATGACACTTTTGGTAGAAGGTGGCCATTTTGAAAAATGGCCCCATTTTAACGTATTTTACTATAACTTGAAAAGTAGTTCAGCGATTTTGTTCATATTTGGTATGTTTCATTTTTTTTATATGTGAATACTATAAGCATGGCACACTGTCTAATGACACTTTGGGTAGTAGGTGGCCATTTTGAAAAATAGCCACCATTTTCACGTTTTTTACTATAACTTGAAAAGAAGTGAAGCGATTTTGTTCATATTTGATATGTGAATACTCATGGGCCTTGCACACTGTCTCATGACACTTCGGATAGTAGGCGGCCATTTTAAAAATGGCTGTCATTTTTACACTTTTTACTATAACTCCAAAAGTAGTGGAGCGATTTTTTGTTCATATTTGATATGTGAATACTCTAAGCATGGCACATTGTCTAATAAAACTTTGGGGAGTAGTCGGCCATTTTGAAAAATGGCCACCATTTTTATGTGTGTTATTTTACAAGTACATGTGTGCGATTTTTCAAAAATTTTATAGGTGGCTACTTTAAAGCATATTATTTCTTCTGATGACAACTTGGCTAGTGAGCAACCATTTTGAAAATGGTGGCCTTTCTGGTGTGTTGTTTTATGATATTTGCTATATATTTCGTTTGTAAAAATGCCAGCCATTTCTGTTCGATGGGATTCGCTACGCTTTGCCGTTGTTTAAATATTTACGAATTTCATAAAGTTACGAATTACGAATTCGTAACTTTGCGAAAGTTCTGTTAACGACCCCTAGTATAATATTCAACAATGTAAATAAGGAAGAATTATAAAAAAATAAAAAAGTTACATCATTTTTATCTGTACATTGAATTATATACCAGATTATGAATAATATTCTCTAACACACAATTATTATATTGTAAAATTATCCCCATCCTTGATATGTTGATGATTGTTGTTCCTTTTACAATTGTACATATGTATGCACTGGCAGATTCAGAAGCTAAGAAGTGGGGGGCCCCAAATTTGAAATCCCGGAAAAAACTTTGAAAATTTGATGCCCATTTTTTGACAATTTGGCCTAAAAAGGCCCGCAAAAGGATTAGTAATGCCCAAAAAGGCCCATTTATTGAGGCCCTACAAAAATTTGGGCCAAACTTTTTTTTGGGCCCAAATTTTTTTTCTGGGCCCACCCAAGAGGGGAGGGGGGCAGGCCTGGGCCCCCCTCCTGGATCTGCCAGTGGTATCTTCCAGATTTTTCACTAAAAATGATTTTCACACAAACTTATGCTTGTCCATGGTATGGAATTATAATTGTATATTTAAGGAATAAAGACCTAGATTTTATGATTTATGGCGTAATATATGACAGAATATTTTATTCTGTTCATTGTTAAAAGACCAAAACCGCATAGCGATTAAGGTCTTTGGCAATGGCAATTTGAGGTCATGTATTTGACATAAATCATAAAATCGAGGTCTTTGTTACGATTCTAATATGATAAACAGACAAGAAACACAACTATTTGCATTTATGAAATAAAGCGGTCATACATACTCCAATATAGACCAGTAACTCAACTGTTCTCGCTATTGTAACGTCACATATCATATTAGAATTCAGTACAATTAACCCTTCAGTGCACTTGGTAAAGCAAATTCCCAAATCTTATATTATTATGGGCATTTTAATGACTGTGGGTTGAGCTTTACTATGATCTATATATTATGGGGATGTGTGATCTAGGATTGGCTGCAAAGGGGAGGGGGAATTATGAAACATCATGCTGTACCCCCGCTCAGTCTAGAAACTTTGTTTAGCATCCATAAAAAGAAAAATATTTAGGCTTGAAAAAATCTTATTTTTCAAAATTTTGTATTTTTCGAAGGGGGATTCGTCATTTAAAAGATTACACTTGAAGCCTAGCTTCTCTACCTCTCCCAGAGCACATAGGTTTTTCCTAGGAGTCTCCCTTTCCTCAGAAACACAGCACCATGAACAAAATACCCGGGAAAAGTAAAATTGGCTCAAAAAGTCAGGTGCAGTCGCACTCAGTGCATCTCCCCCTGGGTATGCCAATTCTAATTATTTGGCAATAACTCTTAAAATTCATTTTTGAAAAACATTTGAAGAAACAGTTGAAGAAAACAAAGTTTTCTGGAACTGGGGTGTTTGCATTGGATGAATGAAAAAATCAATATTTCACTGAAAAATTTTTACCAAATTTACTTTATTTTACTGCATGTGTTAATATTTAATCACCATCTAGCTTTTATGAGCAAGTTTACAGGATTTCAATGAATTACCAGTAGGGCCTATTTGACACAATTTCAGTTATCCTGTATGTTAAAATACAGTCTGTTTTGACATGTTCAGTTTTCTTTTTTTAAGTGTGCATTCTATTATAACTTTCTGACAAGTAATTACATAACAATATCTAGTTTTATGTATATATTTAGCATAAGGGTGTGCAATATTATGTATATACATGTACATGCACTATTGCAACCATGAGCAATATGAAAGGATCAAATTAAAAACAATAAAAATGTTTTGTGATCTTAACATAAGAATAATTCAGATACATGTATACTAGAAAAATCGAATAGGTTTCTACAGCAAGGAATATAAAATATCACGAGAAACCTTAAATCAATTTCCCAGAATTCCAAAATTTCAAAAATGGATTGAGACTTTTGAAATGGCATGAATTCAGGGAAGTCAGAGCTTCTGCCTATTCAAAGCAGCTAAATGAAAAAAATGGTTTTAGAGTTAACCCTAATTTATGAACATTGCACAAAATATACTAAATATGACTGTTATGAATGTCGTAAATAAAAGCAGGTAAGACAAAAAAGGACAGGAAATTTCTGTAGGAAGCATGTGAAATTTATTGATTTAATGAAACTTCACAACACTTCTGTGAAGCAAATGTACATCACTTCATGTAGGTAAAGATTAAAAGGTGGATTGGATCGAGTGGATTGGATTCATGTAAAAGGTGGATTGGATCGGGATTCTTCAAAATATGGATTTTCCTTAAAAAAATTATATTGATCTCCCATCAGACGATTAATGCTCTTCTCACTTCCACAATATCAAATAATAGATGTTATATCATTTTGCTTGGGTACACTAGAAAGGTGACCTGATACACAATCTTATTCATTCCAAGGGTAATTTTAGACATTTCACAAATCATAAGGCAGACTTTTCAAGTCGAAGATCCATATCATCTGTTTTAAATTCAAACAGAACATGGCAGAATGTCTTGGGAACACCCACACGTCAATTTGAATGACAGCTTTTATCTACCGATCTATGTTTATTATGTCTTACTAATGTTGATTTACAAGGGAGAGCAGTTAAATGCTTTAGAGTATCTATCAACTAATTGAAGTATGTATTTGTCATTGCTTTGTCAATTCCTTAAAGGGACCCAAGTAATCACAAAATACTTTAGGCCGGAGGAAATTGCTTAGAGGGAGATCAACTAAAAAATCCATATTTTGAAGATTCCCAATCCAATCCACCTTTTACATGAATCCAATCCACTCGATCCAAT